GGGGTGTATGTGTTTATAAGGTATGTATGCATGCTTGAATCACATTCTTTGTGTAATATTGCCATGTTTTCAGGGTTCAATTAGTTCCGCTTGTCGAAACCTGCTGAACGATTAAATTAACGCATCAAAGGCAAAATGGTCATGGAGGTTAGACCTAGCCGGGCCATACCACATGTCAGATAAGAAACGAGGCCCGGGCTAGGTCTAATCAAGGGCGTTACAATACCCGGGAATTTATCGGTTCGTCCAGTACTTGTTTGTGATAGCGCCCTCTGTAGGTCACTGTGCTTATAGCCTACAGTAATACGGGGTAGGATATCGGGAATTCGGTCAGTTTCTATCCGTCGATTTCGCTATGAATTGAAGCAAGTGTGACCACTTTATCCACTTAAACAATTTGATAATTGATTAAATCTTTAAACAAAATCGATAAACACGTTATACACTTCCTATCTCCTTAGAAATTAGCATGTATTTATGGATTGTGTTTTCGAACAAGGCTCGACCCACCCCAATAGGGAAATCCTTATGCTAATTAGTATGACGTCATATTTTCCTGGGGAATCCTAGATTTCAAAGCCTCAGTCTGTTATTGTGTCAAATGTAAACGCTCTTGGGACGCTCTTTTGCAGACAGAAAATTGACAGATTAGCTTTTAACTTTCAGCTTTGATGTTAAAATATTCTGTATTTCTACCGGACTTCTTGCTGAATATCATATAATGTTATAACTTGATTTGGACCATTGCCTGATTGATCATTCTGAAATTTTGATTGTGATTCATGATTGATTGGCAAGAAAAAAGAATTCCTATTGTTTTCCAGCGAAGTCAAAATGTTACAGCATGAGTTATAATGTCGAGTTTGCATCATGTTAAATTCTGCTAGTGATTAGAAGTCCATGCACAAGCATACACATAAGAGACAAACACACCCAGGCTCCAGGCCGTGGATGGAAATATAAAACTATTTAAAGAACAAACTGGTATTAATAGACCGATATGTAGTGTCTGCCATGTATTGAAGGTAAACCAATCTGTATTATTAATGTTTCTTCTATCAATACATGGATTGTGCAATAGAAAAGCAATGGCACAATCAAAAATGTGCATATCAATCGTGAATATCTCTCGGTTCAAAGCTTATTTCCAACAGAATCGTGTCAAAATATGTGTCTGAGTAACAGTTATACATTATAAGATCGCAAACTCTTACCAATTATCAGCCGAATGGCTCATTTTCAACGAAATGTCCTTAAGACAACAGCCCTGGGTCGCGCCTGAGACCAAAAACTACTTCAAATAGCCCTCCCCTAATTATATTGGATAATCACATTTATGCGTGCGCGCGCAGCTCATCCAATGAACGAAACGCCACTTCCCGCTGAAATCACCGGGTATTGATCTTTCCCTTGGTCTAATGTTGTTGGACTAGTCTCTGGGTAGATATTCTTCAAAATATATCATGGTTTTGCTATGAAAAGCAGTTATCACGGAGTAAATCCAACTCAAAGTACGCATTTTCTTCATTTCAAACTAGTTGAAAACAAAGATGGCTGAACTATGAAGTGACAAGTTAGAGTAGAAGGGGTCTTTTGACTTTTGGTATTTTAGGCCACTGATAAAAATAACTGATTTTCATGTGTTTAACATTTACTAAGTACAAAATACCAGGTATATCATTCTAATTAAGCACATTTTTCTATTTCTTAGCCTCATTAAACACTTATTTCGTTTGGAATGCCCTTAAACCCTGCTGAACCCTGGTCTGAGAAACAAAGATCTAAATAAGGCCAAAGAGCACCCGGGTTCACTGTTAAACCTCCTGCTCACTGTAGTATGAATCGTGAATGTACTTTCACACAGGGTTTAACAGAAAGAAACAGTGAACCCTGGTCTAACGAATCCGTGTTTCCAGGGTTCGCCTAGCATGCCTTCGACTCTTTCTCATTATGTTGGCCACTTTAGCGTTCTTTAACATACTACAATTATAAGAACAGATTAAACTTTGTGTTTTCTTACTTGACCCATCATGTGAATATCCTTTTGCATAACGTGAATGAAACCATCGATAGATAAGGTGTACTAGTATGTTTGGTTAGAAAATGTTTCCCATCCAATAAAGGAAATGTATCTTTCAACATTTTGAAGTAAGAAACCTTCACAAAATGCATAAGAGAAATGTTATTTGTATTTTATTTGTAGAATCGTATGCTATTATTAGAATCATATGTTATTTGTAGATTCTTGATATTTGTGAATTCATGTTATTTGTAGATTAATGATATTTTTAGATGTTCAAGGGCCACCACCATATGGGGCTGTACCAGGTTAATGAAAAAATATTTCATTGGCTAGTTGAGTGTTTTGTTTGTTGATTAAGTTTGTTGTTCCATGATATAGTGTGCTGTTCTTTGATTGAGTATGCTTTTATATGATTGAGTGTGCTGTTCCTTGATTGAGTGTTTCCTTTGATTGAATGTGTTGTTCTTTTTTAGTGTGCTGTTCTTTGATTGATTGTGTTGTTTTTGATTGAGTGTGTTCTTTGATTGAGTGTGTCTTTCTTTGATTATTTAATTGAGTTTGTTATTCTTTGATTGAGTATATCATTCTTTAATTGAGTTTGTTATTCTTTGATTGAGTGTTTTGTTATTTTTTAAGTGTGCCGTTCCTTGATTGAGTGTGTTGTTTTGAATTTAGTGTATTCTTTGATTGAGTGTGTCTTTCTTTGACCGAGTGTATTGTTCTTTAATTGAGTTTGTTGTTCTTTGGCTGAGTATTTTGTTCTTAGATTGACTGTTATCTTTTTTCCTCGACTCTTTGAATGAATAATGTTTAACTACAGGGTGACAAAAAAAAAACTGGAACCCATAAATCATCAAATTTCTCGGAAAGTATTATACCTACATTCTTCATTTCTTCAGGGTAGAAACTAGACTGAATGCATGACAAAATGACACAATAATGAGTACTGTAGCTTAGATATTAATCATGCCATGGACGACAGAAGAAAAACCTTATATTGTGAGAAAGTATATCGAGACAAAATCCTATAAAGAGACACAAACTGCCTATATGAGAGATCACAGGGCAAGAAGAGCCCCTTCCAAGTCACAGATCTTTAGGCTTGTACAGAAGTTTGATTCAGAAGAAACTGTAAAACCAACAAAGAAGAAAAGTGATGGTAAACCAACCTATTCGGGGAGAGAGAGGTCTGTCAGAACTCAAGACAACTCAACAGTCAACTCAGAACGTTACATCCCTAACGTTAAAAAGTTTTGGAGAGTGCTGGGTAGACGACGTGACTTGAGAAGGGACCAGCAATGGTTCCAACAAGATGGTGCCAAACCCTACACCTCAAATGAGTCCATTCAATGGCTTCAGGCTCACTTTGGTGATCAATTAATCAGTCACCATACCCGCCACATCTGCCCCCCCCCACCCCCCTGATTTGAACCCCCCAGATTTTTACCTGTGGAGGTATCTCAAGGATAATGTGTATACAGATAGTCCACTGACCATTGATGACCTAAAACTCAACATTGGAAGACTAATTAGAGGGATAGACAGAGTTGAATGCAGTCGGGTCATTGACAATTTTGCAAGAAGAATCCAGCTCTGCATCCAACGTTGCGGTGCACATTTGGAGCACATTATCTAATCGTGCCTCATTTGGAGACTAATTGAGCTATAATGCTAAAACTTTAACATCTTGTCATACATTCAGTTTACTATACATGTACCAAATAACTAAGCTCGATATGCATTATTGACGAAGTTATTAAGACTTAAGTGGGTTCCAGTTTTTTTTTGTCACCCTGTACTTTAAATTGGCCCGGCATCAATATACCTTATAACGCATGAAATGGTTAAGAGTGAGCCAAAACAAGCACGTTTATATATCAGTATATCAAACCATATTCAATGAGTTTGTCATTCCTTATTTTGAGGAAGGGAGGGGTTTGTGTACATATGAATTCATATCTTCCCAAAAGTGTTTTGAATTTAGCTGCTATAATAGAACATGTGTGAAATGATTAAACATACTTTACTTCCAAAGGTCACAGAGATAAAGATATCATATCATTTAGTTATGCCAAAGTATTGTATTGTATCATTATCCCCTGGTTGACTGAGCTGGAGTTATGTGTAGTTATGTGTCTTCAAGGAAACCCCCTCCCCTTCTCTCTCCCCCTCTCCCCTGCACCTCTTGTTGTCTAAGCTGCTATTTGTGTGAAAACTCATGAACTACTCAATACATCAAGTGTGTGGTGAATGCATAAACAAATTGTGTATTTAAGTATAATGTGATGCGCTAATGCAAAAGACTTGTCTGGCAAGCAACAGACATATCAGATTTCCTGGAAAAAGAAGGCAAATTCTTGGATTGGTTGACAAGACAAGTTGCACTCCTATACTCCTCTTATATTCTTAGTTAGGATATGTAGGGAGGTCACCTCCCACACTCATGTAATACAGAAATGTATGTTTGATAATTGTTGAATCATTTCACCAGAGTTAGATCAAGGTTGGTTTATCTTTCTCATAGATACTGTCAACAAAGGATGGATCTCCAAGTATGGAATCATAAGTGCATGTTCTGATGAAGTTTTAATTCACTTGATATACATGAAATAGGTTAAGCCACTTATACATAAGTGTTCTTGACTTCTTGTATGTGTGTAGTGTTTTATCTTTTCATAGGGTCAATGTCATATGTAATGAAACTGAATGAATGATTTGACAGAACTTTTATCTAGTTTTAAATTAGCAAAACACTTGAATTAGTGGACATACTCTGAACATATTAATTTTTATTAATACTTTTGTTTGGAGTGCAGCAAGGGCAACTATTTTATAATTTCTTTTATGACCTGGAGCATTTTTCAATTCATTGTGACTTTTTCATTCTTCTTATTTTGTTCCACATTGTAATAATAATATGTTAAATCAATTTGATCTTGCCCTTTTTCTTTTATGATTCTCATTCTTACAATTTCAGGTCAGCCTCAGTATGGACAGCCAGGCCAACCTGGAATGTACCCACAAGTACCCGGGGGACAACCAGGTATAGAAATTGAATCACTTTTGAATATATCCAATCCAATGAGATTTAAATTCAGTATTTACATGCAAAGCAAAATATCACAGATTATTATGTTCTATATCTTTTATAATGTGAGGTACTTGTATGTACTGTTAACATACTTTAGTAAAACTCAAAATGGATGGACGAGAGGTTTCTCAATGTTCCTGTTTAATTCTAAATTATACATTTATCAAAATTAAAATTTCAGTGCACAACATATTCTGTAGAGGCACTATTTTCTACTACGATTTTCTTCATAATTTAGGCTTATTTTGCTACTTAAGATGCACAGTGCACAATGCACATGCAGTTCAAATCTAAGGCTAAGGAAATTAAAACCACCCCATAAGCCATTTAGTATAATTTTGTTTTTGTTCAAAAACGAAGACATCTATTTATAACATTATCTTAATTTTCATATACACCATTGTATACTTTACTAGTGTGTTTTTTCTAATCTTCTTGTCTTGTTGATGAGAACTTTGCATTAAAATGATGAAATATTCATAACAGTTATATACAGGGTGTATATAATTATAAAGTCTCTTTACTATTAAATGCAAAGTCTGCGTAAAGTGTAAAGAGACTTTGTGGACACCCTGTATATATCGCAGTTTTCATATTTCTCAAGCAGGACTCTGACTCTTCTTTTTTCTGGCTATTTCTTAGGAGCACCTCAGCCAATGGCACAATATCCCCCAGGCCCTGGTGCATACCCCCCAGGTGCATATCCCCCTGGTGGGTACCACATACTTTATGCTTCTTTATATGATATGTAGATTGTATGACTATATACTTCACATTGCACACTTTTTAGATGCACATCTTTCTACTTAAACTATTTACTAAACTATATGGTGGAACATTTAGCTTTGTGCTTTATTTCATTCTTTCTTATGTTTTTGTGCACTGGAAAAATGTAATGTACATTATGTCTTCTTATTCCAATATTAGTTTGAACATGCCCCTAGACATTGTTTTATTTTTGAGATATCTGACATTGAAATGAGCAGGTTTAAAACGGCTCATCTTGATCTCTATATCAGTCAGTTCTTACCTCTTTATTGTCAGTGCTCCTTTTAAGCAAACCCAATCTCTTAACATTTTTCTACAATTACTTGTAGGTGCCCCTGGCCCAGTTGCAAACCAACCCAATTTCATGGAAAAGCCTCAGGTCTCAGGGTGTCCCCCTGGATTGGAGTACCTGACCCAAATAGACCAGATCCTGGTGCATCAGCAAGTAGAGTTATTAGAAGGTAGGAACATTCAACTAGTAATCAAGAATCTAACACATTTATGTTTTTAATCTTTATATCGAAAGATAGATGTCTTCAAAGTATGGACAGCCTGAGGTGATTAAGTTAATGCTGCATTAAAAATTTAATGACTTCTTAAATGAGTCCCATGTTATTTTCAGGAATACATGACTATGACTATAGTCTATTGTTCTACAATGTATGAAAATTGAAAACAGTGAAATACACACTTTAGTTTTTTAAGTAAATACATTAGTTATTGAGTGAAATAAAAAAACAACAGTTGTTTCACCCACTTTCTTGATTGGCAAACTTTTCAGTGTGCATGCATTCCATTGAAATGCTTTATACAGTTACAGGATGCCATTCTCATAATATTTGAAAGGACAATCTATTGACTCAAATTGCCCTTTTATTCATTAAAAAATGCAATCATTTCCAAAACATCACTTTGGGGTAAAATTTCTTAAGTGATCATTATTCATGTGTATAAATTTATTATATGTTTCAGTTGTGACTGGATTTGAAACTCAGAATAAATATGAGATCAAGAACTCTATGGGGCAACAGGTGTACTTTGCCCAGGAGGAGTCAGGTTGCTGTATGAGACAATGCTGTGGGCCAGGAAGAGGGTTTACCATGCACATCACAGATAACTTGGGTCAGGTAAGGAACAGCAGGTCTACTTTGCTAAGAGTAGAGTGATATGTGTATGAGACAATGCTGTGGGCCAGGTAGAGGATTTGTCATGCACATCACAGATAACTTGGGTCAGGTAAGGAACAGCAGGTCTACTTTGCTAATGAGTAGAGTGATATGTGTATGAGACAATACTGTGGACCAGGTAGAGGATTTGTCATGCACATAACAGATAACTTGGGTCAGGTAAGGAACAGCAGGTCTACTTTGCTAATGAGTAGAGTGATATGTGTATGAGACAATACTGTGGACCAGGTAGAGGATTTGTCATGCACATCACAGATAACTTGGGGCAGGTAAGGAACAGCAGGTCTACTTTGCTAATGAGTAGAGTGATATGTGTATGAGACAATGCTGTGGTCCAGGTAGAGGATTTGTCATGCACATCACAGATAACTTGGGGCAGGTAAGGAACAGCAGGTCTACTTTGCTAATGAGTAGAGTGATATGTGTATGAGACAATGCTGTGGGCCAGGTAGAGGATTTGTCATGCACATAACAGATAACTTGGGTCAGGTAAGGAACAGCAGGTCTACTTTGCTAATGAGTAGAGTGATATGTGTATGAGACAATACTGTGGACCAGGTAGAGGATTTGTCATGCACATCACAGATAACTTGGGGCAGGTAAGGAACAGCAGGTCTACTTTGCTAATGAGTAGAGTGATATGTGTATGAGACAATGCTGTGGGCCAGGTAGAGGATTTGTCATGCACATCACAGATAACTTGGGGCAGGTAAGGAACAGCAGGTCTACTTTGCTAATGAGTAGAGTGATATGTGTATGAGACAATGCTGTGGGCCAGGTAGAGGATTTGTCATGCACATCACAGATAACTTGGGTCAGGTAAGGAACAGCAGGTCTACTTTGCTAATGAGTAGAGTGATATGTGTATGAGACAATGCTGTGGGCCAGGTAGAGGATTTGTCATGCACATCACAGTCAACCTGGGTCAGGTAAGAGACAGCAGGTCTACTTTGTTAATGAGTAGAGTGATATGTGTATGAGACAATGCTGTGGGCCAGGTAGAGGATTTGTCATGCACATAACAGATAACTTGGGTCAGGTAAGGAACAGCAGGTCTACTTTGCTAATGAGTAGAGTGATATGTGTATGAGACAATGCTGTGGGCCAGGTAGAGGATTTGTCATGCACATAACAGATAACTTGGGGCAGGTAAGGAACAGCAGGTCTACTTTGCTAATGAGTAGAGTGATATGTGTATGAGACAATGCTTTGGACCAGGTAGAGGATTTGTCATGCACATCACAGATAACTTGGGTCAGGTAAGGAACAGCAGGTCTACTTTGCTAATGAGTAGAGTGATATGTGTATGAGACAATGCTGTGGGCCAGGTAGAGGATTTGTCATGCACATAACAGATAACTTGGGGCAGGTAAGGAACAGCAGGTCTACTTTGCTAATGAGTAGAGTGATATGTGTATGAGACAATGCTGTGGGCCAGGTAGAGGATTTGTCATGCACATCACAGACAACCTGGGTCAGGTAAGGAACAGCAGGTCTACTTTGCTAATGAGTAGAGTGATATGTGTATGAGACAATGCTGTGGGCCAGGTAGAGGATTTGTCATGCGCATCACAGATAACTTGGGTCAGGTAAGGAACAGCAGGTCTACTTTGCTAATGAGTAGAGTGATATGTGTATGAGACAATGCTGTGGGCCAGGTAGAGGATTTGTCATGCACATAACAGATAACTTGGGTCAGGTAAGGAACAGCAGGTCTACTTTGCTAATGAGTAGAGTGATATGTGTATGAGACAATGCTGTGGGCCAGGTAGAGGATTTGTCATGCACATAACAGATAACTTGGGGCAGGTAAGGAACAGCAGGTCTACTTTGCTAATGAGTAGAGTGATATGTGTATGAGACAATGCTGTGGGCCAGGTAGAGGATTTGTCATGCACATCACAGATAACTTGGGACAGGTGAGCCTGATTTGCTTATTACAGTAAATCTTGCATAACAAGTATATATGGTCCCAACTTTATTTGTTCACTCTGTGATGGGTACTTTGGTATCAGAATTATAAATTTCTCATCTACGAAATCATCACCCTCCTGTTAGGGGTTTCAACTTCTAATTGTAGTCCTCAGATGTATCAATATATGTATAGTATAGGTACAGAAGGTGCAGTTTATATGCAGTAGGTATAGTTTAGGTACTGAAGGTTCATTTTGTCTTGGTGCAGTAGGCACACTATAGGTCCAGCAGGTACATTTTTGGTGCAGTAAGCACAGTGTAAACTCTATAGGTAATGTCAGTCTAGGTGCAATATGTACAGTCAGTCTAGGTGCAGTAAGTGCATGAGTCTAGTTGCAGATGATCTAGGTGTAGTATGGATGCAGAAGGGTACAGTCTAGATGCAGTAGGTACAGTGTAGGAACTAGTATAACTTCTCTCATATCTATTTTCTTTCAGGAGGTGATCAGGTGTAGAAGACCATTTAAATGTTGTGCTGGGTGCTGTTGGTGTGCTAGTGCTGAATGTTGTGCTTATACACTAATTGTTGAGACACCTGCAGGGGAGGTGCTTGGAACAGTAAGACAAGCGTAAGCCAGCTGCTGTAAAATCAATATATATCAATCACTTGTAACCATGGATATAATAGTACATGTATATTGTTGAAGAATAATTGACTAAGAAGTTTTTAACTCTCTGAACATTTCTGTTTATAACCTCCAGATAAAGTATCATTGTCTAGTGGGATTTACAGTGGGATGCTCAGGTCCAGTGATAAATTCCTTTTTGCCTGAGCTAAATATCAATATTTTGGACTTTAGGTGCAGCCCATGGACACCAAAATTTACCATTATGGATGCCAATGACCAAACAATATTTGATGTGAAAGGCCCATGCTGTATCTGTGTGGGCCCATGCTGTACTTGGGACCAGGAATTTGTGGTAAGCTTTTTAGTCTAAGTTTGTAATATTCCCTCATGATAAATCCAAATCTGTTTAATGATATCTAAAGTAATCTGAACACCTAAATTAATCTGTCTTAATGTAGAAATAAAAGGTGAGTGTAAAAGCAGACACTATAAAGCTGCAATGACTATAATTAGTGTTGACATCTTGTACTTTTATATTTTTGTAACATACTAATATGTTTTATGAATTAAGGCAGTTGTATGAGACAGCATTGGTTTCATAATACTTGTCCTCTCTTGAGATTTTGTCATCATATTTTGATTGAGAAAATATAAATATCTTAAAGAAAAATTTTATCGTTTATTTATTTAATTTTTTATATTTCATTAAAATAAAGTTATGAGATGCTGGGTACAATTTATTTTAGCTTATTAATGGACCTTAGTGAATTGTACTTTATACAAAATTGCATTGAAAATAAATTATATTATTTTTTATTATGCAGGTAACACAGCCAGACAGTGGGCATGAGGTTGGTAAGGTCAGCAAACAGTGGTCGGGCCTCGTCAAGGAAATGTTCACTGATGCAGACAACTTTGGAATATCATGTAAGACATAAAATATGTATATGTATGTTGGATTGTCTGTAACTAATAAATAAAACGTGTTTCAACAATATGTTCAATCCTTGAAAAAAGATCATTAATCTCCATATAATTAAATCATCATTGACATAAAATAAAATGCTCCATTTTCCTCACTCCAAACCTAACTAATTGAAGCATAATGATGTGATAAATGATTCTCAATAAATGTGTGATAACTCCTCAATATGTTTCCAGTTCCCATGGATCTTGATGTAAAGATCAAAGCAGTGATGATTGGAGCAGTTTTCCTTATTGTAAGTTTGTTTAATAATCTATTTAATATGCAAGCTTTATGCGAGCCTAATGTAACCTTTGTTAATACATTGCCATAGCCACTGCCTTGTCAAAGCAAATGAAAATAAATAATTTTATGTTATCATGATGGATTCACTTTGCTTTTTGCCTTAGGGCTTATTCAAGAATAGTTGGATTTAGGCTCATTACTCTTAAAGTATTATCTCAGACAATTTCATTCAGACTTAATTGCTTTGGTATGGGGAATTATTTAGATGGTTTGTAGGGGTTCGGTCCAGGGCACGCCTTAAGCGTCGGACAGCTGGTCATTATCTGGTTACTTTTGATACTGACCAGTTGGTTTTTTCACTAGGTATAGGAAAATAACATTGCAACTGGTCAGTAATGCCTTTTTGACCAGCAGCTCTGGAATCCTTAAGGCATACACTGGTTCGGTCAATAGCCTGCTATGTGTCATTGATAAATGCCAGTATGCTGATGCTATTATGCTGCTTTATTTATACAAACAAACCACCCTATATCTCATATCAGAGGCCAATTTAGAACTTGATGCTGATAAAGAGAAAAGAGCAGGATAATAAACTCCATCCTCCAAACACATGGCTACAAATAATCTGGATCTTGGAGCCTTGCAACTGGAGGATGAATACACCCAACTTTTAATCCATACAGTCAGCCTTTTCACTGTTATAAGGCAGATGTGGCAAAAGCCCTGCAATAATAGAAAACATGCAATTTACAGGTCCAAAAGATACACAAACTTCATTATGAGCACCTTTTTATCATATATACATATATCATATTATCATACATAACTGAATTTTATTTTAAAGAGATAGTATATGATAGATTGTGCTCACTATGATAAACTGGGTGTATTACGAAAAGCTATAGATCGAAACTGTTCTGTAGATGGATGATATACAGATAAGTGCATGTTGAATTTGCCACCCAACACTTATGGAAGTGTTGAAAGGATACCACATACTTTTTACATGCTTTTCTTTTTACAGGATCTTATGTACTTCCAAAAAAGAAATAATAATAATAACCATTGTAAGTACAATTAATAAGGACTATCATTTAATGATTGGGTTCAATTCTTAGTCTAGTCTTTCTTTGATGTGAATATGGTCTTAGACCAGTTTGCTCTTGCACCTGTTCCCCTTGTAAGCCTAATTCTTGTGATCCTACACAATTCAAGGATGACACTTGTCAGCCCTGCGTTCTGAGCATGAATAACACCTGTGAGCCAGGAGGATAACACTTGTGAGCCAGGAGGATAACACTTGTGAGCCAGGAGGATAACACTTGTGAGCCAGGAGGATAACACGTGTGACCCAAAGGTATATCACATGTGTGGTGTGTGCCTCATTCAAGAATAAGAATAACACTTATAAGCCTTGATCCAAGGTGACACTTATGAGCCAAGATGATAACACTCGATATGAGCCTAGAGATAGCACTTGTGAGCCAAGAGAATAAGACTTGTAAGTCAAGAGGATAAGACTTGTGACCCAAGAGGATAACACTTGTAAGCCAAGAGGATAAGAATTATAAGACCTAGAGGATAACACTTGTAAGCCAAGAGGATGACAATTGTGAGCCTAGAGGATGGCACTTGTGAGCCTAGAGGATGAGACTTGTAAGCCAAGAGAATGACACTTGTGAGCCTAGAGGATGGCACTTGTGAACCTAGAGGATGAGACTTGTAAGCCAAGAGGATGACAATTGTGAGCCTAGAGGATGGCACTTGTGAACCTAGAGGATGAGACTTGTAAGCCTAGAGGATGAGACTTGTAAGCCAAGAGGATGGTACTTGTGAACCTAGAGGATAAGACTTGTAAGCCAAGTCAGGATAAGTCTTGTAAGCTAAGAGGATGAGACTTGTTAAGCCTAGTTCAAGAATGACACATGTGAGCCTAGATAAGAACTATGTTAGACTGAGTCTTGTTCAAAACTGTTACTTGTGAGCCTAGTTCTCCTACCAAACCATCAGGAATTCAGCCCCATACTCTTCCATTGTACATGCTAGGATGGGAAACATTTAACTGGGAAACAATAGACATCAGATTTCAGTTAAAGTCAGAAGTCAGCTCTCTTGAAATAGCCTAGGTTTATAATGGTTGTGCAGGGCAGGGAGATGATGGGGTCATGTTCCTGGAATGATCCTCTCAATTTATATAAGCTAGAGTCAAAAATGGTTATTCAGAAATTGATAAGACTGCATCTTCTTTTTAGGATTTTATGTATTTTGAGAAGGAAGAAAATGAAAAGAATAATTGAAGTCCCTTAAAGTAGTAAGTATATTTCATGTGAAAGTTGTCATAGGAACCATTTTGTCAAATTTCTAACTCAAAAAAGTTAGAAATTGAGTTGTCATGAAATCAACATATAACTAGTTCTTACATTTATGGATTTGGTCATGGTTTTTAGGATTTTGCATCATCGCATTTGCAGTCATTACTTTTAATAATGCACTCTTTTTGATTCTTGACATAATACTGGTGCACTGTAAATCACAAAGTCGTCCAGGGAACCGTATTATGTTGAGGGATACTGAACTTTAAACCATGATAACTCACTTTCACAATGCCTTTCAGTTAATGCATCATTCCTTAAAAGTGAATAGCCATTCTTGAATCTAAATCAAAATGTACAATTGCTGAGTATTGCACTCAAGAAATGATCAATCAGCTTGTCAGGGAAGTTGACATTCTCTCAATCGACTTGGTCATTTGTTCACTGCAACTGTTTGTTTCCCAGTTAATACCCTAATGCACTAACCCCTCCCTCATTCACCTTTCACTTTCTTTTATATAATTTTCAACCTCGATCCCCCTCCCCCTTTGCCTTTCATTTTCTCTTGAATTCTTTTCTCCTTTGATATCATTTCATGACATGCAATTTATGAGTGATGCCATATTATTCTGCTGTCTTTTATTATAATGATTGAATTCATGAGGAAATGATAAGGCCTATACATGTATTTAATTGCTATCTTTCCTTATTCCTACTCTTCATTGCCCTTCATTTGTGTAATATTCAATTCTGGGTAACTCTGTTTGCATTAACATAAAACATACAGAACAACTTATTAAGAGAATTACATGAATGTAAAGAACAATTTCTTTAAAGAATACATTTATATAAATCTTCACTTTCTGATATGATACATCTGTTTATAGGCTTTCTTAAAAGAATTTACAGAATCAGACTCTTTGATTCTAAAGAAGATGAGCATGTCAGTATTATACATATATTCCTTTCTGTTTTTGGAGAATACCAGTGTAACTTTCACGTTTCATGAGTAGTAAATTAAATGTCTGATGTCAGGCATCCTCCTAACACAGGCCTCCAGAACTCGTACCTCCTTTGGAAGAAGGAAGGAACTTAGTGGATGTTGTCTGGAACCCTGCGTTCGGAGGATGAATGTCGGGGGAATATGACTACTTTGAAAACAGAACAATGTTTTTTTGTTTTTTTTTATTATTCACTGTTCTGATTCTGTAAAAAGGGAGAGGGGATGTTAAACTTGAACTGAAGGAAATACTCACTTTTCAAAAATATGGCCTATCTATCAACCAATAAAAAGTAAGCACCAGAAGGAAATATCATGGGATATATTATGTCATTTGATGCATGTTTAACCGATCAGAGAATTTGAAATATTACAGTGAGATGATGATAAAATAAATGCATTTCCACAAATAATCTACATTTTTTATTTTTACTTTTTTCTGATTCACAAACATGTCTTTGTTCCAGGATTTGATGTATTTCCAAAAAAGAAATGAAGAACACAATCAGCACCATTGAAGTAAGTCACATTTACAAAAACAATTAATTATTAACAAAAATAAGTTTATTACAGGAGGTGATGTACGAACATGTATTTCCAAAAACAGGAAAACAATAAAGCCCGCTTTATTATGATGAGTTTTGTCCCATGATCTAGCTCTTCAGTCTCTTCTCTTTCCAGCTTTTTGATGACTTGCATCTCTTATGCTTCCTAACTCTCATCATTTGATTTCTCTTTACAGGTTAAATGAGATAATCCCCTTCTCTATCTTAAACAATCTTATCTTGGCTCTGAGATAAAGCAAGCAGTCTCACTTTGTTGAAGAAAATCCAGTGACTGCTTTATAATATTTACCAGTGAAATTCTCTTCATTAGATAATTTTTTCTTCTGATTTGTTAATTGCAGTACTATTCTTCTAATTTGGTCTATTATCATAAGCTTTAAGCTTTTATAATAGTCAAGGAATTAAGTTTTTGAACTATTGCTTAATATGTGATGTATACTGCTTGTTGAATATGGTGAAATGTAGTTTTTAAACCTGTGACACAGAAATAAAATATCTTAAACTAAAATATGGTTTTGGGCTTTTATGATAAAAACATTATGATTATAAATACATGTACTGTAGAAAATGTGAAGTATTTGGGAGTTCAAATAGATTTCCTTTCCCTCAAAATGACCATTAATACTAGCGAACAAAATGTGGCACCAGCACTAAGAGAGATAAACATTGAATGTAGTTATTTTTCTTTTTAAAAGCACAATAACTTCAAAAGGATAGGTATCGATATGGAGAACTGAATTCAACAATGTTTTTCTCTTCAACCAATCCTTGAAAACATTCTGTAAACAAGGCATTAACATGACAAAATGTCACCACCTAAAACAATTTGGTCAATTTAAAGCAAGTTGGAAAATACCTTTTGACCTTAAGAAGGTTTGATTTGAACTTCTTAGAACATGTAGATGATTTTGAAAAAAAAATTCATCAATTTGAAGCAAGTTGAAAAAATACCTCTTTGACTTTTTTTGACATTGATAAGGTCATTGAAGGTCAAATGTCAAGTCAGATTTGAACTTCTGAGAACATGTAGATGATTTTGAAAAAAAATTAAGTAAATTTGAAGCAAGTTGAAAAAAGACCTTTTTGACCTTGAAAAGGTCATTGAAGGTCAAATGTCAAATCTAAAGTCAGATTTGAACTTCTGAGAACATGTAGATGATTTTGAAAAAAAATTAGTCAATTTGAAGCAAGTTGAAAAAAGACCTTTTTGACCTTGAGAAGGTCATTGAAGGTCAAATCTAAAGTCAGATTTGAACTTCTGAGAACTTGTAAAAGTCAAATTTGAACTTCTGAAAAGATGTAGATGATTTTGAAAAAAAAATTTGGTCAATTTGAAGCAAGTTGAAAACAGACCTTTTTGACCTTGAGAAGGTCATTAAAGGTCAAATGTCAAATCTAAAGTCAGATTTGAATTTCTGAGAACATGTAGATGATTTTGAAAAAAAAAATTAGTCAATTTGAAGCAAGTTGAAAAAAGACCTTTTTGACCTTTTTTGACCTTGAGAAGGTCATTGAAGGTCAAATGTCAAATCTGACTTAAAGTCAGATTTGAATTTCTGAGAACATGTAGATGATTTTGAAAAAAAAGATTTAGTCAATTTGAAGCAAGTTGAAAAAAGACCTTTTTGACCTTTTTTGACTTTGAGAAGGTCATTGAAGGTCAAATGTCAAATCTTAAGTCAAATCTAATGTCAGATTTGAATTTCTGAGAACACGTAGATGATTTTTAAAAAATATTTTAGTCAATTTGAAGCAAGTTGAAAACAGACCTTTTTGACCTTTTAACCTTTTTTGACCTTGAGAAGGTCATTGAAGGTCAAATGTCAAATCTAAAGTCAGATTTGAATTTCTGAGAACATGTAGATGATTTTGAAAAAAAAATTTTGTCAATTTGAAGCAAGTTGAAAACAGACCTTTTTGACCTTTTTTGACCTTGAGAAGGTCATTGAAGGTCAAATGTCAAATCTAAAGTCAGATTAGAAGGTCAAATGTCAAATCTAAAGTCAAATCTAAAGTCAGATTTGAATTTCTGAGAACATGTAGATGATTTTGAAAAAAAATTTAGTCAATGTGAAGCAAGTTGAAAAAAGACCTTTTTGACCTTGAGAAGGTCATTGAAGGTCAAATGTAAAATCTAAAGTCAGATTTGAACTTCTGAGAACATGTAGATGATTTAGAAAAAAATTGAAGTCAGTCTAAACAGTATTTGTTAAGTTATAGGAAGTTGTAAGAAATTGTTACAGACGCCGGACGCCAACCGCCGGACGCCGTCGCAAAAAAACGGAGACCATAACAATATGTCACCACTTTTGGTGGTGACATAAAAATCATGGTATTTTATGTAATGTTAACTGATTGACAACAAATTAATGCAAAAATTATTTAGAAATATTTTATATAACTGTTTTTGTTAACATTTTTGTTTTTTAGTGCAATTGTTTTTGCTCCTTTCTACCAATTCTTGAGAATGAAATAAAATGTCTTTCCAAATCTTGTTGGAACAAAACAGCATATACAACATGCTTTTAGACCTCTCAATATTAAAGTTATACAAAGGAATTTTTGGTTGATTTTAAAAAAGTATTCAAAAAAATTAAAACAAAACCCCCCAAAATAGATAAAAATCAAGAAAAACCTTTTATTTCATTAACAAGATACTTTTTTAAAATCAACCAAAATTTCCTAATGTACAATTGCAATATTGAGAGACCTAAACATGTTGTGTTTATGTCGTTTTGTTCCAATGAGGTTCGGAAAGATGTTTCATTTCACTCTGGAAACATGATACCAAGAACAAAACAAGTGTTTGATGTGTTTTTTAAAACAATATAGATGAAAGTATGTATATCTATTTCAAATTATATTGTAACCATTCAAAAGATGGCCATTAAATTTTTGATGATTGGTTTAAGAGAAACGTGTGTTCAAAAAGTTCGCCATATCGATACCCATTCTTTGTTTTAGTATTGTGATTAATGATTTGTTTTGTTGTTATATATTCTGGTATTTGGTTATTGTTTTATTGTTTTTCTGATTTCAGAATATGATGTATTTTGAGGATGGACACAAAGATCACAGTAATCACTAGCATTAATTAATGAACATAATGGACTTGGTCAAAATATCATTTTGTCATGGTTTTGAAATGAATTGCATTTATGAAGCATATATTAGAAATAAGAAACAGAGTCGGTTTTAGAGGTGATATGCGAACAGCATTTATAAGTTTCTCCAAAAATGGGATTTTGCCTTGATTCCTTTAAGAATAAAATGTACATATACGGCTATTTAATATGAACATTGAGAAATTTTGGAATAGAGGATTTCACATAGATATGAATAAAAACAATAATTTACTTGTAGACTGATATCAATATTGTATAATATATTCTATTAAAATAAATAACTGTTGTGTTTTGAATCTGTTCTTTCCTACCTATAATTAGCCTAATTAACCTTATCATTAATTCATAATGACATGTGACTTACACAATAAAAGGAATTAAATAGAAATCCTCATTTCTGAAAATAAACAAGCTGGAAAAAAATCCTCACCAAGCAAGCAGCATGACAAGTTTCAAATTGAAAAAAAACTACATGTACAATACACAATTTTAATTATTTCACTTCTGACATAAAATATTATCTGCAAGCTTCAATGATAACAAAAAAAGTTTGTTTCCAAGTCTATTTATTGTAAAGTTACATGTAAATATCATTTTGAAGTAAAAATATTTTTGAATGGCCTTCAGGACTGTCAATAGATGGCATAGAATTCAGTAGGTTTATAATAGCAAATATAGTACTAAAGATCTCCAAATACAGATTTTATTGAAAATGTCCAAAACCTTATAATTTTGAATCTAAAAACATAATGAAGGAAAATTTGACATTTATTTGATACTATATAGTGAATTTGAAGTTTTAAAACAGCAATATTTACACACAAACCAATGGGCCAGATGTGAAGAACAACCTAGTAATTAACTGCCATCTATACAAGTCCTGGCTCCCATTACTTTTGATGAGCATTGCAGCTTTTACCCCTTTAACTAACAGATGAACCCCCACCCCTTGTACTATTCAGTTGAAGGAATATTGCTGAGTCATATTCAGCAGATTTACAAATACATTAGAACATCAATTATTCCTATTTAATCATATTCTACCTTTGTATATTTAAGTCTGACCATGCTAAGAAAATCAATAAGTTATACAAGCACCAGCCAATGTTTGGGGTTTCTTGGATATGGATTGATTGAATGTATTCAATGTTAAAGCTCTTATACATACAACTTAAACTAACCTATAGCCTCAATGTAGTAAACGTTTAAGGCGAGTAGAGTGGTAGATGGTAAACATTTGCAATTTGTTGTTGGAAACAGAAATCATATCGGTTATCAAGGTAAGTGTAGTTTATCATATCTAATAATCAGTATTGTGAAATTATTTTATATTCACTTTTTACATGTAGATGTACTTTTTAATAATTACACTCAGTTGATTAATCATGAGAAATTCAGTTGATCTGAAAAAAAATGTTACATAAATGGACAACGGTTGTTTCCCTTATTCAAATTCTGGTCTAAGCCCTACATTCTTGACTACCAGGGGACTTTTTATGTCTTGAGCTAAAAGAATAGAAAGGTTTTATATCTGAAATCTTGTAATGAATTTCGAATATGATACAAAAATACATATAGGATATGGCCAATAAGGTATATACATGTATGCTCATGTACATGTGTTTTCATTACATTATGAACATGTAATGATAATTGTATTCTTTGTAATTTTTGACAAAAAGAAATGACTTTCAGTAATTCTTATGTGGTTATTCACTGCCAACAGATTTGTATTTTTGAATTTAGTGATTTTCATTTTACATTAGCAAACCTTTAACAATAACAATTTTTATGATGATTTAGTTTTGAAAGTATATGGACAAAGAAGTATTTGGACAAAACAAGATGAAATTGAGTTTAATATTCTAAATGCATGAATGACTGACATTTTCTCCCCATCCCTTAAATTATTTCATATACATGTACATATATGTACATTTATTTTATATTCATCAATGTACAAATGCTTTTTTGTATTTCAGGTGAGCTGCAAGAATGTCTCAGAATACTATACAGCCTATACAGCAACAGCCAGGGGGCAATCCCCCTCCACCACAGCAATATGAACGTAAGTCTTCACTTTACAGCTTCTCTATGGTTTTTATTTGCTTTGAGAAGACTTACATCACTTCAATATGGAAAATAATAGAAAAAACACAGAATGGCTATTATATAAGTTTCCAAAGTATTTATAAATATCACAGTTGCTTCCTATATTGCTTTACAAAGAAACTCTGAAATGAAGATTTAAGCTATAACCAGTGGTTTCTTTCACTTTCAATTTAGAGGGCTATTTTTATCAATTGAAGGTACTGTAACAATTAATTGGGTGGCCAGAATACAACAATTCTTGGATACACAAATATAAATCAATAAATTAGTCAGATTTCACATACTACTCAGGCTGCAGTCAGCCTAACTTAAATATTCAATTCATATCGTCTTGTGTGCTGAAAAATTAAAGAAACGGCAGCAATATTTGATTAAACTCCAACTGATGCTGTAGGTTTTAACACTAAATGGATAAACAGTGCAGGATATACAAATCTTGCCTGGTAACAATAAGCAACACAAATACATAAAATATAAATAGAATATAACAATGCCTCCAGGAAACCAAAATTCATTGAACACTGTATTAATTATTCAATAGATCTCTTCATGCAGACAGATTGTTAATCCTTATTACATTTTAAGTATCAACAGAAATATTAAAATTGCTATATTTTTCCTACAGTATCTGTATTAATTGAAATATTATGATATTTTCTGTATTATTCATTACAATAATAAATAAAAAAATGAAAAGAGAAATCATTTCTAGATTTTTGACCTCTCTCTTAATTATTAGCTTTGTGCACTGTGCATTATTCCCCTATTATTCATGTTAAATCTCTAAATTTTGTTTTAAATTTCCTTGTCCAAATTTTATGTTTAATGTCTTTATTTCAAGTGAAATATCTGTATTTTATCATAAATGTCCTCATTCCCTGTCAAATGTTCCTATACACCTGATTTTATGCTAAATGTCCTCATTCCATGTCAAATGTTCCTATACACCTAATTTTATGCTAAATGTCCTCATTTCATGTCAATGTTCCTATACCTGTACACCTTATTTTATGCTAAATGTTGTTATTTCAGCTGCCCCAGTTAGTCAGCCAATTGGCATGCAACCAATGGGTGGACAGCAGCCAGTATCTGGCCAGCCTCAGGGATTCATGGAGAAGCCAGCCGGAACAGCAGGATGTCCCCCTGGACTCGAATACCTGACCCTCATAGACCAACTCCTGGTTCATCAACAGGTTGAAATGTTGGAAGGTAAATAACAAATAAGTGCCAATGCTAGGGGAAAGACTAAAAATGAACAAAAAACACACCATACATAAAGGAACATTCTGTAACTAGTTATAGACCAGGGAAACAAAATCTTCATCAATAAAGATACAAAACAGTATCCCAATAGACTAGATGCGAGTAGAAAAAATCTTGATTTACACCATTAAATATTCAAAATTCAATCAAAGCGATGTTATATTTGAGATCTACATGTAAAAGTACATCTAGAAATATGGTTTCGAAAATTGTTTATCAAGTTTGAAAATCTAATTATTTTTGAAAGTGTGACTTCTAGTTCGGGTTGATTCTCCATAGAGCCCACGTTACAAAATCACAAAAAGTGAAATATCTTTTCTTGTATTGGTCAGATAACATTTTCATTTACTGGACGTATTTTGATTTGCATAACTATTAGAAACATATAGCGCAGTCAGATGTCCCTTTGGTAGTTCGACTTTTTCAGGAAAGCAACAAACTTGGCACAGTTGTAGAAACATATGATCTGAATGAAAAATGATTTCGGGGCAAGTGATTCGGAGTGGTCTTCATAGATTGTAAGCCTCTGACCCCCACCCCTATCAGGCGGGGAGGGGGTACATTATAATAAAATAAATAAAAATAGTTGTAAAGTATATTTCTTTATATGACTTCATTTGGTGATTGCTTTTAGCCTTGAAATTGAGAAAAACCTATTTTAGAAGTGGTGTTTAGGATGGAAAATACATTTTAACCCAATCATCTAGCGTGAATTCATCTTTCAAGGGTCAAATATGGGACATCAAGTACTGTATTTCAAGAATGTGATGTCTGATCATCCTGAAAAAATTCATACTAATAGAGATATAGGTGTTAATCACTCATATGATATATGGCTTGTGTAGCTCATGTAATTTTTGAGAAATAAATTATCGAAATATGGATATTTAAGCCCTTGCGGCCTAGGGGTGACCTTATTTTACCTTAATAATTTTTAAGATATGCAATGTTTGGGCCTCATATGAATTCTAAATGTTGCATTAAGTATTGTTTTGTCATATTATTCCTAATTATATAAAAAAAAAATTATTGGAAATAAAAAAAAAATCAAATTTTCATTTTCGGTTCTAAAGGGCCAGGGGTAACCATATTTTACCCTAATAATTTCCCAGATATGTAATATATGCATCTCAAATTAGCTCAAGATGGTGCATATAGTTCTGTTTTATCATACTTCTTCCAATAAGATGTAGAAAATGATCGGATATATCTAAAATATCAAAATTTTCACTTAAGCTCTTGATGGCCCTTGGGTAACCTTATTTTACCTTAATAATTTTCTAAATATGAGACATAGTCACCTCAAATGAGCTTAAGATGGTATATTTAGTCCTGTTTTATCAAATCATTCCCAAGGAGTGAAAAAATGATTGGAAATTATAAGAAAATGACATTTTCATATTACACCCCCAATCCGCAACATCTTCTTGCAGCGCTGTAAACAGTACTGAACAGTGCAGTACTCTGACTATAGCAATGTACAATGCTATTCTAACACCATCTGTTTTGGACAGCGTAGTACAGTACTGTTTTTACAGCTCAGTGCTGTTTTAGAAAACAGCTGTATTCAGTACTGTTTTTACAGCACTGTTTATGAAACCATGCTGTTTGATGCAGTTTGAGATTGATAGTGTAGTTTATGATAGGTCAGGAATGACCTAATTTTACCTTAAAAATTTAAACAAAGATATATCATATTGTCTACTCAAATGAGCTCAAAATAGTGAATATAGTCTAGTTTTGTCATATATTATTGCTCCTGAGATATACAATAATGATTAACAATTATAAGATATGAACCTCAACAGCCATTTATTCCTTTTTAGTACCAATGGCAATACTATCTAGTTTTATAGAACATTTTCTAAGATATGAAAATGTTTGATAAGTCCAGTTCATATTCGCACGAGTAGTAGCATTGTTAAGATTCTGTATATTATCATTTGAGTACATATAATCCAAATCTATAAAACCTAATCAAAGGAGTCACAATTTATGGATTCTGACAGTCTCTCCTACAGCTACATAGCTCAGAGCAAATCAGATCTGCTTTCAAACATTTGCATCTGTTCTCTTGACACAGGTATCTACCCCATGACCTACATTTTATGTTGTGGCCTCAGTATCAGCAGTGGGAGTAGTCCAGCCACATTCATGTGGTGATAGAAACTGTGGGTAAGAATGCATCAGAATGAATAAGGACTCTAGTCTTCTAATTTTAGGGTATCAAAAAAGATTTAAAGCTTAAGAACACTTGAGTAACCTCTGGGTACACCTTCTATTCCTGCAAATCAGTTGACTAAGAGTAGTAGCAGAATGCATCTAGCGATTGTATGAAAAATGGTAAGGGCTAAACTTCGTTCATGCCCAAGTAGACTGCCAGTTTAAACCACATCAAAATCAACTGTATTGACTATGATTCTTATTAGGTCATGACAGAAGCAGTCTTTGGCATGCTTTTTCATATGAGCGAATGGTGATGGCAGATACTTCACTATCAGGCTAAGATATTGCATTACCTCATTGTGAGGTCACTATCTTCTTGCCATCTTCCTCCAGGGTTTCAGTTTTGATGCCTGGAAGGAAAACAGCTCCCTCTTGTTCCAACTATCTTAGGAAATCTTGCCAATTCCACAGAAGAAAATTAGTTGGATATACTTTCCTCACTGTTCCAGTTTTGTGCTGTTTGTATCTATGCTCATTAACATCAAAGTTGAATGACTAAGCTACATAGTAGATGCCAAAATAATAGACAGGGCATGTATAGTTAAACATGCTTACAGTGAAATATAAAGAAAATCTGGTGATTATGCAAATATGATATTACCCACGTAAAAGTCTGCAAATAGCTCATTGCCTTGATGTCAGCTGGGATGTTTACAAGAACACTAGCTTAAAGGGGCAACAAGGTCTGTAGAAGATTCAATTTTTTTAACTTTTTCTGAGCTATCAGGGCAATATTTGGCTTTGACATACCTATTTTCTTAAAATGTATGGATAAACTATCAATTTCAGCATTAAGAAGTGTAAATTCAGTTCAAAGCTTCTATAAAGGGAGTCCCACTTATAGGTTTTTAAGATCCAAAACATTTCAAGAGGAATCAGCTGAAATAATGTTCATCCAGGGAGTTTCTTTTGAAAAAAATAAACATATATGTTAGTCTTGATGAAATATCAAAACTTGAATATATTTTGACACTGGTCCATGATCGTTGAATGGCCCCTTTGCACTAATTGTTGCACCTCTAAAACAGCACTAGAGAGACTTGTGAAACTGGAACAAGGATAGTCTAAGGAGGAAACTGATACCCTTGAAATGGATGGAAAGAAGATTGTGACCACATAAATTAAGGAGGCAATGCAATGTTTTAGCCCAACAGTGAGGTTCTGTCATCACCCTTGCTCTTATAAGAAGAAGCAGATTCAAGGATTTTCTCAATATTTTCAGTTAGACTGCTTCAATCATGGCCTTCAAGAGAAAGAATAATACTCCTTACATTTAATTCTGATGTGGTTATCCTGGCATATATGTGATGTTAAAAACTGAAAAAGTCAATTTGGATAGCATATGGTAAGGGAGAAAACATATCAATATCTACCTGCCCATGACCAAAGTTTAATCCTCCCCATTTCTCATACAATCATTGGATGTGAAGTTACATCTGTATTCTACTGCTATGGAAAAATGGAATAAATGGATTGAGATTTAAATGTGTCACTGGATTTTCTAATTATTGTTAATCATTATCTCAGTAGGAATAAAGTGAAAAACAGACTATTTTCCCCATTTTGAGATCATTTTATCTTGAAAATTATTTTTGATAACATTTGGCATTCTTGTGCCCAATCATTGACTGTCAATATTCACTAACAGAATCTTTGACAGAAGCAGCTCACCTTAACCCCCCCCCCCATCAGGCTAAGGTGACTGGACTTACTACCCTTTGCATTCATTCGACTTTCCTTCTCAAAAGAGAGCTTCGTCTTCACTCTATCAGTTTTCAATGAATCTCTGAACTCACTGCGCTAATCAGAGTTTGTTGTCGAATTAAGGACAGCTTTCTATATGGTCATTTTCTCTGACGCATCATTAATGTGCACGCATTTACCACTTGTTCCTTCAAGCGCGCTGATTGGTTGAGAATAGGTCAGCATGGTTTATTGCAGCTTGGGTCATAAATGCTTTAAGACCCAAGCTGCCAATGGCATCGATCATGGGGACGGGGCTGCTAAACTCACTCCATCCTGTGCTTCTATATTATGGTAATATATGATAAAATCACCCCTGACCTGTGAAAAGCTAAAAATGTCATTTTTCAAATTGACATTTTGACAATATGACAAAACAAGAGTATATGACACAATTCTAAGCTCATTTGAGATGCATACGTCTCATTATTAAGAAAAGTTCAAGGTTAAATAAGCCCCCCCCCCAGGCCATCATAAGCTAAAATGAAAATTTCAAATTTTAAGAAATGTCCAATCATTTTCTACATCTTATTGGAGGTATAATGATTAAACAGAACTATATGCACCATCTTGAGCTAATTTGGGATACATATATTACAAACCTTGAAAGTTATTACGGTAAAATATGGTTACCCCTGGCCCTTCAGAAGCGATAATGAAATTATTATTTTTTTGAAAAGTTCCAATCATTTTTCAATCCAATTAGGAATAATATGACAAAACAAGACTCAATGCACCATTTTGAGCTCATATGAGACCCATACATTGCATATCTTAACAATTATTAAGGTAGAATAAGGTTACCCCTAGGTCGCAAGGGCTTAAAAATTCAAATTTCGATAATTTTTATCTCAAAAAATACATGAGCTACCCAAGCCATATTCTATATTTGTGATGAACACTTATACCCCTATTAGTATGAATTTTTCCAAGATGATCAGACATCACATTCTTGAAATACAGTACTTGATGTCCCATATTTGACCCTTTAAAAGATGAATTCACGCTAGATAATTGGGTCAAAATGCATTTTCCACACTAAACACCACATCTACAATCGGTTTGTCTCAATTTCAAGGCTCAGAGCAATCACCAAATGAAGTCATTTAAAAAAAATTACTTCACAACCATTTTTATTTATTTTTTACAATGTACCCCCTCCCCGCCTGATAGGGGTTGGGGTCAGAGACTAAAAAATCCATGAAGACCACTCCGGATCACTTGCCCCGAAATCATTTTCCACTCAGATCAAGTGTTTCTACAACTGTGCCAAGTTTGTTGCTTTCCTGAAAAAGTCGAACTATAAAGGGCTCATTTCTGGACATCTGACTGCGCTAATAAGGGTTATATGAAAATTGAACCACTAAAACAGATGTAATTGAAGTTAAAGGGAACTTTCTACTATACCCGCCATGCTATCTGACCCGAACGAGCCACCTGGTGGTGAAACTGGTAACTACCTACTCGCATCTGCGTTATTTGAGCCTCCTCCTTTCAGTAAACACAATCACAATGCAAAACTATAATTAGACCATTCTGGTTTCATTTTGCCTCAGTGTATTAAAAAGTGCAAGAAAATTTTAAAATATCATCCTAGCATTTAAAAAAGTTTAAAGTTGAGCATTCTGATCCTAAACAGGGATCCCCTGCTTTATGATATTGAATTTCAAAGGGACACAAAATAAAAGAACTGTTTGACAATGAATCACACCAGCTGAAACTCTGTTTCATAAGCAGCACAAATATTTACTTTGTATTAAATTCTTTATTCACATTTAACTAGGTCTAAGTATAGTACATTAAATACAGTTATAGGGTGATACAGAATAAAGTACAACCTTCATATAATGTTCAAATAGTAAAACGCAGGAAATACTATTAAATCCTTTGACCTTTGACCTGATATCTCACAATTTTTCTCTAAAATCTGAGTGAATACTATTTCCTGAAATGCATCTTGGGTAATACAACAAGAACTATGCATATTTAAATAAACCAAATTACATTTATGAGGGATTTATGTCACTATAAATATCAAAAGGAACACATACATTTCAAATTATGTGGGTTTATTATGGCCACACAGTTTCCAGAAGCGATTCCACTCAGAAATATCAAAGACAAAAATATAATGAAATCACTTCACCTTAGTTGGACTGCCAAAATGGTGTTGGATAAATGGTGCTGACTTTGAGTTTAGTTGTTTCAAAAGTTTACTCTGGTCATGTATTCTGTCAATGGATTGCATTTTATTGTGTTACCCTGTATCATGCAAATGTGCAGCATGATAAGAAAAATGCAAAACATGTTTTGTAATATTGTTCACAATCATGTAAAAAACTGTTATATTCTACATTACTAAAATAAATGGCATGTACATAAGCCAGCATGGACTATTAGATTAGAATAAAATAGTGATTTCATATCAAAATCTTGACTTGTGTACTGTATTTCCAGTTTTCTCACTTTAATTCTCTCCCAGATGATGATTTTGTCCCTTCGGAAATCATTTATAAATCACTTATTTCATATACATATATGTATGTAAAAACTGCATAACAATGTTAGGGAAATGAGTATGTATTTCACAGAATGCAAGCAGAGTGTATTATTCTATTCTTCAGTTATCACTGGATTTGAAACCAAAAACAAATACCAAATCAAGAACTCAATGGGTCAGCAGATCTACTTTGCCCAGGAGGAATCGAGTTGCTGTGAAAGACAATGCTGCGGACCTCAGAGAGGATTCATAATGCACATTACAGATAACAGCGGAAAGGTAAGTTCAGATTCTTTATTGCATGTACCATACTATTGGTGAACAAACTAATTTACTTTTTGGTTTTTTATTATAAGTTAATTCAAAAGTTTGAAGTACATGTAGAGAATCGAGTGAAATCAAACAAGCAAAAGCAGACTTCCAAAATATGACATCATTTAACATCCTTTCATCCGGGCTTTGTTAAAGATGAGTGAAACTTGAAACATGGAAGCAAGAAAAGAAGTAACGATTAGTGTTTTTCTTGCTAAAAAATATAAATAGCCTTTTATTTAATATGAAAATTACATCATACATGAGAGAATTTACTTTTTTTTTTCATTTTCCATAAAAGGACAAAGAATTAATAGAGTAGGCCTAGTAGTATTAGAAAAGGCTAATATTGTAATACTAAAATAAAACATACCCAATCTAATTTGATATCTAACATTTTGAACTTGAACACTATTTTTCAGGAAGTAATAACATGTACAAGAGAATTCAAGTGTTGTGCTGGATGTTGTTGGTGCGCTTGTTGTGATTGTGGTGCCATGACATTGAAAGTTGAAGCCAATGGTGAATTCTGTGGAATGGTGAGACAGACGTAAGTTGACCCTTTCATTCATGTTTCTAAAACAAATATTTCATTTACAGTAATTAGCTACAGACATGTATTTTAACCATGTGGTTGTGAAAATGCAGTGGTAGAAACAATATTAGCTTAGTGGCAATGTAGGGCCCTGTGCAAAACTCATAATGCTACATTGCGCAGTTTGGGTCGATATAAAACCTAAAAATTCCACTGTATGTTGTATTGTATTGTCATTGCATGAACATCTCAATGCTGTTGAACTTGAAATAGGAATACTTTTAAAATTCCATCTATTGTTAAACCTGTAAAACCTACAGAGTCCCTATATGGACCTTTTTAAACTTTGTTTCAGATGTAGTAAATGGTCTCCAAGATACCAAATACTTGATGCCCAAGATCAAACCATATTTGATATCCAAGGACCATGTTGTGTCTGTGATGGGCCCTGTTGTCCAATGGATCAGGAGTTTATGGTAAGACAGGAAGATAGCGAGGATATGATAGGGTGATATTATAAAAAGGCATCAGCTAAGATGATATGCACCACCTTGTACTATAGCAATAAGACAATGTGGATGTTAAAATATTATTTCCCACTTTTTTCAACTTGAAACCCTTAACCCTTGAATATAGAAGGTTATGAAAATATTTTTCCTCATTATGTTTGCTTCATATGCTTCATGTTTTTGCCTCTTATGCCTATGTCTTATTTATGCATATCATATTCCAGCTACTGTCATCCAACACCGGAGATGAGGTTGGCAAGATCAGTAAGCAGTAAATCCCTGTATTATGTGTATGACTTTATGATTCATTTTCTAGCTGTTGTCATCCAACACTGGAGATGAGGTTGGAAAGATCAATAAGCAGTAAATCCCTGTATTATGTGTATGACTTTATGATTCATTTTCTAGCTGTTGTCATCCAACACTGGAGATGAGGTTGGCAAGATCAATAAGCAGTAAATCCCTGTATTATGTGTATGACTTTATGATTCATTTTCTAGCTGTTGTCATCCAACACTGGAGATGAGGTTGGCAAGATCAATAAGCAGTAAATCCCTGTATCATGTGTATGACTTTATGATTCATTTTCTAGCTGTTGTCATCCAACACTGGAGATGAGGTTGGCAAGATCAGTAAGCAATACACTGGCTTTGTGAAGGAAGCTTTCTCCACTGCAGATAACTTTGGAGTGAATTGTAAGTAATGTTTTCAATATGAATAGCAAAGTTTAATTAAAAAATTTTACACATGTCACAGCCTGTTTAATTGTAACATATTTTAACATACCTTTGTTCAAAAATCATGTTGATAAAATTTCTTAGTTTATTCAAAATTCCCCAAATCTCCTTAATTATTTTTTACTATTTCTAGTAGTCATTTGTTCTCTCAATTACATGTAGTCATTTTTGCTTTATTTTAATTTTTATGTTTCCAGTTCCCATGGATCTTGATGTGAAAATGAAAGCAGTGATGATTGGAGCAGTTTTCCTTATTGTATGTACATATTCTACATTAATGTCAAAATGAACCACTTAATGTCAACATGAATCATTTGATGTCAAAATGAATTATTTGATGTCAAAATGAACCTCTTAATGTAAAAGAGAACCATTTAATTTCCAAATGAACCACTTATTGTCAAAATGAATTATTTGATGTCAAAATGAACCACTTAATGTCAACATGAATCATTTGATGTCAAAATGAATTATTTGATGTCAAAATGAACCTCTGTAGACCTGACCATTTAATTTCCAAATGAACCACTTAATGAAAAAAATATCAAGTTACCCTGTTATGCTTTGTTTTTAGGACTTCATGTTCTTTGAGGAGAAAGATAATGGAGGAGAAGGATAATTAAAGGAGAAGGACAATTAAAGGAGAAGAATAATTAAAGGAGCCAGAATATCTAAATCCCTGCGAGAAATGTAGCCAATAATGAACTTAACCCTAAGGAATCTGATAGAGATTGAGTGCCATTGGTTGCAAGTGACTCAGTGGCCTCTCAGATTATTTACCGTATATAGAATTTATAATCAAAACTACTCTAAAAATCAAAAATAACTACTGTGGATTTGAAAATTATCATCAATATTCAAAGAAACTTAACACAAAACCAAAATATGACCTGTTCCAAACAACTAAATGTAAAAAACATGTTAAAATGTACATCCACCTATACTATGTGTATTTGTAAATAAAGCAATATAATCAAAGAAAAATTTTCAGTTCTGATTTATCTAAGTCTTTGAATGATCAAACAGATCACCTGTACATCTATCATAATCTGATAAGGACTTCTGATTGATAATCCATACAGAATATTAATGATTACCACAAAGTAGCACTAATGCACTATTCCATGATAGTGACAGAACATCCAACAAAAAAATGATCCATCTATGAAACTCATATTTCCCTCCTGATAAACCTTATATCTAAACCTGCTTTTCTGGATAGATAATCATGGTGACATATAATTGTCGTGATCCTCAGGATAATACAATGAATTATTATGGAGCTATAAGATCATATTACCTCTAGCAGTTACTTATTCATGAACTGCACAATGAAAAATGAGTCGATTTTGATTTGGACTGCTCCTGTTGACTGTTGCAATAAATACTGTTGACCTGAGAGAGTTATCATCATGATAGTGCTTACAAAAGTTGTTGCTGGACACCGAGTAGAGTGAGAACTCTTGTTTACTCCTAATCCTGTTATTTATGCATGAGATGACAATTTAACACTTTAACTTGGACTCCAGCTCCCTTTTGTCAGACCATACAACAATGAATAAATAAGCAAATAAATGAAAGTGTAGTTATTATAATTAAATAAAATTATATTTCTCATTCAAAACTTAACATTTACAACATCTTAAGAATTTTATAATATAGTACATGTGTTAGATATATATAAAATAAATAATTACATCCTAGTATCGCAAAATATCAGGCTTAATCATTACATAGTATAAAATTCTCTTATATTGATGTTAAAACTAAATTGATACAATTTCTGAGCACCTTGCAGGTCTGTACCCAGGGATGTGAGACATGGGACCACTCCCCAGGCCACTTTAACTGCCTCAAAAAGAACTGCAAATTGCACTTTTCTGGGGAAGTATGCCTCTTAGACCCCTCACGGATAATTCTCACTTTTTACACTCTGGTATAAGCCTAATTAATAGATTTAAAGCTGATTTGATTTGCACCTGCTGAAGCAAATCATAAGAAACCCTACATCCAAAGCTAATTACGGGTCTCTTTTATTTTTTTTACAAACCTCATAAAAGCAAACATATACTGAAAAATAAGCAAAAACAGCTAAGTTTCCATTTAAAATTAATGCTTGTATGTTTCCATAGTTGGAATATAATATCACATGCATTCTTAAAATTTAATCTGTGTTTAAATAGTACTGCACAAGATGAATGATTTATGAACAATGTATCTACTTTATTTGGAGCCTGTTTAATTTGGCAGATTCGCCAAAAGTTCACCTAATTAAGTAGCCTCCAAATTCAATACTTCATTTTTCAATCGTAAAGTGTGGTATATACAATATTGCAATTAATTAGTTGCCAAATGCTCAAAAGAGCAAATCCGCCAAATGTTCAATGGAAGATCACATTTGTTTTTTCTTACATATTTCAAAATATCTTACTAAGCATATTTTTAAATTTCCAAAGTTCATTTTTTTTAATTTTGTCAAAAAGCATTGCAATGACACTGAGAAAGCTTCTTTTCTTTTAGTAGAATTATGGACATTCCAAATTTCAGTTCAACACTGGTTTGGTCCACTGAACAAGTATGTCATGCTGCATTGTGGATGAGTCCTTGAGCGATCAGCTGTTGTTTGTTTATAGTTTAGAGCTCATGGCAAGTGGCTTTAGATATTTGTAGTATGAAGGATGGACCTGAAACGCACAAATAACAGTTAGAATGACAGCAGAGCTAGAGGCAATCTTATTCTCAACCAAACTGGCTATGAACTACCAATTTGCACATGATCTTTCATATAAACCAGCCTTGATTATATGAGCCATACAAAACATGAATATATTCTGGATACTTGGGATTTTTCCTTTTCATAACTTCAATACTGTGAGAAGTGTAACTGGTTTTACAGAATTTATAAGCGAAGACTCCATACATTTACATCAGTATAATGTGTTTGCAAAAAGCAATGGAGATACTGTAACAAGCCATTAACATGACAAAATGTCACCAGCACCTGGTTACTGAAAACTGTTACAAAAGTGTAACAGTTTGTTACAAATACTAATGGCTGCATGTCTGCATGGCTGTAACAATATATTTCCATATCTTTGTGGTGATTCAAGAACTTACATCTGTGTCATTCAGGGGTGACTCCTGGGCGAACTTTAGCAGATTGTCGTAGACTTGACCATCATAGCGGCCAAGCACACTGTCTAGGATACGATCGTTGAAGTCAAATGCGTCAACAAGAGTTACTGCATTGGGGCGTATCACTGCCAGTAGCACCAAAACACCATCTTCAACCATGCGTATCTGTTCCCCAGTCATATAGCCATCCTTATATATGGATAAAGTATTATTAAGGTATACATGTACATTGATATATGTACAGGTACACATGGTATTGTTGTTATCTAAGAAAATGCATGATATGTTAGCTCATGACCCCTTTACTAGACGTATCAGTGGTTTGCTCTTTCCTAAACATCCAAGTTTTCAATGTTATTTTCAAAAGCAATGACCTTGACCTGACATGAATTACTGTAACCCCAACTCTCTTCATGTATTTACTTGCACATACCTCCAAGAAGTCTCCACTGTTCTTACTGATGCCATAGAGAGCATACAGCTGGCAGAGATCTTTCAACACTTTCTGGAGGTCTTTGTTCTGCTTTTCATTCACAACTGATACGAATGTTGATATCACAAACTGGTGACAATGGGCCTGAAAGAGAAATATAATTGATTTCATATAAGCTATACATGCTTATATGCATACAATCCCAAGTAATGGAAACTGAAAATTTTAGTTTAAATTACGAAAGAAATCTAAAGTAATCATTTCAATAGAATCTGTGTCCAAATAGGCACAAAGGGTGCAATGTGAAATGAGTGAGCTGTTTCAATTTAATATGAATTAACACATTTAACATAAGCAAGTGACTCACATCAGAAGCTCTGACCAGGTCTACTGAGGAAGCATTCCATGCATCTTCTCTGGCCATACCCTTGGCCATGAGGCCCTGGAACCTGGATGCTGCAGCCTTGATCAATCTAAAAACAAAACATCTATGTCCTTATATGGGATAAAAAATTTCAACATGTGTCAACATTTCATTGAGAGCTGAATTTTGTCAATTTTCATTGAGAGCTGAAATGTGTTGATTTGGATTGACAGTTGGAATGTGTCAATATTTTATTGAGAGCTAAAATGTGTCAATTTTCATTGTGATCTGGAATGTGTCAATTTTCACCGAAAGCTGAAATGTGTCAATTTTGATTGACAGTTGAAATGTGTCTGAAATGTGTCAATATTGACAGTTGAAATGTATCAATATTTCATCAAGAGCTATAGTCCTGTATACCTTGCTGCCCTGTGTTGATATGCTGCCACAAGTGAGTCTAAGTTGAACTGTGGTGTGAGTGATGTCCTACTGCTGGTATTTGCCAGATAGGACAGTGTAGGGGCAAGTGGCTGACCTTTCACAGCTGCCTCTGCCATCTTCATTAAGAACCTGAATAAGGTACATGTACATGCTAATTAAATTCCCATCAAAGGTATATAATAATAAGAATCCATTACTTCTCTACTACTGTCAAGGTATATCAAGACTACATGTATATCAAGAATAATGTTAAGAATTCTATGAACTTCTGCAGGCCTGTAGCCAGGGGGTGTTCAATGGGCTCGAGCAAACCTCCCCCTCTGGCCAAAAGATCTTTCAAAATCATGCAGTTTTTCACCATTCTGAGCACTTTTTAAGTGATTTTGGCCATTTTTGGACCAAAATTGCCACAAGTGAACCCCCCTGGAATTTTTGGAAAAGTGAACCCCCTTGGCAAATCCTGGCTACGGGCCTGTTCTGTAACTATATAAAGCAATATTTCCCATTTGTGTTGGAAGCAGAACTTTCTTGAACCATACACTCAATTTTTTGCATGTGAGAAAACTTGACCTCAAAACAGCGGAATTGCCACATTTGGTTATTACCTTGCACACTGTAACATAAGCACAGTGTTTTCTCCCTCATAAGTACAGGCTGGAGTTACATCAGTGTAGATCTTGGGGAAACCACTAGCCTGTGAGTACCCATGACCCCCACATGACATACGGCATACTTCCATACCAGAGTTAGCTGCCCAAGAGTTAAATGCCTTCAAACCAGATGACAGGCAATGGAGCTGAAAGCATAATCTATATTTATTAACTTTACATATCCAGATAAGAGCAAATTCTACACTAAGGTTGAGAAAATAATTGCCACATTTTATAAGACTGACTATCAGAGAGTCAGACTGATGCTAGATTAGTGGCAAGTTAAAAATTCACTGCCAAGAGTGAAAAAAATTGCTATTTGCTGAAAGGCAACTGTGAGTTCATACCCACAATGTGCCAGATACTGTTAAAACTTAAAAAGGAATTTTCAAAGAATAACATTTAACAGCCAAGAAAGATGGCTTCAATACTTTTTGGAATAATTCACCAATATATATGTAAATATGCTTCCAGTTGCAGAAATTATCTTTGTCATGGAATACTAGTTTTACTATTGCTTTTCCTCATGACAGGTTGACCCCTTTAATTAATACTACGGTGTACCTCTGGCAATTCTTTGGTGTCACCCCTCTGGATGTCTTTCTCTATTCTGAAATAGGTGTCTCTGATGCTGCTGCCAGCAAACAAGAGTGCGTAGGAAGTGGCCAATAGAGGGAACAACTTGTACTGCTGTGTTTGGAAGTCCATGATCTGAGGCTCTGGATCACTAAAACAAGATACACAGATAAATATAACACTTTTTGACATAAAATTCAAAAAGGATGCAAAGCAATTCCCAGCATGTCCAAAATCTAATCAAATCTTGGCACTAGTCTGCGCTTCAAGCTGAACCTTATTGAAAATCAAACCTGTTTTGACCAGGTTAAAATGATGAAAAATTTGCATTTTTCTTTGTTGAATCAATGTTGTCAATAATGTAGATAATGATGAATTGTAATTTGAAGAAATGTACTTTGTTTACCAAATTGCAATGCTGGTTGTACAGGGGAGAGGGATATGAGATTAACAGCACCTTACACTTACCCTGGTTTGATTTCACTCTGTCTTCTCACTGCACTATATCTAATAGCAATAGTGCAGCACTGTGCCAGACCTCGTGCAGCGTCACCAGCAATCATTGCACGAATAAACACCATTGTACCATATGTTAATTTTGTATTCTTGGTCTTTGCAATGTAAGTACCATCTTTTTTCACCTATGCGTTAAAAAATAAACATATCAAAAATAAAATAATATTTAACAGATTTTATAGGCAATTTTTAATACAACATAATTTTCCAAACTGATAAAAATTGTGGATTTCTAATTTTATACAATAGTTTTTGAAATGGAAAAGAAGTTCCATTGGCTGATCGATTAAGCATCCAATCACTTCACCTTTTCTATGAAAGCTCCTACTATGAACAGCTTAACTTACTTCAGCAAACTTTGCCAGCATGTTTTCCCTTGGTACTCTTACATGATCCAACTTCATAAAGCCATTGTCATTAGACCCATAGCCAAACTTGGGACCAATGTCACCAAGGGTAATACCTGCAATGAAGAATTATTATAATTACTACAGCTATTAAATTTTCCAGTGATATGATTTCTATTTTTGACATTTTGCAAATGCTATCAATTGTAGGTTAGTTATATCTGGTCTTGTATTTTCATACCTGACATTGTGTTTTTTATATCTTGCATTGTAGTTTCAAACCTGGCATTGTAGTTTCAAACCTGGCATTGTATTTTCATACTGGCATTGTATTTTAATACCTTGGATTGCATTTTCATACCTGGCATTGTGGTGTGGTCATCCATATCTCTGGTCTGTACAACAAATCCATGCATCCCATAATTCTTGCCAGCTATTGTAAGATGAGCCATGACAACAGCATGGTTGGTGGTCTTTCCCACTGGAAAATAAGTTAAAACAAAACTCTTCTATTTGTGAAGTTAGGAGGGGTTCCGAAAGTTGGAATTTCTATGTGTCTCACCCCTTTCCAATTGTTTCAAACAATGAGTGCAAAATATGAAAGTAGTCCCTCATATTTATCCAGACTTTTCCACAGAAAGGGACATTTAGAGCAAGTCCATCTCATTGCACAAGTTTTCAAGGGGTATCAATGATAATTGTATATCTGTAATGATAAGGGTATAAATATGATTTGGGGAATCTATAATGAGAGTATCAACGGTGATTGGGCTCTCAATGATGATTGAGGTATCTATTATGATAATGGTAACATTGATGATTTGGGTTTCCAATGATCATCTGAAAAACAAGTCATTGGTCTAGAATCATGTGAATTTGTCCATGACATAGCATCACAGAGAAAACTATAAACACTTACAGTTTCCTGGCCACCATTTTAGAGATGACACTGTTGGGCTGTTTAGTATAAATTCTTCTGTCATTGGACTATAGGTGGCAGTAGTTTCAAGCCCTCTTAGGAATGTTCCTGCAATATAGAGTTCTCCATTTAGAACTTGTGTATTATCAACAAATTATTTTACAAATATTTTTATGATGTATTCTCTACAAAACTTTATATCAAATATCATTTATAAGTTGACAAAGCTTAACAAATCTAATCTATAACTGCATCATGCAAGTATTTTGTACATGTAGTGTCACATAAATTACTAGAGATCGGAACAAAATAAATCGGAACGGTTCAGTTCGGAACATTTTGCTTCGGAACGGAACAATTCGGAACGGTTCGGAACAGAGTCACTGCATGTATTAGATTAAAATAATCTGATCATCTAGGTTTATTTGGTAGCGAAAAGCTCTTCAACACTCTTCAAAGAGAAGGAGTAAAAAGAATGAACCTCTTTTGATACAAAATATTGAAAGAAAAATGCTGTTTTGTGGAGGTTCAAGGGCCAGAAGTTGTGAAAGGGTAAAATGTTCTTGTTCCGGAACTGAACCGAAATTCTTAATTTTTGTTCTGTGTTCTGTTCTGAGGGCATAATTCCCCGGATCGGAACAAAATCGGGTATCCATGACACCTCTATAAATTACTGTTGAGAAAAAGCACAGATTTCCTATTTAAAGAAAGTAATTAAAAGTATATGCATTAAGAAGAATTATACTATGTGGATTACCAAAAAGAAAGGTACTACATACAACTTTTATGAAGTAAAAATGCAGGGTGTGCTACTGTGCTATAAAGGCATTCTACGGGCATGCTTAAAAATTGAATTATGTATAAAATTTTGAAAACATAGTGTACTGTTGATGTCAATGATGTCAACTCTGGTTGCACTTATATGACATGCATAGTGTTGTCACTGAGTACTTGGTATATATATTTACCATGCCCCATTTCAGTCTGTGCATATGTGCCTATGATCTTGTAAGATTCACAGTCAGGGATCCAGTGTTTGTATTGCTCTGGGGTGGACTGAGCTCTGACAGTTGGCATAAACATGCCTGTATGCAGGGCCATTGCAGAGGCCTCATGAGGAGTGGCAATACTACAAGGAGAAACAACCTTCGGGTTATCATATGATCATTATGACATCACAATTGGGCCATTCTTGGTATGATCAACATTTACAAATCTCAAAACACCCATGTTTTAAAATGTAACACAATTTCTCAATCTTCAGTAATTTATTTCCGAAATGAAAAAACCTTATCAACAAAGTTTTCATTGTCTGAAAGGGAAATTAACAATGCTCATGTCAAACCAATCAAAATTTTGTTGATAAAGATGCCATCTTAAATAGATTGACCATACTAACAATGATTGCTCAACTCTCTCTCAGCTTAAACAGAGCACTCTGACAGGTGGCAAAGATCACAAGCACACTGACAGAGAACAAAGATCACAAGCATATTGACTGGGAACAAGGAGATCCCTAGCACATTGACTGGGAAAAGGGAGATCACAAGCAAATTGACTGGGAACAAGAAGATCCCAAGCACATTCATCGACAGAGAACAAAGATCACAAGCACTTTGACTGGGAACAAAAAGATCCCAATCACATTGACTGGGAACAAGATGATCCCAAGCACATTGACTGGGAACAAGGAGATCACAAGCACATGGACTGGGAACAAAAAGATCCCAATCACATTGACTGGGAACAAGATGATCCCAAGCACATTGACTGGGAACAGGGAGATCACAAGCACATTGACTGGGAACAAGGAGATCACAAGCACATGGACTGGGAACAAGGAGATTCCAAGCACATTGACTGGGAACAAGATGATCCCAAGCACATTGACTGGGAACAAGCAAATCTCAAGCACATTGACTGGGAACAGGGAGATCACAAGCACATGGACTGGGACAAAGAGATCCCAAGCACATTGACTGGGAACAAGAAGATATCAAGCACATTGACAGAGAACAAAGATCACAAGCACATTGACTGGGAACAAGCAGATCCCAAGCATACTGACAAAAGCAAAGAGATCATAATCACATAGCTAGCAATATATATAAATATTTAGCTTTAGAAGAGCTCCTTATATTTACCATGTCCCATTTCAGTCTGTGCATATGTGCCTATGAGCTTGTAAGCCTCAGAGTCTGGTACCCAATGTTTGTATTGTTCTGGGGTTGACTGAGCTCTGAGAGTTGGGAGAAACATGCCATTGTGTAGCCCAAAAGCAGGTGTTTCATGCGGAGTAGCAGCACTGCAAGCATAACATGGAACATGTTTCTCAGCACAATGATCACAGGTACATAAGCACAATGACACATGAAGCACAATGATACAACTACATTAAGCACATTGTTACAGAAACCATATATCAAAGCAGGACATTACTAAAGATGTCATGGAACAAAAAAAATCGGAACGGTTCGGAACATTTTGCTTCGGAACGGAACAATTTCGGAATGGTTCAGAACATAGTGACTGCATGTATTAAATCAGAATAAGTTGATCGTCTAGGTCTATTAGGTAGCAAAAACCTCTTCAAAACTTTTCAATGACAAGGAGTGAATGAATGCAAAATACTGAAAGAAAAATACTGTTTTGTGGATTTATGGGCCACAAGCTGAAAAAGGGTAAGGTTTTTTTTATTCCGGAACCGAACCAAAATGCTTAATTTTTGTTCCGTGTTCTATTCTGAGAGCTTAATTCCGTGGGTCAGAACAAAATCTGTGACACCTCTAGACATTACTATCTCATGCATCGTTTCTCCAAGCAAACTGGTTCATCAGAATGTTATGTTATGAATGTTCTTCGCCAAAGAAGACATGCTACAATAATGCAACATCAGATAGAAATGTTATTGCAAAATGAAACATCATGCAAATTGATGTATCACAATGTTATGTCTACATGAAGCACAGAGCAGCATAGTTCAAGAATGTAAATTTAAGTATGTACATTGCTACTTTCAGCAAATGCGCAACGTCCAAGAGCACTGTCATCTCAAGCACTATGGTACATCAAGCAGGTTGACATATCACAATGCTATCTCATACACAGAGCAGCTTAATAATAGACACAAAAGTACAACTTAACAAGAAATACAGTGACAAAATTATTGCACTTTTCATTTAAAAATTCAAAATGGCCACTAAGTAATTTACTCAGGATGTTCAAAACCTAAGCAGATCTTGACACTAGACTGCTCTTGCATCTATAATAAATTTAAAAGCACTTTTAAAAAATGCAAAGTGCAAAAAGCTAGGTGTGAGTGTGAAGCAGAAACATAAAAGAAGGTGTAGTAATGGGGAAAATAATAGACTCTTAATATAATTAAAGGACATGTGGAATAACATCAATCAATTACCATGTCCCATTTCAGTTTGAGCATATGTGCCTATAATTTCATAATTTTCCGCTTTCCGAACCCAAGTTTCCGCTTGATCAGGGGTACACTGACTGACTAAGGTTGGCAAGAACATGTCAGTATGTAAACCAGTGGGTGAGGCCTCATGTGGCAGGGCAGTCCTGTAACACAGGACATTTATTCAGAATTATAACTTCAAGTGCAATTATGCAGTTTCGATTTGTGTTACAAACCTAAATTGAATCTCCATATTCAAATGAAAAGTGGGGACATATATGGGCAGTCAGTCAATTTCTGCCAAAGTAAGTCAAGTCTAGTTATCCTACTTAGAAAGTGCAATTAGATTTGCCATCCACAAAGATGAATAGAGACATAACAATACATTTGGAGATTGGGGTAGGAAGGAATGTTTATCTTTTGAATAGACAAGTTGACCAAACAGAAGACCAACCTCCAAGCACAGACTTTCAAGATCATATAAAGCCATTGATGTGAAAAGTGTATGACTATGGAGTCATATGTCTGGAGAAAGAGGGGACTGATCCATATCATATGGTTTTGACATCGGGTCTTTATACTACAAGAGATAGAATATGGGTACAAATGATGGGTTCTCCTACATACAGACATATTTATTTCTGATGTATTACCATGGCCCATTTCTGTTTGAGCATAAGTCCCTAAAATAGCATAATTATCTGCCCTTTCAATCCATTTTTCTTTTTGTTCAGGGGTACATTGATTTCTCAAAGTAGGTAGGAACATGCCATTATGTAGTTCAGTAGGGGAAGCTTCATGGGAGGTTGCCACTCTACAAAAGCAGTAGCACATTTATAGCAATTAACACATACATCATGTAACATCATGGGGGGGGGGAGGTACGAAAAATTTCGAACGGAATGTGTGACATATCCGTAATTCGGGTGAAAAGTCCGAACGAAATGCGTACTTTTTTTCCCGTCGTTCGTATTTTTGCTGTGTAGACGATCTTTTTTAGAAAATTTTTTACAGAAATATTTTTGCTTGACAATTACCAGATAAAATGCGTATTTGCGTGACATTTTCTGTCACGCAAAAATAACTGGCGTGACTTCAAATTCTTCAGCAAATGCGTGACAAATACGCAAATTGCGGGACAGTTGACAGGCCTGCCATTGTCATGGGTATGGGGTGGGGCAAAGTGCCTTATATACTTGATGAGGTTCTCATTGCTCAGAGTAGGCACCCTCAGCATCAATGCACATTTGATGCCTGTGTTTGGTTGGTGAAGACTTATAATATCTAATATTCAGCTGGTTATTAGCTAAAAAGCAGACAAACAGGTGGTTCAAAGTTTTTCCAATTGTTTGTTAACCATACACGAGCCTTCGAGTCAAATCTCTTGAAAGCCCATGATCCAATCAACTGGACACCGATGGGACCAGTCTGATAAGACAAACACCATAATACACAAACACATCCCATACTTGGCACCCTCTACATACAGAACATATTCTTATCTATGGGAGATGGCATTATGGGTCACACTTGAATATGATGAACAAGGATGTAAAAACAATGCTGCGGTGTTACAAATTATTAAGCCATTCATATAAATTACCATGCCCCATCTCAGTCTGAGCATATGTGCCTATGATTACATAATTATCAACCAATGGGATCCATCTATTCCATTGTTCTTTAGTGGACAATGAGTCAACAGTTCGGTGAAATATTGAACCAAAATCAAAGCAATCTGTGCGATGTTCCATAAACATTCTGTAACCAAAATACACTCTGTCATAAAAGGCAATAATATAGTAAGGAATATAATGTTTATTAATTTTGAGCTGATCAGACACAAGCTTGTAGTAGTCTTGCATAGAACCCCTCATTTTCTTTCACAAAACATGATACAAGACTAAATTCCTAAAAATGTGATCATGTAAATGTATCTCATCACTTGGATAGTTTACTTGAATCCCATATTTTCTCATTTAGATGTAACACACCCAATTTGTAAATGGGGCATGGTACAGATCTAAAGAATGTGCTCTTATTTCTAAGATGACCATAAGTCATGAACTTTATATTTCATCTCACAAAAGAGGGCCATGATTGTACTTTGTCTCGAAAACCCAAAATATTTTTCTAAAATGTTCAAACTCAGATTCCTTTTTAAAAAGCTGGGCCCTTTATGAACTAATGGTCAGCAGTGCAAGTACAGAAAGTAAAGCTTTAATAGATCAAGCCATTTGAGAATATATGTAGTACCACTCTCTTTGGGGTACATTTAACATGCAACAGTTTTCCCCGTACCATGTCCCATTTCCGTTTGAGCATATGTGCCTATAATTTCATAATTCCAGCATTTCTCCAGCCATGATTCCTTTTGATCTGGAGTACTTTGGACTTCTATTGTTGGGATAAACATTCGGGTGTGCAAATGAGTCGCTGATGCCTCATGTGGCATGGCAACCCTGTAATATTATGTCACAATGCAAATAAGTCATTATAATGCCTCGTGTCGCCATGTGGCATTGCAACCCCGTAATATTAGGTCAAAGCTGCAGTAAGCATTTCTAATAGAATCTTTTATTACAGGTATTTGAAATATTTTTAACAATTTGACACAAGACATTGATTCATAAAAGTCTCGAATCTTAATGTGGTGCTATATAAATGTGTCGTGACTTTCTATCCATCTAATTGGTGAACACATCAGATCTCTTTATATATTTAAATCAAAATATTGTACTCAAGTATCTATCTGTACTGCATGAAAATGTTTCTACTTACTGCCTGTACCAGTACTCTTCTGTGGGGTCAGTTATGTTCAGTTCTTTCAATCGTTTCACAATGTAGCAGGCATTCTTCACTGCTGTGTCATACTCTTCACTTCTGTCCATAAAGGAGATATGTTTATGGACCAAATTTGGGTCAGTGGCAGCAAGGTTCTCTGTAAAGTAAAACAAGCCATGTGTGATGAACAAATGATGTATATAAGTTAGCATTTTGTATAACATATAGATGGCGAACAATTCTTTGAGAAATAATTCAATAGAGCCAATAATAAGCCAATAGTTACCTATGAATAGAAAAGAGGCAGTTCACATTTTGAGAAGCCAGGGAAAAAACTGAAAAACACACTGAGCTATAATGTAATACTAGAAGGAGTCGTGCGTAGGAGATCTTCAAAGGGGCCCCTCGTACAGAGTAATCGTCATCGACTAAGGTACGGTAGCGAGAACAAGTTTACACCATGTTTACGCAGGTATAAAAGATAACTTGTAAATTTAATCTTGTTCAAAATAATGGATTTCTACTTTAAATAGATATCATCCTTATTTGCAACAGATCACAATTTAGTTCTATAATTCTAAGAAGCAAAGTGAACAAGTTGTAGTGGAATATCTACCTATGTTACCATAAATCAGAATATACGAGGGGTGATCCAAAAGTCTTGGACGCCCTGCTCTAATTTTGTTGGTTTTTGATAAAATTACTTTAAACTTTCCAATAATAACAGTGGCGTAGCCAGGATTTGGTGACCGGGGGTTCTATTTTTATTTATTCACAAATCCCCTCCCCCTCATCTTTTACTGAATACATATCCTGAAATCTGATTTGCCCCGAATCCACCATTTTTTGCGGTAGATTTTTTCAAAATGTGGTCGTTTTTGCGGTAAAAATACTGTAGATTTTGAAAAAATGCGGAAGTTTTTGCGGTAGATTTTTGAAAAAAACTAGTTTTGCGGAAGATTTTGAAAAATGCGGTAGTTTTACGGTAGATTAAAAAATGAGGTAGTTTTTGCGGAACATTTTGAAAAAATGCGGTACTTTTTGCGGTAGATTAAAAAATTGATTTTGCGTAGATTTTGACACACTTCAATGAATAAATAATAAAGTATGTTTTTCTAACACAGCATACATTGAACTCTTTCATAAACAGACTAACAATTTGAACACTTCAGTGTTTTACAGTAGAACATGTGGTAGTTGAACACTGTGTTTTTGCTTCACGATTCTCCCCAGTGTTGACTGATTTTAAGCCAGCTTACTTAATTAGTTACTTCCTACGTACGCAATAACCACTGTCACAGACCTGCCGACACCTATTTATTTTCGGGTTGGTAATGGAATATAACAAGGGAAATGCGAGAAGACTTCAATTTTTCAGAATTTCCAAATAATAACGGTAGATTTTACGGTGGTTTGAACAAGAATACTGTTGATTTCAGAGCAGAGCTCAGTGGTAAGTCCCCCGGAGGCAGATCAACTGCAATTGATAAAATAATAAAAACGTTCTGGTGGATATAAATCATATATAAAAACAAGCGACTGTTCGAATATAAAACGTATTTTGTTAAGTTCAGTTTTAATTACCGGATTTTCTCGCATATAAGCCCTGGGCGTATAACTGAAAGGGGCAATTTCGTCTGTTATTTTACCTCTTATTTTTCGCCCATGGGCGTATAAGTGTACTACTTTCGATTTTTGGCCCAGTGGGCGTAAAGGTGAGAAGAGCTGATGAATACAATGGAATGTTAAGTTGTTAATGAATGTTAATACAATGAAACAAAGTACGACAGAACGATCTGCCAGTGACAAAATACTCTTGAATTTATTGAAAAAATCAATAAATAGTCATTTTTTATAGGCCCATGGGCGTATAAGCGTACTATATTCGATTTTTGGCCCATGGGCCTAAATTTAGGGGGGCGTATATGCGAGAAAATCCGGTATGTAATCTTTTCGCTAAACATATCATGACATTAACATGAAATTGGAGAGCAAGTAAACTAGAACGATAACAATTTGAATTCTATACAATCTCTTAGATGAGTGGAGTGTATCTGAAAAAACAAAATCATTTTTGCAATGATTGATTTTTCTTTGGAAAAGTGATGGGTAAGTAAATACTGAACACATGAAAGAATGAATGAATTTGAGCAAATGCTTGTGTTTATAAATGATATACGCTTTTAAATAATTCATTTCACAACATTTTAATTATTTATCGCAATTGGTTTCGGGGACTTGCCAGCCCCAGGGACGTCCCAAGAAATATTTTAATTTTAATTGAAATAAAACAAAACAGAGATGTACACATTTGAAAGAACATGTGTTTCATCAATATTACGACTATTCCAGATATTTATTCGTCAATGTGTAAAAATCATTCAGAGTATGGAACGTCTGCATTGTTTTCAATAACTTTGTATTGGACCGAAACTGGCTTAAAACAAAATTCCTACCAAGAACTGATTTAGCCATTGCGTAAGATGGGTTATTTTGTCTGAGAAGAAGCAGCCTTTAAGTTAATTGTGCGAAATTATTGTTATTTCTAAATGTAAAATCTCATGCTCTGGGGTCTTGCCAAAATTAAATCTCACCCCGTACCTAAGGTTGCCAAACGTTTTGAGGGAAGTGTAACTTCACTATGACATGTTTTTAATAAAATACGGCTCTCATGTTCACCAGAACAAATATCAATTCATTTACTGCTCATATATGTAGTTTTCAAATAGCACAGTAATTTAATGTTTCTGGTTAAATGCATTTTTCCGCAAAATGATATTTTGGAAAATCCTGACCGGGGGTTCGTTCGAACCCACCGAACCCCCGCTGCCTACGGCTATGAATAAAGACCAACAACCTAACTACTTTGTGTATTAATTTCATGGTGAAATGATATAGTTTATGTAGTTTTCCCGATAGTTATTAGTATAGTGACCCTTTCAGCCTTAAATGTTACCGCTATTTGACGATGTTTTGCGAGTCTTGACCACTATCTTTTCTTAAATTTTGAATGTTAAACCATGTTAGTTTACTTCCTTTGTTACTAGGCAACCAATTAATTCTGTTTTAATCATAATGTCACATATGACAATGGCCGTATATGTCAAGTTCTAAAAAAATAACATCAGACAATCAACCCTCATTCTGGTATCATTAATGTTCCAAGATGGCTGCTGAAATGCAGAGCACGAAAGAAATCAAAGTGAAAAAGAGAATACTACAATATATTTTCACTATTATTGACCTTGAGCAACTACCATATGCACGATACAGTCTAGATATGGCTCCGTGTGATTTTCTTTCTTTTCTCCAAGTTGAAAGGAGGGTTGAAAGAAAATGTTTTTTACTCATTGGATGAGGTTAAGAGTGGCACTCCTGCAGCATTTGCTTCACATAAGCAATGGCGGTTTCATAAATGTCTTTCATTGATTGGTAAAGCGGTATGAAAAAGACGATGATGGCAGATGACACTCAGACTGAAAATAGGAAATTCTCTAATATCATGACTGGTGTTAGGTTGCGCACCTGCACCTAAAGTATTTGCCATATTATAACAGTTGTGACGTGATTTCCTATATTTAAATACCGTTCCGGGTAGCAAGGACCCAGTATCAAAAAATATTTAGAAACGTAGCTAAAAATTATTTTCTGTTGAAACTTATACACAAAGTTGTTAAGATGTTGATCTTTATTATCTGAAAGTTTCATGTAATTATATTAGAAAATAGCAAAGTTAGAGCAGGGCATCCAAGACTTTTGGATCACCCCTCGTATTTCCCAAGAAAATATTAAACCCAGTATTCACGCCTAAAACATTTATATAATGAAGCAATGAGCACAACTCCCTTCCCATGATTAAATGGTCTGCCCCTTAGCCAGAAATGTTGACAGTCAAATTTTTCATTTGAATACTCAAATGTTAAAAATACATAAAATGGAGGTGTACATTAACTTTTAGAATCTATACATTACTGAGAACTTGACTCTTAAGTAAATATAAAAGACAAGAGGGGTCAATTTATAGAACAGGGTTAAGAAATAGGACAACATTTGAAAGACTTTTTTCTACAATAATATAACTAATTGAACAACATTTTATCATCTAATTTTTTCTACCTCGGGTTTTGGATCCTTATATCAAAAAGATGAAATTATTGACTGAATGTGTATTATACCTCGACCCAATGCTAACATTCTTGCAAGTACATCAGATCAAGGTCCCTGATTAAACTATGACTTTGCATTAAAATCCTAAAATGCACCAAGATCATTAGACAAAAACATGTTCCACATGATTTATTTGTTGAAACCAATTTGAGCAAAATTAACTTACGTATATACTGCCTCCTCCTGGTTTTCTCGGGTCCTCCATCAATACGGTTGGTCAGTAATAATGGATCAAATGTTGCTGTGTCCCTTTCTTTTTGAAGGTCTGGATTAGTAGTTGATGTCATCGTTCAGAAAAGATTGTATCAATCAGTATGCGGTATCGCTGCACCTATTCTATGTTACAGGAGACAGCTGAAATTTGGTGTGAATATCAAAAATAAGTATTGAATGTAATGAAAGGCCAAAATGAGTCTTTGATCTATATATATTCTTGACTTGCATAGACTAATAAAGAGAAGTCATTTTCTGGATCTAAAGTGCAAGGTCCAATGCATGTTGATGTAGACATATAATTCACTTCAGATAAGCACGTAGTTCAGTTATCAGTAAATTTTCAAAAACATTGGATTGGTTGAACTTGAATTAGCAAAAGGGGAAAGTTCAACTTCAAGTTCAAGAATCAAAGTTCAATGAATCACACATCTATATCCTTCTGTATATACGATACCCCTTGAACTATTTATCCGTTTATGTAGAATATGAATAGAGCTCTACTTGCAGTATATAATTTTGCAGTGTGATTTGCTCATATGTATTCAGTTATAGCTCCTAAAATACGATATTGTATAAAGTTTAGATTTCATTACCTAAGAAATTAGTTCGCCATGTTTTTGGTCATGTGACAGGTGCTTGAGTGACAATAACCAGAACATTTATTTGTATAATATGAACTATGTAATATATGATATATTTTACAGTTAAAAATATTTGTGTAATATTATTTATTGAAAAATTACAAAAATGTTTTTTGTTAAGTAAGTTTATATAATTTTCATAAGATATAAGAAGAATGTAATGTCTGTCATGGAAAATGTCCACATCATGAAAATCGAAAATTGAACAGATTTTGTTAAATTACTCATCACGTAAGTAACTATTTTACAGGACATACAAGTAAAATGATACTGAATTCCTTTGCATATATAAGTGTATCTATAAAATTACTTGAGATGTATGCATGTTTTTAAAAAGAACAAAAACGCACGGACATCTAATACGTTCTTCGAACTGCCCTGGAACTATATCTATACCAGGACTGGCATCCAGATCCAAGTATTTTTAAGACCGCCGACTCTCGTTGGGCTATTTATCCCTATTGACTCAGTTGTTCATATAAATTTACGTACCTTAGATGCTTTGTAATCGACGTAGATAGAAAATATTGTTTCCTAAATTGTTCTGAAAAGCGATAATTATTACTAAATGTACTTTGAACAGGTCGACTGACCAAAAAGTCGGACTTCTGGCACAAGGTCACGTGACCAAATATAATTTGTATAGATAAAATTGATGACGTCACCGCCATCGGTGTAGGTCAGGTCAAAAGTCATCCATCTTGCCATTTGCCCAGCGTATTCTTACCAGTCGACAAAAAACGATGAAATCACGTTGAAAATAAAATATACACTTTAAAATTGAGGCTGATTGAAATTGACAAGACTCCATTGAATACAGCTGTGCAATTTACAGTCACCAAGATGAGCTAATTTCGGAGAGATTCGGTGAGATTCGGGAATTAAAAAAGGTAAGCCCTTCCAGTTTCCCAACTTCATAAATTTAAAATCCCAGAAGCTCCTTTCGCCAGAAACATTCTCTCTGACTGTGCAAAAACGTCACGAACAACTTTGGATTACTTCGGTCCAAAGCCTTCTCTATATTCCGGCTTTGAGGAGGAAGATTGAGCTGCCTTAGTATTATAAATATTGTAAATCATTGTGTCACACGCACAGTAAATATGGCATAATAATATGAAATATACCTTTATGTACAGATTTGAAGAACATCAGCTCACATCCCAGTCTGAATCTATTGTTATATTTGATTTGAGAATAATTTCAAATGTTATTCACGTCCAGAACCGGAAGCCATTTTTAGCTACAGCGAGAAAATTTCACCATGTGTCAAACTTCGAAACGAAATTTTGAAATATCTAAATCCAGACAAGCAACGCTTCATCCTAAATATGATTAATATTCTTAAAAATATTTATAAAATTTATTAAAAATGAGTTCTAGGTGCGTGTAGGTGCGTATAGCACAGTACATACGAAATCAATGAAGTTTCGTCTAGCTGTAAGCTAGAGACTCGAGTAAACTTTGGATATTTATTCAGCCGAAATCCCGTGCAGTGATATATCACTGCGGCGGGTAACCAAACCCGTCTGGCCCAGTAATCTTCTCCCGATTCTGAATTGTCGTAGATCGAGGGCCAGACAAGGTCCAATGCAAAAAAGGGGGTATTTACTCCGGAAAAAACATGTCGCTGAATCATCACTTAGTCTATTATTCATTCCCTATTAGCCATCCAACCAAAACATCGGGTACCATGTAAACCCAAGTATTTATTTGAAATAAAGAGAACATAACTTACGCGTAAATGTGGTGTTTTGTTTGTTATATTGATGTTGAAATGGGCACAACATTTCGTCAATATTTCGTCAGTTCTCCGCACCGAATAAAGTCACGTGATGTGACGTAACACGAGTGTGACGCAATAATTTTTAAACTTTCATGGAACGAAAATACATTTCCTGGGAATCAATACATTCCAAATATTACGATTTGTTCAGCAGATTTGTTATCAAAACGTAGATTACTTTATAAAACAGACGTGTCTGTGTTGTATTTAAACTGGAAAGAAATATGGTGGACATAAAATACGATTTTTCAATTTGTTGAACTGACGGAATGTAGTACTGAACGAAATAAGCAGCCGAGACTTCTCGATATTCTACGAGATCACGAACAGATTGCAGAAGAATTTTTCTTTTTGCTGCGTTTAGACGTTTCGTTCACTGGACGAAATGGTTTGGTAAATTTCAAGCTATTTGATTGGTCCAAAAAAATCACGCGCCTTTGCGTGATTTGCTTTATTCTCGCGAGATAAGGCGCTCTGTCCCCTTAAATTTTTAATCTGAACAACCATTATGATTTGGTGCATTATCTGACCAATAAAGCAGATTTGGAGGTATGAATATTTTTTTTATTTTTCTGTTTAGTGTTTTCTACAGGCCCTATGTGTCTCAGGATATTTGTTTAACGAAAACTAGACAAATAATTTATTTTAAAAATACATATTTTTTATTTTGGATGGAAGCTGCGTAACCTGACAAATAATATAAGTAATATATGGAGGACTTCCCATAACCGTGTTCTAGTCCCATGCTCAGGTCGCGTGATTGTAAAATTAAGACAATTTCATTGTGAATTGATCTGATCAATCTTCCCAGTTCAAATGGGAGATCTACTTCTAGGACACGTAGATCAAATTTTTTTATTTCCTGTACAAGCTAGATATCCAGTCATTGTTCATAGGCTCGCAAAATTAAGTAGTTTTGTTGCAAATGACTATATCTTGTCCTTCAATAAATGGGGCAATTATAGTCCTCTATTTCATCCTTTCAACTGAATCTTCGTGTAACAAATACTTATGATTTTGTTTTGATATACAATGTAGTTTTAGACTGTCAGATTAACCTGGAAGTGACCTTGGTATGGCAAAATGAAAAAATTTTCACATTCAAGCAGCATGCTTATATTTCTTCAATCACCAAGAGTTTTACATGCACATCACATGATCAATTTTATCTCGAGGCTGAATGGTTTAATTTGAATTTATTTGAAAGTTTCAATCTCCCGCGTAAGAACGAATATAGGTCACATGACCTTGTTGCAGTTCCGTTGCATTTTTCAGTTCTTTTTAGTTGACCTGTTCAAAGTACATTTAGTCCTAATTATCGCACATCTCAACAATTTTGGAAACAATATTTTATATCTACAGAGATTAAGAAGCATCTAAGGTATGTAAAACTAGATGAATAACTGAGGTTGTAGTGATAAATAGCTCAACGAGAGGCGGCGGTCTTGAAATAGACTTGAATCTTGTATCCAATCCTAAAGGTTTGTTGATACTATCCTTTGTGCACGATTACTCCAATCCATGGTCTAGGGCTAAATATTTATTATTTGACATACCTTGCGGCCCCTGACCAGGCCTCTGACTAGGTTTAACTTCAGTGAATATCCCGTCAAGTACACTGGAAAACTTTAACAAATCTAAAAGACTAAAGGGGTGTATACACTGGCAAGCGAATTGCTTGAAATGGGGGGCGAAAAGGCCGAAATGCTTGAAACGGTTGAAATGAATGTGAAAACAGCTTAGGCCAATTGATTGAAATGCTTGAAACAGGCAAAAGGAGCGTAACAGTAATTTTATTTTTCGAGACGTATTGATTGAAACAATTGAAACGATTGAAACGCTATTTGCAATGCATACAGGGCTTAAACCTCACCTATCAAAAGTTGTCACAATGAGCTAAATTCTAAGTTTTATGTCTCAAACTCTCCCAAACGGTAGAAAAATAATTCCCATAGCACAATAAATGAATCCAAGGCTTCATACCTACAAATAATGGATAAATTCCTTCCAAACTGAATAAATGTCTCCATGGATTGCCATTGCTGTGATCTAAGGAGGATTGGTTCCCAGAATGCAACATCAGTTAACCTTATTTACTCGTGGCAGGTTTCAAAATGGCGGAACTGCATTTTGAAAGCTGTCACGTGTCATGTTGCATTCTGGGAGCCAATCCTCCTTGAAAAAAAAACACATCATCCCATATCCTCCTGATGATGTATGATTTCAAAAGTTTGGGAGATCAACAGCTTTGGAAAAAGTTTAACTTCCGTTCAGTCAGTTCAGCTCCATGTAACATCGAAATAGCAAATCATGTCAGAAATAAACCACCATTGATGACACTGAATGATACGTTGACAAGTACACTAAACAGAAAAGCCCTGTATACAGTTACAGTAGGTTTCCAATGTTGGGGCGTAGCCAGCAAATGTTAAGGGGGATGTTAAGGAATAGGATCAGTATGAGCGAAGCAAGCCCCAAAAACAAAAATGATAGATTATTTTTAGAAGTTATTTTATGATTTGTGTTTTCAGTATGTTGCCCTTTGTGTCCCACCTTAATGATATATTACTATACCCTCTAGGTTGAATGCCTACTGTTAATCAACTGAGGGGATCATGGTACTTTTGTTGAGAACATATTTATTAAGGTTCATTTTTTCAAAAGATATATTAAGTTTTCGTTTTTTTATGATTTGTGTTTTCAATATGTTGCTCTTTGTGTTCTACTTTAACGATGTTCTGATATATCGATTGAGGAATGGTCAACATAGTTAAAATGATCATGAATGAAGACTAACATACCCTTAAAATGATATTTAGAATGATTTGCGTAGTCAAACTTAAATGCACTGAATGACCTTAGTTTTAATCCAAATGACCTAATTTCAGTTTTGATGTGTTCATAATTGATAAAAGTAACTATTTTCATATTATTTTCAATGAAACCTTTGGGGGCACCTTCAGGTACATTAGGTAACGGATCCTTTTACAACATTACTTTTTTCTTTTTTAGGGGTGGGATGGCACCTACCGCATCCAATCCCCTTGACCATGCTCATACACATGCTATATGAATCAATCAATGATACATGTACATGTTATTCTTCAAATTAATTTTATTATCCCCAGTAATTAGCCCAGTATTTGTGGCTTATCCCGTGCCAGGACTATAGCCTGGAATGTCCCAATCTGTTGTCTGTATGACAACAACATGGGGAAAAAATCGACGACTCCAACACTCATCCTCCGACCACAGGGCTTCAAAATCCAGAATATATTCTTTCTTTTTACCCCCTGCGATAAGCAGATACCATTTCCCCGATTAAGAACTCGCAATCTGATTGACTGTCGCAACACTGCGACAGAAATCATGTATAAGTCATTGCGCATAATTAGATCACGTGATTCAGTTAAATCGGGCGCGTCCAAATTGGTTATAGCAGGGGGAAGAAGGAGGTACGGATTCTGGATACCTGCTTAGGAGGATGCCAACACTTAAATGACCGACTTCAGTTAAATAAATTCTTGAGTATTTTCACGCCCGGTGATCGTACAAAATGGATGGAGGGGGGGATTAGGCGATTTCTGCAAGAAAACTCAACAAATTTGGAAGATTTATTTTTTCAAGAGAAAATTTACAACTGAATTGCCAAATGAATAGGCGCAGTGCATGGCAAAATATGTTAGGTCATCTAGTATTTTTTTTGAACTGATGCCCTTCAAAGATATGAGATCTATTAAAAAAGGCGCATCATCACCAACGTGCAAAAGTCAATGTTTTTGCTATAAATCGGGCAACAATGGTCTACACGACCTGTAATAAATAGGGATAAGGGACATTATTATCACAATACTAATGACATTGCTCACTTTTTAAAGTTAGTTACCATGCGTTATACAAAAAATAATCGAAATAAATTAATATTGGATGGAGGGGGGGAGTGGATGGAGGGGGGGATTTATATGTCTTTACGATGGAACAAATTCACAAGAACTTGTGTATTTGAAAAAAATAAACTCAGTACCCCAAACTGGAAACTGGATATTATATCTTTGGAATATGAAAAATGGGAAAATTTGGAGTCATAAGAATAAATTCAAGTAGCATGTCTTATCATGTCTTACATATACGTGATCCCCCCCTCCATCCAATCCCCCCCCTCCATCCAATATTAATTTATTTCGATTATTTTTTGTATAACGTATGGAAACTAACTTTAAAAAATGAGCAATGTCATTAGTATTGTGATAATAATGTCCCTTATACCTATTTATTACAGGTCGTGTAGACCACTGTTGCCCGATTTATAGCAAAAACATTGAGTTTTGCACGTTGATGATGTGATTTTAGGTTTGTTTTTATGCAGTTGAATCCCCAATCATATGCCATATTGGGTTCATTGGCAGAACGAGGATAATGACAATGCTGGGCATATTTTCTTTTTCAGAACAACCAATAATGTCAGTTGCCGAAAGAGTGACTTCGAGAAAGAGGGGGAGTCAAAGGATCAGTAGACCAAGTGAGACTACAGACATTGAATCTGATCTTATAACATTCCCACATGTTCCAATACATACAAACATATCTCAAACCGAAGACAATGACTTAGATGAAAACAATAAAGAGATGGAAAGAGTACTAGGACTTAAAGGTGATAAACTAAATGTAGCTGTCCTGATCTTCCTTTATGTACTACAGGGTATTCCTCTTGGATTAGCAGGAAGTATACCTATGGTATTATCAAGCAGGAATGTCAGTTATAAAGAACAAGCACTATTTAGTTTTGTCTACTGGCCATTTAGTGTCAAACTTCTATGGGCTCCTATAGTTGATGCTGCTTACTTTCCAAAGTTTGGACGAAGAAAAACCTGGTTGGTCCCAATACAGTATCTGATTGCGTTATTCATGTGGACTTTATCTAATCATGTGACAGATCTGTTAGGTAATGCTGGGGATGAAACTTTCCAAGTGGATGTAAGGACATTGACAGTAGTTTTCTTTATGTTGAATTTCCTAGCTGCAACCCAGGACATTGCAGTAGATGGATGGGCACTTACCATGTTAGAGAGGTAGGTTTTAGGTTTATGATTCACCTAAAAGTCAATTCTCACACTATTGTCTGTGATAAAGGTGTTGATAAATTAATGGTGTTGTTTTAAGGATATTGTGTAATCTTTGTATGAAGTTCATTAATAACTGATCTCATATTTAATTTGTTAAATACATCTATCATTTCATTTAAAACCAGTAAGAGTGAAAGCCATTTACATAACAAAATCATCTTTTTATTTTCTAAGACGTAATGTTGGCTGGGCATCTACCTGCAATTCAGTTGGTCAAACAGCAGGATTCTTTCTGGGAAATGTAGTGTTCCTTGCCCTGGAATCTGCAGATTTCTGTAACACGTACCTCCGGTCAGAACCCCAGCCTGAAGGTCTAGTCACTCTAGGAAGTAAGTGAAATGAAATGTCCAGATGGAAATCAATATCTTTAGCTCAAATTAAATATTTTTGTCTTGAATGGTCTCCTTTGTATCATATACTTTGATAGTTTATTTAATCTCCTGCAATATGTCTGTTAATTGGGTTCTCATTGCACCTATTTTGATTAAGAAATGTCCAAGACTATATGATATTTCTTATTTTCATGATGTTTATTGTTTATCATCTGGGATTAATGTTCTGTATGTATCAGTAAAACTCTATCTCAATTGAATACCATTATTTCACAAAATGTCAAATACAAAATCTATATTAATCCTTTTTAGGCTTCCTCAAGTTCTGGAGCTATGTCTTCCTGATATCAACAACCCTTGTGGCAATATTCAAGCATGAGAATTCATCTGATGAGGAAGATAATGAAGGAATTATTGACACATATAAACTCCTAGGAAAAATACTTAAAAAACCTGCAATTATCTCCCTTATTGGTATTCTCCTCACCTGTAAGGTAAGTTAGTGCTGCAATATAAGAAAAGGCACAAAGGGCAATATTTGACAAACAAAATAATCTGAATCCATGTAATAGGGATCATTTTAAATGTGTAGGGTTGAAAATATTTCTCCATGCTCAATTTGGGTTCAAACTTCATAAGTTGCAATCATATGTTTTATGATGTACAATAAACTAAAAATAGATATATGAAGAGATTGTGGTTACATGTGGCTACATAATACATGAACATTGAGTTAGATGAGGGAGGGTTTGATAAACATTAATTGTATTATATTGTTTTTTATTGTATCATATTGTTTTTATTTATTGTATTGTATTGTACTTTGCATTTTTATTATTCAGATTGGTTTTGCTGCTACCGATGGTGCCAGTGGCCTGAAACTTATAGAAGCAGGAGTACCAAGGGAGAAACTGGCACTATTGGCCATTCCTATGGTGCCAATACAGATCATCCTACCCCTCATCATTAGTAGATTTACTGCAGGACCAAAGCCATTAGATGTATTTGTAAAAGCCATGCCTTATAGGTAGGTGCATTGGGGGTATACTATAATGCAACCATTTATTTGCTCATTTAAGATAGATCAAGATATTTTTGTCAGAAAATATGACTGTTTTTAGTAATTTTAGATTTTTTGCAAGATCATATATTTCAAAAATATTCTCTCACGTAAGAGTCCTAGGAATTACAGTCCAATAGTTCTGATTTCATTTGATGAAATTCTCTCAATTTTAACTCCTGCATTTTAGATCTTTAAAAGCTTCTATATATGATCAGATATCTCAGTTCTTTTTTTGGAAGTTACGATTACGAGTTACCCTCCAACCTAATTCCTTTAAGAACACACTACTGTAAAAATTAATATAGGGTTAAATAAAACCTATCTAATTTTAGGTTATGTATGGGAATAGTCTTCGCTCTACTTGTTTATTGGACGTCAATAGTGAAGCAGTCATATGGGGAACATCCCTTCTGGTACTATATTGTACTTCTTATTGGCTACGCCTTACATCAGGTAACTGTGACTTCAATTCATTGTACATGTATTTGAAAATTAGGCTATGTGTTTATTTTTTCAAACTAACATAATTAATCACATGAATAAAAGTTTGGGTCATTTTAGCTTCAGAATTCATTTCATGAACAAAAGTTAAATATAGAAAAATAGAGCTATATTATTTTGTATTAATTTGGGTGGTCATAACTGGAGGCCCCCATATTTCTTATTTGATTGATTACTTTTGGACCTTTTATATTATTCCTCACATTATCAATAAATCAGATTTATAAATAAAAAATTCACATTTTTGGAACTGTCTCCATACTTATGTTAAGTTTGGAATTTATTTTTATAAGAGACTATTTTCCCTTATCAGTTGACCACAAACTATATCTTGTTATTCTGGGGATCAGTAACAAACTCTCTTAAAGTTAAGATTCCTAAAATCAATTGTTCTGATTGTCATTATATTAGTGGCACTCTCGCTGGGTGCATCTACAGTCTGTGGATTTCTATGATTATCATTGTATAAAGGTAATAGAGTATGACTAAAATCATGTTTAAAACATCCATTGTGCATTATTGAAATCTGATAAAATCAGAAAATGTTCTTCAGAAGTAATTTACTTAACCTATTAACTTATATCCATTATATCCATGGATACAACATTTGATTTTGGAATTCTGAACCTTATGATATTTTTTCTGTTAGTGACCCCCTTGAAGAACATTGCAAGTGATTTTATATATCAATTAACTCAGTCATGAAACTTCAAGTTTGAAATTTTATTTTTTGTTTTAGTGCACACTTTACGCAATGTTTGTTGCCATAATGGCATGGAACGCACGCATCAGTGACCCTGCAATCGGTGGAACATACATGACATTATTAAATACAATAACCAACCTTGGTAAGATATGGCATGGGATGTTTAATTACTAATATGCATGTTTATGTAAGCTGACAGAGCAATACCTAGTTAAATTAAATGAATAAGTGTGTCAAGGGTTTGCCATTTCACCATGCAATTTGAAGATGAAGATGCAAATGATGATATTCTGAAATAAACGTTTAAGTTGATGATATCTCTTGTTTGGACTCCATTTCTTGTTTAGAACATTGAATAAAAATCAGAGTTATTTAATTTAAGCAGGTATGTCTCACTATTAACTGGAATAGTTTTATTCATTTTAGGATGAGTCATCTGTGTTTTGTAAAACTCTTATAGGCTTTGGTATAATAACCTTTAATATGGACCCTATGCAATGCACCTGTTTTGTACCAGCAGAGTTCTAGGAGTACTAAAATCTTGGACAGGAGCAGGAACAGTAAAACCTGTATAAGTGGAACACCTTTGGGACCTGAAAATATTATTCCATGTGGGAGGTGTTCTACAGATCTTTGAAAAGTGTTCCACTTTACAGGTTTTACTGTATATTCATTAACCTTGATACATTTCCACAATACAAGCACCATAGAAAAAAAATCCAGGAGCGAAATAAAGCCATCAGTATTATGATAAATGAATCAAGGCTAATCTAGAATGAATGATGTACCTTTTGCATGACTTTTCTGCGACTTCTTTGGTTATACTAACTCTCATTTTGTTCATTTAACCTATTTCTTTCCAGTGTACTCTTTATTCAATGTATGTTTCTGTGATGTCATTGTTTGCCCGAATCAGTGACCCAACAATAGGTGGCACTTATATGACTCTTCTCAATACAATTAGCAATCTAGGTAAAATCTTGGATATTTTTGTTGTAATTCGTTTGTTGCTTTTGATGATTTTGTTGATTTTGGCTTTCATTGTTTATTGATGTCACTGCACTGTGAACATTTTATATTAATTGTTGGTGTTGCTATTTTGGTGTTGATTTCAGCGTTAACTGGCAAGGTAATATGGTGATATACTTTCCCTTTAATTTCAAATATCGATTTAAAATTAGTTTTACTTTAACAGACCCTAAAGCTGGACTGAGTGAAAATAGCAATGACATTTTATGTGTGGAATTACATTAATTTGCATCACTTCTAAACAGCTCTAGAAGTTAAAGTTGTTCTTCTCTCAAGTTCTCTGCCCACCAAAGTCCTGTTTCAAATAATTTTTATCAAATTTTGTCGTGCTTTGCTTATTGCTTACGGACCAGATGGTCATTATAACAACAGAAACTTTATATTCAAGAATTCCTAGATCCATCGTTGTAACCATGGATATAATGAAGTCATGGTAAGAGAACAGGAATTCTCAACTACACAAAGTTTCTGTAGATGACCTCCAGGTCAATAGATCATTGTATATCCACAGGTGTAATTGATTATGATTTGGAGGAAGGGGTTAAGCTAAAACTTTGCAATGGACATCAATCCTCGAAAGGAAGTGATTTTTAATTTAGATAAATCAACAACTGTTGAATTAATATTTTTAGAAGAGGGGTTCAATCGGAAATGTAATTGATTACATCTTAAAGGCAGAATCAGATCTAGCAATTACTATGATTACTTTGGTGCTTCATCTTGAAGAAAATTGTTCCAATTTTAGAATATTTTGGGCTCATATCATTCCTTGTCATGTCAATTTTCTAAAAATACCCCAAGTATATACTTTATTTTTGGCTCACAAAATGAATACCTTTATATACTCAACTGGCCAAGTATTAACAGTACAAAAGGGAGAAAAAATCCATCAGGTCCATAATTCTACACCTTCACGTACAAGTTTAAAAAACGTGTATCTTAAATTTATTTAAAACTACGCCTTTGTACCAGCGACACACTTTCACAGATGCGTCTTTACAATGAATCACAATAACGAAAATTGCAACTTTAGGATCTTGAAAAAAGTCCTTCCGGGTTATAATAGGTTTCCATGTACAACTAAAAGCACTATATAAAATAAACATCTATACACCATCAATGCAAATATATGCTTTCTTCCATTCTGATACTCATAGCATCTTTCTGTTTCACCTGAAACACATGTACAGGGCTGAGAAGAAATATGAGATGTCATGGTTTATCATGATGGCTTTCTTTGAGAATACATAATGCGGGCCCGGGAATGCGGGATGCCACATTCATTGCAACACACCTTGCAACAATGTCTTATGAGGGTAATTTCTTATATTGAGAAGTTTATCATCTATTGAAATTAAATACTTGGAGCTACAAAAGCGAATTTGTTTGAGCAGTTCTAGCTCGACATATTATAAAGAAAACAATATTTACAACATGGTATTCTTAGTAGACTGTTCAATTTGGAATTTCGAAGCTTAGCCAAACATCTTCTAACAAAGATCATCAAAAAAGGATTTTATCAAAGTCTTCCATGCAAATGAAGGTTCGAATTCACATTAACAAATTAAGATAAGATCCATAATATGTTATCAAATGGTTAAATGCGCAAAATGTGTAGATATGTGTAGATATATGCCAGCCATGGCTGTTCGATGGGATTTGCTACGCTTTGACGTTGCTGTTGTCTAGTTATTATTCGGCATAATTATCCCATCGAACGAAGTTCGGAGGGATATAGGGAACGCCTCCATCAGCTGGACTGAATGATGATGACATGAACAGCATATAAACAAGACGTCCGTACGTACGTCTGTCCGTCCGTCCGAGCAATAACTCAAATACCGTTGGCCCGATTTTGTTCATATTTTGTACACATGTACCCAATGGGGGTAGAAGTTCTGCTCAATAACCGATTTTCAAAATGGCCGCTCATTTAAAAATGGCGGTCATTTTAGTGCCGATTTTACAGTAATTTAGGTACTGCATATAAAATGTTTTAAATGTAAAAAAGTTATATAGGACATTGATTAAGCTAGAAATGTAAATACAGAAGAAATACATGGCAGCCATCTTGAAAAATGGCTGCCTTTGCACGTCATTTTTTACGATTTTTGCTGTAACTTGAAAAGTAGTGGAGCGATTTTGTTCATATTTGGTATGTGAATACTTTACGCATGGCACAAAGTCTAATGACATTTTTGGTAGTAGGCGGCCATTTTGAAAAATGGCCGCCATTTTTACATGTGTTATATAACATTTTTTACTGTAAGTCAAAAAGCAGTGGAGCGATTTTGTTCATATTTGGTATGTGAATACTTTAAATTTTGAAGAGCACTACCGTGATCAAACATATATTGACTTACGTGTGGCACGAACCAGACTAATGAAGAAACAAAAAGAAAAATGGAATCAGGAAATTCTTGAACAACGTAAATTACGTACATATGTTACTTTTAAAACAGACTTTAAACCAGATCAATTCATTTTATGTGACTTGCCAAGAGGCACTAGATCACTGATTTCACAATTTCGGTATGGAATTCTACCTTTGCATATTGAAACTGGCAGATTTGTAAATACCAATGTAAATGAGCGTTTTTGTAACATTTGTAAGTCGGGTGAAATCGAAGATGAAAAGCATTTTATTTTTGATTGTAGTGCATATAGGAAAAAAAGAAATGAGTTCTTTGAAAAATTGGAAATAGAGAGTCTGACTTTAAGTGACATTTTTAAAAGTAAAAGATACACTAAGATGTTTGGTCAGTATTTAATTGACATAATGCAGATCAGGAAAGACTTTATTTTTAAACAATAACTAGTTATTTTAAAATGTTCTAATGTGTCTCATAAGCCCAGATAGGGCTGGTTGTATGATATGATACAAGTGACACTTTAATAAAATAAATAAATAAATAAATAAATAAATACTTTAAGCATGGCCCAATGTCTAATGACATTTTGGATAGTTGGTGGCCATTTTGAAAAATGGCCGCCATTTTTACGTGTGTTATTTTACTTTTTTATGTCCCCACCACATAGTGTGGGGCCATATTGTCGGCCTAGGCGCGTCCGTCTGTCTGTCCGTCCGTCCGTCCGTCCGTCTGTCCGTACGTCCGGGAGTTTTCTCCAAAACCGCTACAGATATCACCTTCAAATTTTCAGGGATAACTTATGCGTGCATACAGATGTGGATGAAAAAATTTTAACTGGATACCTACTTCCTGTCGGCCATTTTGAAGTCAAATGCTAAAATCCTTGTCTGCAAACTTTAAGAAAAACGGCTTCACAGTTGCTTTTAAAACTTTAATATCTTGTTCAGCTCACTTCATTCTAGATCTGATTAGGTTTTGGACCTGTTAGCTCAGTCATGTCAGCCATTTTGAATGTCTTAAGAAAAGTTAGCGCACGATAATACTTTGTATCATATTGAATGGTGTTTTTGAGTTTTCATACTTTAACTATTTAGTAGCTTTATAAATAATTTCAGATCTACTTTGTTGTAAAAGCCTATGTTATTGTTAACAGTAGTAATATGTGATAATTTTGTAAGAAGAAATCAGCAAAAACACATAATCACTTTTTTATTGTCGGCCATTTTGGATTTTTCCGTCCTAAAATCTTGTCTGTGAAGTCTTGTCTACGTGTTTTCAGGTGAACCGTTTGGTGGATCAATTTCAAATTTTCAGGGATGATTCTTAGTATAAAAATCTAGATCTGATTTGTTTTTGGCATTCTGGGTAAATGTCAAGGCAGCCATTTTGGATTTTCCGTCCTAAAATCTTGCCTGTAAAGTCTTGTCTACGGGTTTTTAGGTGAACCGTTGGTAGATCAATTTCAAATTTTCAGGGATGATTCTTAGTGTGAAAATCTACATCTGATTAGTTTTTTGGCATTCTGTGTAAATGTCATGGCAGCCATTTTGGATTTTCTGTCCTAAAATCTTGTATGTAAAGTCTTGTCTACGCGTTTTCAGGTGAACCATTTGTTAGATCAATGTCATATTTTCAGGGATGATTCTTAGTATGAAAATCTAGGAACAGATTAGTTTTTTGACATTCTGGGTAAATGTCAAGGCAGCCATTTTGGATTTTCCATCCTAAAATCTTGTCTGTAAAGTCTTGTTTACATGTTTTCTAGTTAACTGTGTGACGGATCAATTAAAATTGTGTTGGTAAAGTCTTGCCTACTCATTTTCAGGATAACCATTTGATGGGATCACCCATTGGTGGGGACATTTTGTACACATTTGTGTTCTTGTTTAACCATAGCTCCAAAAGTAGTAGAGCGATTTTGTTAATATTTTATATGTGAATACTATAAGCATGGCACACTGTCTAATGACACTTTGGGTAATAGGCGGCCATTTTGAAAAATGGCCACCATTTTTTACATTTTTTACTATAACTTGAAAAGTAGTGGAGCGATTTTGTTCATATTTGATATGTGAATACTTATGAGCCTTGCACACTGTCTCATGACACTTCGCATAGTAGGTGGCCATTTTAAAAAATGTCTGTCATTTTTACATTTTCTACTACAACTCGAAAAGTATTGGAGCGATTTTGTTCATATTTGATATGTGAATACTTTAAAGGTGCAATAATTAGTGCAGAGGGGTCATTCAACGACCATGGACCGGTGTCAAAATATGTTTAAGTTTGGATATTTCATCAAGACTAACATCTATTTTTATCGCACTTTGAAAAAGTGCTATATTGTCGTCGTCTTGTGCTGTTGGGCGGGCGTTTGGGCGTGCGGGTGTGCGGGCGGGCGGGCGGGACATAAACCAAATCTTGTCATCAAATTTCCAGGATAACTGCTTACCTGTTCAACTTGAAATTTTTACAGATGCAAGAGCAGACTAGTACCAAGATCTGATTAGGTTAAGGGCATGCTGGGTAAACTATGTGGCGGCCATTTTGAATTTTTCAACAAATCTTGTCATCAAAATTCCAGGAAAACCACTTATCCGTTCAACTTGAAATTTTTACAGATGCAAGAGCAGACTATTGCCAAGATCTGATTAGGTTTTGGATATGCTGGCTGAATTACATGGTGGCCATTTTGAATTTTTTAATTTGGCGGCCATTTTGAATTTTTCAACTTGCTCCAAATTGACCAAATTTTTTTTTTAAAAACATCTACAAGTTCTCAGAAGTTCAAATCTGACCTTAGATTTCAGATTTGACCTTTCATTCACCTTCAGTGACCTTGAAAAGGTCAAAAAAGTTGATTTTCTAAATTGATATTTTGGATTTAAATTTAGGTCAGCTAAATTACAAAACACCTACTGAGGTCTGAAAAAGTGAAATTTTCAAGGTCGAAAGTCAAGGTCATTAAACTAGGTCACAAATGATGTTATCCAAGTTTCTCAAAGTTTGAGACTACAAATCAGTTCTTGTCATCAAAATTCCAAGAAAACCGCTAACCTGTTCAACTTGAAATTTTTACACATGCAATAGCAGACAAGTGCCAAGATCTGATTAGGTTAAGGGCATGCTGGGTAAACTACGTGGTGGCCATTTTGAATTTTTCAACAAATCTTGTCATCAAAATTCCAGGAAAACCACTTATCCCTTCAACTTGAAATTTTTACAGATGCAAGAACAGACTATTGCCAAGATCTGATTAGGTTTTGGGTATGCTGGCTGAATTACATGATGGCCATTTTGAATTTTTCAATTTGGCGGCCATTTTGAATTTTTCAACTTGCTCCAAATTGACCAAATTTTTTTTTTAAAAACATCTACAAGTTCTCAGAAGTTCAAATCTGACCTTAGATTTCAGATTTGACCTTTCGTTGACCTTCAGTGGCCTTGAAAAGATCAAAAATTTGATTTTCTAAATTGATATTTTGGATTTAAAGGACCTTATACACCCTCCATTGGGATCTCCCCATGGGAAAAAAATAATTCATCTAATTTTTCAAAATGAGTATTCTGCTTCAATTATTACATTTATATGCACACTAGTATCTTGTTGACCTATATTCAGCACTGTATTGATGTATAGGCCACTTATTAGGGTCATAATTCAACCATGAAGTGTAGAGGCATAGATTCCAAACCAGGAAGTATTTTTGTGTCTGTCAAAATCCATTTACATCCTACGCATCCCTGCATCTTATCCAAATATGTTACGACATAATGAAATATAATAGTATAATCTTTGGTTTTACAAACTTGTATGATATTTGATAAGTGTAAAAGTTGTTTTTGGAGCATTTTTCTATAGCCATTTTGTAGGGAAAAAAATGATGAAAAAATGTACAATCTTTTAATTTTAAGTATGACCTGAATCGATTGCAAACTTCATATTTGCTCATTTGATGAGATAAACCATTTGTGTCGTATTGTGAAATTATTAAGTTTGCAATCGATTCAGGTCATAGTGTATTTTTGGTATTTCTGTGATAATCAATGGAAACCAATGGCCTCTATTGGGATCTGCTGATATCCTCATGTTAAGTCAATGGTGTACAGCCCCATGTAAGTCAATACAACCTTGCTGAACGAAATGATCCCTATCTCAGCTTTTGTGTGTTCAAGCACTTTAATATTTTCCAAAGTATTATATGACATTTTATTCTTCATGTTACACCTACGAATGATTCATTTTGACCATAGGGATATTAGCCAATAATTGCACCTTGTCCTTTAGGTCAGCTAATTACAAAACACCTACTGAGGTCTGAAAAAGTGAAATTTTCAAGGTCGAAGGTCATCAAATTAGGTCACAAACAATGTTATCTAAATTTTCCCAAAGTTCAAGACTACAAATAAATTCTTCTCATCAAAATTGCAGGAAAACCGCTAACCTTGTCAACTTGAAATGTTTACAGATGCAAGAGCAGACTAGTGCCAAGGTCTGATTAGGTTTTGGCCATGCTGGGTAAATTGCATGGTGGCCAGTTTGCTCTTCAAAGTGCGATATTTATCACTGTGTGTCTTGTTATTATCTACAAAGAAACCCCCTAGATAAACATTATTTTAGCTGATATTCCTCTTGAAACATGGTGGATCTTAAAAATATAAAAGTGGAAGTCCCCTTTTTGAAGCTTTGAACTGAATTTACACTTCTTAATGCTGAAATTGATAATTTATCCATACATTTTAAGAAAATAGGTATGTCAAAGAAGATGCTAAACCAAATGTTGCCTTGATAGCTCAGAAAAAATGAAAAAACTTTCCTATTTTCTCTACAGTCCTTATTGCCCCTTTAAGCATGGCACATTGTCTAATAAAACTTTGGGGAGTAGTCGGCCATTTCGGAAAAATGGCCACCGTTTTTATGTGTGTTATTTTACATTTTTTAATATAATTCAAAAGATTATAGAGCGATTTTGTTCATATTTGATATGTGAATACTCGTAACGATTGCATACTGCAGCCCTGTCAACTGTCCCGCAATTTGCGTATTTGTCACGCATTTGCTGAAGAATTTGAAGTCACGCCAGTTTTTTTTGCGTGACAGAAAATGTCACGCAAATACGCATTTTACCTGGTAATTGTCAAGCAAAAATATTTCTGTAGAAAATTTTTCAAAATATGTTTACGATACGTTAAAAATATGAACGTTGGAAAAAAACCGGATGCAATTTGTTGGGATTTGTCACAGGAATCCCGTATATGCCACGCATGTTAATTGGATTTTTGTGAGCGCGAAAAATTTGGGGTGATCAAAGTTTGGCAAAGGTGCTCAAACTTTGGCCAAAGGTGTTTAAAAGTTGGCCAAAGGTGTTCAAACTTTGGACAAAAGTGTTCAGATTTGGACTTAAGTGTTTGCTATATATTTTGTTTGTAAAAATGCCAGCCATTTCTGTTTGATGGGATTCGCTTCGCTTTGGCGTTGCCATTGTTCTAGTTTAAATATTTTTCCCCATTTTTGCACTTTGAATCTTAAATAACTTCACCAATTGATAACATATCATGAATCTTTTGGGAGATATTATATTTGAGCTTGTAAGGAATTATTGGTAGATCAATTGTACATATTGCTTGCAATCTTGTCACTCCCAATGGATCTGATTCTGCCTTTAAGACAACATTGAAATATTGACACAGTCTCTTATTTGTATCAATATTTTTTTAAAATGTATCCCATTACAGTATATGGGGAGAATGAGGCATTTAACATGTTTCCATCATCCCTTTTAAATTTGATAAATTTTACATGTTTTCATAAGAACAGAACAGAATTAATATAATGCAACATTTGAAAGGTAAACTAACAAATGATTCTAGGTGCTACAAAAATGAGATTATATTATCATAAATCATAATTTTTTCACTATACGCCTATACTGAAAACCTGTCTAATCCAAACACCACTAGGACCTACCAAACTTTTCAAATTTACAGGACTGTGCTCATATTTCAAGTTCATAGTAAAAGACTTTAACAGGTTAAAAATGAGACAAAAAATGTTCATATTGAGGGGTGATAGATTAGAGAGGTGTTTGGATTATTGTAACATATTTTACTGTTTGTGTAGTACTTCAAAAATTCTTTAACTTGCTAAACATATTAACATTTACATTCAGGTGGCAATTGGCCTGTAACTTGTGCCTTATGGTTCATTGATTACCTCACTTGGAAGTCATGCTCAACTGGAGGAACTTGTGATTCACCAGATCTCACCAAGGTATTTAAATTATATATATTTTTCAGCCTGTTGAAAATTAAATAAAAAGCATCACCATTTATAAGTAAAAGGTCACACTGACCTAGATATAGAATTACTTTTCATTCAAAATTACTTTTATTATTAGAATAAATAAATATAGATTTCAATTGCAACTTTTAAGAAAAAGGACTAATACTTAGTAATCAGCAATTCAGACTAAAATTCTCCCTGATATTTCAAGGTTTGATTGACAGCTCTATTTTTACACATTCCAAATATGGGTGAAATTGAGGTCATGTATAAAATCTACAAGGTCAAGCTGAACTCAGGTCACTCTCTAAGGCAATTTGAAAAGCAGATTTCTGACAAAAAATGATAAAATTCTATGCTGTATTTCTTAGCCAAAACACATTTCTAGAAAACATGACCTTTCAAACTATTTTTGTTAATCTAATACAAGATAATCTGAGTACTTTTATTTCAGATTACGCATAAATTAAAATGATATTTTAAATGATTCATTTGGTGATTATTTTGTTAAATAATTACAATCTAGAAAATGTTGGATTCCATGATGTTTTGCAGTTTTTAGTGATTTCCATCAGATGCAGCAATAGTTGCAGTTAAAGTTTTAGTCAAAAATTATATATATTATGTATACTTCTTTTAATGTTACAGACATGTACGGAGGGAAAAGGAGAGTGTCATATCACTACAGATGGTTACTACATAGAAACAGCAATATGTACAGTCATAGGATTCATCTGGATACTATGGAGAAAGAAGAAACTCAGGGATCTACAGATATTGGAGGACTCTGCTTGGAGATGCACGACGTAATATAGATACATATAGGGCTGATGATATTAGAGCATACACCCGCCTGGAGGTTGTTACCCCTATTTATTTTATACCATACTGGACTATTTTGGCTCATTTATGTTTGTGTATTAGTTCATTTAATTAATGAACATATTGTAATTTATAAATAAAGATTACAGTTGATAAATACAGTTCACTTTTTGAGCATTTTTAAAAGTACAGGGTCTGTTCTAATGTTTTTGAAAGAAAAAGGTGTTCTTTTTTATTTTATTTATTATTAAAACAGTCATATGTCATTCACGTAGGGTTGGCCATGTCTAAACATTTTACGGCAGAAATGTTCTTTTATCATAACTTCTGCTTCAAACTTATTGCATTCCTGTGGCACAAGTTCATGTTATGTATGCTGTTTTGTAAACATTACAGTTTTTTATGTACCATTACTTAATGGACCAAGTCTCTGATATTGTATCACCATCAACTGAATTATTTTGTAATATAACAAGTAAAGAACGTGTCAAATCAAGCTCATATTTAAAATAATAGTGTTCCTTTAACATGTTTAATTAATTTGGTGCTGATTAATTTAGCAAATTTGCCAACAAAATTGAAAATTGGCGAAGATTTAATTTGGCGAATTTAGCAAGAATAAAATACCTGTAAAATTGGTGAATTTGACAGGGGAGTGAGCATGTTACTAAGACAATGTCAAATCAAGGGCCATATTTCGACATTCATGACATTTTTCTGAAAAATTGACAAAGACATAAATTGGCAAGTTAAAATGGCTGCCAATTAGAGGAACGCAAAAATAATTGTTATGAATTTTCAGTTTTTATGTTCAGTTTGAGTCCTAAAGAAACTGTGATGTGTAAAAAATATTATTAATTATTGCAATATAGTTGTTTTGATATTAAAGATATAATTGAAATATGTAATATAGCTTTTTACATTCCACCACAGCTGTATTGAATATGTTAAATACTAGGGGCCAATCATTGAATTCTGAGGGGGCTCAGATGAAAGATCTTGTATTTCTTGGATACTAAATCCTAGATACAGGTAGTTAGATTCTACTGATTGTGCCTCCCCTGGATCTAATGGCCCACCTTGTAGCAGAAGAGGTAGAGGTAACTCAAGGAAGCTTCACTCCAAGCATTCTTTATTGATCTTCATTTGACTGGCAATAGACCAATATGGTAATAATATGACTATAACGTTCAACTCCCAACTAATTGCTTGGTCAGAAGATGAACACAATTATAGTAATATTACTACTGTGTTGTATATTCTAAGCCGTCTAAATGCTTGATGAACCTCATAGTCTACTGTATTATTACCAGTTTGGTCCATGCCTGTCAAATGAAGACTGTGAAAGAATGCTGGGAGCCTCGTTCTTTTTAAAGACTACTGATATTTGAAGAAATAAAATAATAAAAAATGAATTATATGAAAATATATACTGTGTCCTATTCGGGTTTGTTTATTTATCTGACAGTTCATCTGCCTGCCAGGAAAGAAGATTCATGCCTCGGAAAATGTGAGAATTGGCAATACTTAGAGAAAGTACATAAAATCTTCTTTCCATAGAATGAATTTAGGAATTCAGTCCAGTGAATATCATGCCCATCCACTAATTGTCCTGAAATTACTTAGAAGCCAAAATTGTGGATTCCAAAAACTTTGTTTGGTTTTATTGGTTCATCTAGTTTCCTATACTTATACACAACACAAAAATAATAGCTGTCATGTTTTTTTTTATCTAGAATTTATTTTACAGATGCAATCTAGGATATTACGATTCATCAAATCAATTACGTATATATCAATTTATGATTCTTTTAAAAAAGTATCAAAACACTTCTACAAAAATAACTACCAACTGATGCAAGTTTGGTGTTTTTACAAGTAAAACTTAAATGCAACTACAGATTATTCTTGTTGATTGTATGTACGTGTAATCAATTATACATTCCTAAATACACACATCATCCCACTGCTAAAGCTTTAGAAAATCAAACCAACTAAGCTGGTAGAACACAAACGATTCACCTATATCCTTTTCACACAAAAGGTCTATGTGCAGTATGGCAAGTGATTTTAGACAATCGTATCTTTAACCATGAATACTTTCTGGGTATAAATACAGTGGTTCTTATTAAAACAATATGTTTTCTTTCAAGTGAAGTACCCATGATAATAAAAATATCAATCAAACAATTCGAAAAATTATAAATAGGGACCCCATTTTCTTCAAAATGTTGAACCTCTTTACTCAAGAAGAGGATCTCTCTTTTCTGGTTTTTATTGCGTGAAAAGATTATTCAACAAGGGATCTAAAACATCTTCAAAAATATAATTGTATTGAAAGTCTAGTTTTGAAGATATCAATTTTCGATGACCAAAATTATGCTGAAAGCAATGGATAGCATGAGATGGGATATGTGGTTTTTTCACTTTAACAGATTTCTTTCAATACTCATCTCCTTTCTCAGAAATTGTTAATATAGTGTAGAAGAAACTTTTGATAAGTTTAAAATGAGAAAAACAAGATCCTCTTTTTAGAAAATGAGCTTAACATTTTTAAAAAAGTGCCAAGGTGGGGTCCTAATCCATAATTTTCCAGAAAGTTGGATTCATATTTTACAATCATGGGGATTTCCCTTGAAAAAAACATATTGTTTTAATAAAAACCACTGTATTGATGGCCAGAAAGTACCCATGGTGAAAGATATGACCGTCTAAAATCACTTGCCACACTGCACATGGACCTTTAGGCCTATTCTAAAATCATATTATGACAAACACTTGCTAATTTGACACCCATATTTTCAACAATCGCCTGTGAGTATCACTATTACCGGGTATTGTATTATTTTGGAAGTCCGTCATTTCCAATCAATGATTCGGCCTCATCACCTACTATCGCAGGTCCTGCACCAACCTTTGTATGAATGATATACTTCAAGAGATCACCTTTTACAGGTGTAGCAGGAGTTGGCTGTTCAAAGTTGACAGGAATTCCTCGTATGTAATTTTCATACGAGCTTGGAGGGAATTTTCGTGAGAAAGATGAGATAAACTTTTTGACATTTTCTTCAAGAAGAAAAATACAAGCATTTGGGCCAGCATCAAATGTATATGCAGCCCTGATGGTATTTTCTTCATTATTGAAATCATGTACAAATCTGATGATTTGCTTTGAAGTATCATTCATATAGAAGATTGGTGGGTGGGTATCCATACACACTGCATGTAGTTGATTGCTCTCTTTCATAGTCACTTCAGCAAATGTTTCAAAATCTTTATCAAAGATGGCTTTCTTTATCATGTTGATTCTCTTTGGTACAACTTTTTTGGCTCTGTACTGCATCAGGTCTGATGTTCTCACTGTGGCCTGCATACCATCTGTGCTTCCAACTGGTTTCTTCTGGTCATTAACAACAAGAATCAGAACTCTTATTTCAGGCCAGTGGTCCTCGGGAGCGACTTGTACAGCTATTGAGCTTCCTGTGTCCTCCCCAGGGAGCCACTCCACCCATCCTCCGTACATGCTCCTGCAGGCACTCCCCGATCCTACCCTAGCTATGGACGACACCTCACCCTCGATGTTAAACAGCTTTGATAAAGCATGCACCAAACAGGCATAACCTGCAGCAGATGAAGCCAAACCAGCTGCTGTTGGGAAATTATTCACTGACACAATATGTAAATGCCATTTGGACATGCCTTGTGTAAAACTTTCACTCAGATCAGATTCATCAAACTTTCTTTTGCGAATTCTGCGTCGCATTTCATTCAACACACTTTGGATCCTAGGATTATCAATTGACTGTTCAGTGCCATTCAGCCACAATCTATCATTTTTGAAGCTGCGACTAATCGCGACAGATGTTTTAGCGCAAAGCTGTCCTTGGTCAAGGGTCGCACTCAGAGATCCATTGAGAGGTATAATGAGATCTGTATCCTTCTTACCCCAGTATTTAATCATAGCAATGTTTACAGGGGCTGTTGATGTTACACAGCATAGGGTATCTGTATCTTTTTCATTCACTTTCTCCATCTTGAATCACTGTTTTGAAATGAGCTTAAGATGTACTAGTATCGACTATTTGATCAAATACTTCAATTCTCTCAGAAGTTTGGATAATACTTAATGTGCAGAATGATCTCTTTCCCTATCTTTAACTACTTTGTTGGGGCCTCTCCAAGTGGATTTTCAGGGTCAATAGGTTTTTTAGATTCTTGATACAGTTCAAAAATTTGTCCTATTTGCTCATCATTAAATGCATCTAGTTGTCGATTGTCCAAATTTTTACCATAACTTTGTTTCTGTGTCTTTGCTGCCAGTTGTTTCGCTAATGTAGCATAGTAGGCCTGGATATAAAAATTTGTATCACATTTATGTTTGTGTGTAAATTAACATGCAGTGATGATAGTGATTTTACTGTACTTCTACTTATTTTGGCACTACTTATTTTGGCAGATTTGCTTTAATCAGGCAAACTTGCAATCAATGTGCTAATGGTACTTCTTTACATAAAATTACTGGGGATTTTGTTGGCTACTCAATTTGACAGACTTTAACAATTTGGCAGGTCCGTTAAATTAAAACGTCCGCCAAATTAAGTAGAAGTATAGTATATTTGTTACATGCTAATGACTTGTTGTGTAGCAACATATCAGCATTGAAAGTAGTCCTAAGATTTCTCAAATTATTTTCTGTCTGCCACTTATCTTTAACAAATGGATAATGAAACAAACACACAGCATAGATAATTGTTGAATATTAGAGTCCATTTCACTGCTTCATTGCGTCAGTAGAACGGCAAAAATAAGAAATTGGGAGACCATTGTGCAATAATATATGGAAAAGTATATTCATAATGTACATGAATGACATTTGTATATTTCAGATTTTTTATTTTTTTGTGCAATAAGCCTGTGCCGTCTTGTACTTTGAAGAATTTCAGCCATGTTAATCTTTTTGAAAATAACATGGCAGAGAAGCATCCAAATATAAGAGACACTTTATAAGCCAAACTAGAAGCAATCCAAGATATACAAATGTCATACATAGACTGCGGACTATTCTGTAGAAGTGCTCTAGAAATGGATCTCGCTTTTCATGGAAGGTCACACATTCCAACATATTTCAAACAATTTGTATGATTATAATAGACACTTTCTGGGTAGTTGGACTTTATGTAGGGGTGGCAGAAGGCCCTCAGGCCAATTTATACCCCTACCCCAACAAAACCTTGGGGGTACTTTAATACCACCAAATAAAAATAATACTAATGCATATCAGATATTCATCGTTTTATAGTGGGTAGGGCATGCCATGGTTAGTCAGTGCCAGAAATTTCCAATCTCTGACTTATATGGTTACCATGGAAACAGTATTTATATCTCACAATCTTCTCAGTTTGACCCCGTCCCAAACGTGTCCTTAAGTTCTCAAAGTGAAATATTTGCAAATCTGTTTGGATTTTGTGGCTGCAACTTTGTCAAAAGTTGAATTAATATGTATGTATTCACACTAAAGCACTAAAAACTTGATATAATGATCTCATAAATTAATAATATTTATCAAATGTAGTCACACACAACTGCTTTTAGGGAAAAGTGGGCGTGGCACTTTTTGGTACTTGTGTAATTGTTGCAGCATTAAATGAAAAATACTTATTACACTAACAACAATTGACATTTAATTAGCATCTACTAACATTGTGTAACATTGTAGTATGTTCATTATCATTATTAGATACTTTAAATATTTTATATAAGTGTTATCATGACCCTTCCCTATCATAGGTCATTAATGGTCAAATTAACATTTTAAGTCCTAGAGGTCCTTAGTCTTTTTAGCTTGTCAAAGTCGTATTCATTGACTTGAAGCTAGAATATAAATAGTTTCATTGATCAAGAGCTATGAGTTAAAATTGATTAATACATTTGTCAGGGTTAGAGCCATTTTATGCAATTGAAAAGTAATGGACTGACACTGATCAGTACCAAGTGAAGGTAACGGCCGTAACCTTCGCATCTAAGATGGCGGACAGTAATTGTCGATTTTGATATTTTTAATTTTCATTGAATTAAACTACTTTAGAGTTGATGTTATGCTTTGACATTTGCACCAAATCAGGCTTAAATGACATTGGAACCATAGATGTAGTAAACATGAATAAACGATATGTGAAATGTTATGCCCTGCCTTAATACATAACTAAGATTTTCTTGGATAAATGGTGTCTTACAATTGACTGACTGATTCTATTATCAACATCAGGTAATGCATGATCTATCCAATGGATTAACGAAAATACTTGATTCCAATATGGCAAAATAAATTATTCCATATATGAATTGCATAGTGCATCATTTTGCAGATATTACATAATGCATTCATTGACTCATGGTCAACAAGGTACGGGTAAAACTCCTTTTAGTATTTCACAAAATAATGAAATATAAACAATTTACACATTTCTGAAATGCTGTACCTTTAGTGATTCCTTCGACCTGGAAAGTGGTTTGTTATGTTAAAACTTAAAATAATATCTAAACAAATCTGTTTAGTGTATATAAACAATAAAAGTTAATATGTTTAATATCAAATATTATTAGACATATGAATATAACCTAAAATAAGAAATCTTGTTCTCGTATTCCATTTTAAAATTGGTTGAATGATTTTGGCACAGTAGAAATGATGGTCATGATTAAATATTATATGTAATATGCCCTGATGCTGTAACATCAATGGTCCTTTATAATCAGGTATGACTGAAATACTGGACAAGATCTTATAAGGTTACAGTTTCCATATAACGTATGTTCCATATTACTACCCCAAATCTCCATTGTGTAAGTTTATGAGTCATTATCCCTCATAGTTTATTATGGCAAATGCATATCCTTGTCTAGAATATGTCATTTTATCAATTTTATAAACAAGTATACAATTACACGCCCCCCCCCCCCTCCCACACCAAAACTCCATTTTTTTTATCTAAATAGGATAGTTCTAGCTATTGCTGTTGTTTTGAAATGTTGACTTTTCTTGGGGAAATATTGTTTCAATTCTGACAGAAGTTTTTAGCCAATATCATTCAATTTATCAATATCCAAACGCAGGGTTTCAGAAAGTATGCATTTTGTTTGTGCCTGTATTTTCATCATGTGTACTTATTAAGACAGCTATATTTAAACGTAAATACATTAAAACATGATACATATAATCTTTTGACAATTACCCAAATGCGAGTAGGTAGTTACCAGTTTCACCACCAGGTGGCTGATTCGGGTCAATTAACATGGCAGGTATATAAGAAAGTTCCCTTAAACTTGAATATTATCAATTTAAGTGGCTCAATTTTCATATAACCCTTATGTGTCTAATACTTATACTAGTGAAAATATGTCCAGTAAAGCAAAATATTATCTGTCCACTAAAAGAAAAGATATTTCATTTTTTGTGATTTTATAGCATGGGGTCTATGGGGAATCTCCCCGAGCTAGAAGTCACATTTTCAAAGAAAAGTAATTTTTCAAAATTTATAAACACTTTTTAAAACCACATTTCTAGATGTAATTTTACATGTAGATTTCAAATATGATATTACTTTGACTGAATTTTGAATTTTTAATGACGTAAATCAAGATTATTTCTACTCGCATCTGGGTTATTTCTTCAGTAAAGTGGCCATTTTGAGAAATGATATATAGCTTGTACCTTTGTTTGATGCTCAACAAGATGTTCGACTGGATTTGCCTTTGTCTAATTCATATACAGGGTGATCCAGAAGTAACGTCAAAGACATTGTAATTTCAAAAGTATTCATCAGATCTTCATGAAATTTGGTATACATGTACCCACAACATTTCTGAGTTACCATCTCAAAGATTGGAATTCAATCATTTCATTGGTTGAAATTATGGTTGCTATAGTAACCCGATATCGCGTAACCCGGGGCAAATTGAAGAGAAACCATAACGTTTTTGTGAATTTCTCTAATTTAAAAAGTCAGTAACATTTGAAAATGTTCATTGTTTGTTTTCTATGATTTTTATATTTGTTGCCATGGTAACAAATATGTAATAGTTGTGATGTCACAATAGGCATTCATAAAAAGCTTTCAATTTCTTTGAATTGCTTCCATCATCCATGACAAATACTAACATGACCAAGGACACTAACCCACCCAATTCAAGATGGCGCCAAGTCAGAGTAAAATAGAGCAAAGAACAAACATTAAGTTCTGTGTAAAGTTGGGGAAAGGTGTAAAAGAGACTATAAGACAGATAAAGAAGGCATATGGTAAAGCTGCCATTGCTGAGAGAAACATTTACAGGTGGTTTAACAAGTACAGGGTGTCCCGAAAGTATGGGCCCCCCCCTAGGCAGACATATACCAGTGTCGTCATAGTATGTGTCATATATCATTTTAAAGCTTATTCAAAGTTACATTGATTCGCCAAGTATCATTGTTCAACTCTAAAATGTGAAAAAATTACAGGCATTTCAAAATTTAGTGTTTGGTCAGAATTAAGTTCAATTTTACACCAAATCACAAGTCAATGTGTCCTCCTGGGCCATCTTACAGCAGCAATATTTTTTTCGGGTCGGAGGGATATTGAGTTGGAAAAAGAGAATGGTGAGGGTAGAAACTCTAAGGAAACTCTTCCAAAGTTCCTTAACAGGTTTAAGAGGATTATGAAATTCCACATCCCTATTTTAAGGGCTTTTAAGGTCATATCTGAAAATAATTGCTGCTGTTAACATGGCCAAGGGGGGACACATTGACTAGTAATGTGGCGTAAAATTGAACTTTATTTTGACAAAACACTAACTTTTAAAATGACTGTAACTTTTTCCCATTTGGGAGTTAAACCATGATACTTGGCAAATCAATGTAACTTTGGATAAGCTTTAAAATGATATATGACACATACTATGAGGACACTGGAATATGTCTGCCTAGGGGGGGCCCCATACTTTCGGGACACCCTGTATTCCAGTGGATATGATGAAGTGGTAGACAAGCAGCGAGGAGGCAGGCCAGTGTCGTCATTCGATGATCAAACCATCAAAGCAATTGAAGCTGATGTTATGGACAATAGGCAAATTTCTATCAGAGAATTGGCTGAAAAACACGATCTGAGCTATGGGACTGTGCAACGGTTACTGACAAAGAACTGTCTGTTAAAGAAGGTGTCTGCTAAATGGGTGCCGCATGACTTGACACAGGAGCAGAAAGACCGGCGTGTTAAGGCTTCAAGGGACTTTCTTGCAAAATATCGGAGAGATGGAGATGACTTTCTTAACAAGATCATTACGAGTGACGAATCATTGCTATCATTCTACATCCCAGAGACCACGCAACAAAGTTCATCGTGGAAACATGACAACTCCCCAACACCAACCAAGCCTAAAATAGTACCAGGAATTCCACAAAAGAAACAAATGGTTGTGACATTCTTTGACATAAGAGGAATGGTGTTAACCCATTTTGTTCCCATTGGCCAGAGAATTAATGCCGTTTACATTGCAAAGGTAAGATATCATTTGTTCTAATAATACATCATACTGTGAATTTTATTTTTAAATTAAAGTATTTAAATGTTGTTCACTGTCAATATAATTATAATTCCATGGCCATGATTCAAATCCAAATCCAATCAATGAAACAACTGGTTTAACAACCATTAAACATTTGTTTTTCAGGTTCTGAAGCGTGATCTTCAACGTTCCCTGAGGAAAAAGCGTCCCGGACATCTGCAGCAGTTTATCTTGCATTGGGACAATGCCCCTACGCACACTGCAATCCTGACCAGCAACACAGTCCAAACACTTGGATTTCAACAACTTGAACATGCCCCTTATTCACCTGATCTTGCCCCCAGTGACTTTTATTTGTATGGGGAACTAAAAAGAAACCTTAGTGGAAATAATTTTCAATCCTGTGAGGAATTGAAAAATGCCGTAGTACTAGCCCTACAAGGAATGAGTTCTAATGGATTTAATTCTGTGTTCAAGGAATGGGTATCCAGACATGAGAAATGTGTTGCAAATGGTGGCAATTATGTAGAATGAACTATTATTAGTAACTGTGCAATAGTATGATTTATATTGTTGTGAAATAAAATGTTGAGGATATAACAATTTCAGATCTTGTTGATATTTTGAGATTACGCATTACACGTTAAGTAATTTGCCCCGGGTTACGCGATATCGGGTTACTATAGCAACCATAATTTCAACCAATGAAATGATTGAATTCCAATCTTTGAGATGGTAACTCAGAAATGTTGTGGGTACATGTGTATACCAAATTTCATGAAGATCTGATGAATACTTTTGAAATTACAACATCTTTGACGTTACTTCTGGATCACCCTGTATATACCAAATACGAGAATCAGAATCTTATTCTACAAAACGGGTGTTCATGGAAGTAGCACTAATTATTGCATCATTGCTATAAATCGTGTGATTTGATTGGCTAATTCAGAACCATGTGACTAAAAATACCAGCGTATTTCACAGCTCACTGAATTATTTCCATATTTAAAAGACGTATTGTCCAGCGTATTGCCCGCCTGGGGATTCTGACAACTGCACTTTCAATGATTTTTGCAACATGTATTACCATCGCCCTACGGGCTGCGGGCAATACATGCTGCAAAAATCATTGAAAGATGAACAGGTATTGCCCTCTATAGAATGAAATATTTGCTTAACATTTCTTACTGTTTCGGGCTTAATATCAATTTTGTTATAAACTGAACAAAGCGGCACCTTTAACATGCAGCTAATTCTCCCATCTAACCAGGAGAGCCTCTTTTAATATATCGAAATTTAAAAATTGCCTCTGATTCAATTTGTTCAATCAAATCTAAAATGGTAATACCTTTTTACTGCTTCGAACTTCCTTATATTTTATACCATTGGGGTAGGATCTTTGTCTCTTTCAATTAATGCTTTCACCAGAAACATGGATATCACTAATTTTGATTCATATTTAAAATGGTGTGCATGAATAGACCTGTGTATTTTATACCAAATAGAGACACTTCCCTGGAGAGTTCTAAATCTCTATATGTTAACAGCCTAGTTCCCACATCCCTTGTTGACTTTGCTTCCATATTTCCTGTGAAGCCGTGGAACAGTTCTCTTGTTCTTCACAATTTTCCATTTTAATGTAACTCAATGAATAAGGCCAATTCATATCACTGGCTTCCCTAGGTCATTTGAATTCCTTGCAATTTTTAAATCAGCAATAAAGAATAATGGGTTAAATTATCAAATAATGAAAAAGTTGCAAATTATGAGATTTGTTATATAGCTTCGAAATCTTGATGAAGTGTAGTTTAACTATAGGTTAACAGGCTAAATTCTCATTGAGATAATTTTAAAGAATCTTAAACATTGACTTATTGTTTCAGTGGTCCTATTAAAGTTCATGTGTACACAATCTGAACAACATCCAGTTTCAAACACTTCTGATTATCATCAAGTTTCAAACACAATCTGAACATCATCAAATTCAATGCAAATGCAGTTTTACTTTAATCCAACAGAACGAATATGGTAAATCAATAGACTAAGTGACACATGTCAAGTCAATGGTAAATACTTGTATCTAGCCCAACTAGCACAAGTGCTGCCATCTACCGACTAGTATCAATCCATCTATCCATATACATAGCACCTAATGAGGTCACGACTTCAAGTAAAGCTTTTTCCCTTGTCTATGGTAAAAAATAAGTTAAACAGAAAAGTTAGTTTGACACCATTGGTGATGCCCACTTTGTATGGTATAGGGATAAAAGGAAAGTTCATGATAACACTTACATAAAATAATTTAAGTATCTAATAATGATAATGAACATATTACAATGTTACACAATGTTAGTAAATGATAATTAAATGTCAATTATTGTTAGTGTAATATGTATTTTTTGCTTAATGCTGCAACAATGACACAAGTTCCAAAAAGTGCCACGCCCACTTTTCCCTAAAAGTAGTTGTGTGTGACTATATTTGATAGATATTATTGATTTATTGGAGCATTATATCAACTTTTTAGTGCTTTAGTGTGAATATATACATATTTATACAACTTTTGACAAAGTTGCAGCCACAAAATCCAAACAAATTTGCAAATATTTCACTTTGAGGGCTAAGGGACATATTTTGGAGGAGGTCAAATTGAGAAGATTTTGAGATATAAATACTGTTTCCATGGTAACCATATAAGTTAGAGATTGGACATTTCTGGCACTGACTAACCATGGTATGCTCTGCCTACTATAAAACTATGAATATATGACATGCATTAGTATTCTTTTTATCAGGTGGTATTAAAGTACCCCCAAGGTTTTCTTAGTGGGGGTATGAATTGGCCTGAGGGCCGTCTGCCACCCCTACATGAAGTCCAACTACCCAGAAAGTGCCTAGCATAATCATACAGACTGTTTGAAATATGTTGGAATGTGTGACCTTCCATGAAAAATGGAAGTTGCAATTATCAGAGTAGTCCACAGTCTAACATGTACAATAGGAATATATTTTTCCATATATTATTGCAAAATGATATTTTGATTTCTTATTTTTTAGCTTTTACTGACGCAGTTAAACAGTGAAATGGACTCTATATTATATTGCATTAACTTGATATGTTGCCATCTTAGTCAATCTTGGCATATACAACACATGTAAATGCAATAATAGTGCATTATAACTGCTATAGTAAGGAGAAGGTTTGAAGAAAGCCTGTGAAAGAACTTCAGCAATTACTGTAGAAACGTCTACATACTACAACCAAAATGTTAAAATTGTTAAATTAGGACTGCAAAGTCTCTTGTATATTCTAACTGTTAGTAATAAAGCCAAGCAAAACTTACTGTCCATTCAAGCATGAATGGCCCAACATCCTTAGGCTCTGCAGACTTATGTCTTCTAAATTCTTCCTTTACATACTGGTCACCTAGAGCCTGTAGTTCTACGGGCATACCACGATGAAGCCTCAGTATGGCTTTGTATAGTGACCTGACTCTAGATACGTGGGCAGCATTTGACATAACCAAAGCGTGTATTGCACTCAACCGGAACCAATTATAGACAAGGTTGCTCTATAGGATAGCACTAGAAAAAGAAGAAATAAAGTATACAGTAAGCTTCAACATTGGATCTATCTGGTGACATATAGATGTTTTTATTAACCATCAAAAATATGTACAGTAATTAGAGTTTCAAAATCCTCATAGAAGTAATTTTGGCTACAAATTAATGTACAGTACATTTATTTGCATATGTCATGGGCTTCTCTCACAATGAGCACCATCTACCTACATCGAAATCTGGTAACTTAGAAAGAATAAATTTTTTCTCATGCCAGGATGTAATTGAAACAATTTTTTATAACTATAATAAATTTAATTTTTTATAATTGAAAAATTCAGCTTTAACATTTTAATGAGGACTCCATGACCAAATCCAGATATATTACAAAATTAGCAAAAAATTGTGTGCCAAATATAGTCTATACTGGATTTCTACAATTTTCAAACGACTTTGGCCATGATTCAAGAATCAAAAAAATATTTAGAGTATTGAGAATCAACAGAGGCCAAACGATGAGGTGAAATATATAACACTTGAAGCTTCCAGTATAATAACAGCATCAGGTATTATAGATTATGCTCACTGTGGTTTCCCTTAGAAGCCTATGGTCACATTCAGTTTACAGTTATGATGTGGGGCCCAAATCATGATGATATACATTACCTTCAGAAGAAAGTAAAGACCATAATTTGGATTTGGACCAAATCATAACTGCATACAGAATGTGCATGGTCAATGGCCTGAGATTGAATGTCAAAAGAGGAAAAGTAATCCAAGGAAGAACAAAGCAAGAAGACTAACTTATAGATAATAAAAATTAGTACCGTGTGTACTGGGCTCACATGGTGTTGCTCAAAAGTGAAAATAAAAAAACGGATATATTAATTTATTTTGCAGATTTTTTGTGACAAAATTATTTCATACAACTACTCTTTACAAAGACATGGCTTTTCACAATGCAGGACACCTGAACTTATTTGTAAAGCTAGGAAATGGGCCAAAAGTGAATTTCCCGAGACAAAAATGATGGCCATTTTGAAAATACGCGAGATTTTGAAGCAGGAGTCACAGGGTCTTTTTCTTTATTGATGTTAAACAAAAATATTTTAAATCGGGAATCCTATCTACAGAGGACTTAAAAAGAGCCAAGTGTTGACAGACAGAGGTTTTAAAACTTGCCACTATTTTGGACTGACTTACAGAGAGACAGATGGACAAATCAATATTAACTAAAATGGCTGAAAATAAAAAAACGGATATAATATTTTGCAGATTTTTTGTAACAAAATTATTTCATACAACTACTCTTTACAGTGACATGGCTTTTTACAATGCAGGACAGCTGAAATTATTTGTAAAGCTAGGAAATGGGCCAAAAGTGAATTTCCCGAGACGAGAATGGCGACCATTTTGGAAATAGGCGAGCTTTTGAACCAAGAGTCATAGGAGAGTTTTTTGTATTGATGTTGAAAAAAATTAACTTAAAACAGGAATCCTATCGAAAGAGGGTTTAAGACAAATGTTCCAAAAGTGGATTTTGCGAGACAGATAGACAAATCAATGTTAACTAAAATGGCTGAAAATAAAAAAATGGATATAATTTTTCGCTGATTTTTTGTAACAAAATTATTTCATGTATCTACTCTTTACATTGACACGGATTTTTACAATGTAGGACACCTGAAATTATTTGTAAAGCTAGGAAATGGGTCAAAAGTGAATTTCGCGAGACAAAAATGGCGGCCATTTTGAAAATAGGCGAGCTTTTGAACCAGGAGTCATAGGGGAGTTTTCTGTATTGATGTTGAACAGAAATAACTTAAAACAGGAATCCTATCGACAGAGGTTTTAAAACGAGCCACTATTGTTGACGGAAGGACAGACAGACAGACAAACAGACAGATGGATGGACAGACAGACAGAAAGACAAGTGTGCGATTGCAAAAGCTCACCATGTGAGCTAAAAATAACACCCTAATTGAATCTATACCGTTTGCATTCATTCGACTTCACTTCACTCAAAAGAGAGCTTCATCTTCACTCATTCAGTTTTCAATAAATCTCTGAACTCACCGAGCGAATCAGAGATCGTAGTCGAAATACGGACGACTTTCATTTTCTCTGACATAATCGCATAGTTACAGTGCACGCATTTTGCACTTGTTCCTTCAAGCTCTCTGATTGGTTGAGAATAGGCTAGCGCGGTAGGTGTAAAATGATTTAAGACCCGAGCCGTCACAGGCATCGGTCATGAGGGCGGGGCCTGAGCTCCTAAAATGTAATATAGTCTATACTAGGCAGAGGGTAGTTTATAACTAGACTCTACGCGTAGGGTATAATAGGTGGAGAACTAAAGTGGGGGACAAAAATAAATCTCAACCCTCAAAAGTTGTCACAATGAGCTAAATTCTAAGTTTCGTGTCTTAAACTCTCCCAAGCTTTAGAAAAATAATTCCCATTCACTTTAAGTAGCACAATAAATGAATCCAAAGCTTCATACCTGCAAATGATGGATAAATCCCTACCAAATCGAACAAATGTTTTCATGAATCGCCATGTTTGTGATCCAAGGAGGATTGACTCCCAGAATGCAACATCAGGTAACCTTATTTACTCGTGACAGATTTCAAATTGGCGGAATGGCATTTTGAAAGCTGACACGTGACATGTTGCATTCTGGGAGCCAATCCACATTGCGGCGTAATCGGGCTCCAAAATCACCTCAACATTTGAAGAGTCTGCATTAACATGTGAATTCCACTTCAAATTTTTAAGTTCTTATTTGTCATTATGGGCATGAATTCCACTATATCTGGACTTACTAGGACGGACAAAATAGAGCACTGAATACACTGAGGTAAGAATTTATTACATGTGTGCGAGTAATGCGAGAGCATGTAATTTCCATAGCTTTTGTAATTCTTTATGTCCCCCACTGTATCCACAATCTGTGAGAGTCAGTCAGAATTCTGGCGATAAACCCAGATAATTGTGGATTCAACTACACGAAAAGAATGCTAAAATACCCAGGAATCTATTGAAGTAGGTATATAAGTGTAAGAGGCGTAGAAGATTCTCCCATGTTGTAATCGTACAGGCAAAAGATTGACACGTTCTGAGGACTAAATAGTCCTGGCACGGGATAAAGTCTATCGAATCAACGCTAGTTTTTCTTACGATATGCACTCAAATTGAAGATAATTGACTAAATTGAGGAGATTAGAATTTCTGTGGTGAGTGAGAGTTCCATGAAAATTTTGCCAGTAAAAAGTTCAAAAATTATTTGATGCTTCTCCTTACAGAATCAGATATACCAACATTAAATTTTGATACTAATACAAACCTGGTACTTCATACACAAATAATTAGCTAATATACTCACGCGTTGATCCACACAATGCGTGTTATTCGGGAAAAAGCTGCACGTTACAAAACTTTTACTTTCACCCGGAAGTACAGAAAAGTACCCACAATGCATCAGATTACAGATCGTCCATCTTGAAATGTCAAATCAATGAAAATGGAATTGCAAACATTATCGGCATACTATGCAGTAAAGTAACATTTAAAACATCAAACAATAACCTCACATTTTGAACCAATATATATTCTACTGCTGATTCAAAAATCGAGTCAAAATGTCGGACAGGAAGGCAGAACTCGAGCGAAAGAAAGCCAAGCTGGCTGCAATGAGAGAGGAGAAAAAGAAAAAAGAACAGGGTTTGAATAAAGCTAAAACCAAAGAGGTATGACAGCGTATCCATTGGAATTGTATTTACTTCATTTCATCCCATTAAATTTGCAGCTTAAACATGTGTTGCAGCTTAAACATTAGGCCTAGACCTCTCTTGAATCTTATACACATTTTGTTGAATGCAATGAGGAAGTGGAACCCTCTCGCCGTTGACTGAATAGATGCTGGCATGATCGTAACCAAACCTGTCTGGCACAGTTTTCTACTCCTGACGTCAGGAGTATTATAACTGGGCCAAACTGCTTTGGTTAGCATGATCACATAGTAGTATCTGTACCTCAATGGTTATACCTCAATATGAGACACCAAGTTTTTTTCTATTTTGAATTTCACGATCAGGCAGCCATTACATAAGTATCTTCGACAAATCATACCTCATTCGAAGCGTCTTGTTATTCTGTATCTCCGTAATCACAAACAAAGGCTATTCAAACATTCCTACGTTATAAGAGTAAAAAATGAGGTAATTTTGTCCTCTGGTACTGACTAAGCCAAATCTGAAGATGTTTACATTGTTTCGATCATTTCATAGAATTGTGAAATCAGAGTTACAATGAGATTTGTGCAATATTTGCCTCAGTTGAACTTCAAATACAGCATTCATACCCAAATTTATAGAACCAAACAAATTGCAATAGAAAGATGAAGTAATAGGCTATACAGGGCTTGTGAGATTATTGCAGAAAAGGAAGGCATTGATTCGTTTGAGGGAGGTTTTGATTTGAAGGGTGGTCATTTTTCTACTGATTTTTCAATTCGATTTTTCATCTTGAGGTTTATTTATTGAGCCTAGCCTCCTTGTACTCGTACTATGAATATGATCTGCCTGGCATCTGTGGTTGACTGTGTCATACAGTAAGTCACCCCTCCATGGAGAATATTAATATGTGGATGTGATTAAAGAGGAGGGTGATTTACTCCCCGTGATCTTTGCATGCAATATGTATATAAAGTTGACAGCAACAATGTATCACTACTGTACAATAGAACTTGTATATCTGAACACCTGGCTAATCCGAACACCTCCCAATCTGAACGCTTTAAGCTGGTCCCAATGGCATTCAGATTATACAGTTTTTACTATATATATATACCTGTAATGCACATGAAACATGGTATCTTGAATCACAAGTAAATCCCACTTCAAAGTTTATTATAAATACCTCACCACTTTCCAGTAATGGCCTAACATTTTAAAAGCAATATAAAAGCTATATTTTCTTATGAAGTACTGTATATATTTGATGCAATTTTCTGGTGGAGAAAAATTGGAAATTAAGGCTGGCATTTGTATTTTGAAACTTACAATTAAATAGATGGAGAAAAGACAACATGATCGAACATTTGTAAATAGACAAAAATTTCAAATTGAAATTATAAGTGAAATTGAGTATTTCATTTTAAGAGTAGGGGACGTGGGGTGTACAATTTAAACCAGAAGTGTATTCTTTTGACTATGCAAGGAATATACAATATAATTACAAGGGATGAACAAATACGTTATAAGATTAATTGAGAAAATTTGAAGTATGACCCAAGAAAACTGCAGAGCAATGCTTATGATGTGTCATTTTATCCTCAAGTACTATTTATTAATTCATATGTATTTATAGAGTTGCAGTCTCCATATTATTATTGCAATCTCCACACTGTGTAAACCATATACTGTCCATATTGAGAAAAATCAATACTGTGATTCAGCATCAGCATGAGGAATGTTAATTAGTAAATGTTGTATGCAGTAATTATTCTGCAGAAATATACTTCCATAATTTCTGCTGTTAAAATCCCAAATTGTTTCATGGATAAAAAAATTAAAATTGTAACAAAGCTTTTTTTGTATGGATATTAAAATCAATGTTCCCAGTATCAATTTTCTACTTAATGTATGTGGCATATTAACTCTCAGACACATTCCCAGACACTTAAAATGCCTGCAATGTACCAATCTATAAATGACTATGCTACATTCAAGATTTGTATGCTCGTTTATCTTACAGTCTGAAGTTGTATCTCAAGAACCAGTGAAGAAAACTACAGATTCTGACATCGCCAGTATCTTAGAGGGGGTCGGAATTTCTGCAGGTAAAGAATAACAATTTAACAATATCTGAGAAAAAATTATGAGTAATGATCGAATAAGTCTTTTCACTGTGTGAAGCTATTGCAGGTTATCTATCATGCTAGATTTTGTAAAATTAAATAAACCAAAATGAAACTGTTAATTTTATCCAACCTATATTTGCTTGTATACAAAAAATCAAAAGCAAGGAAATGTATACAACTATAGCTGAACAGAGGCAGTTATTGGAGTGATATTGATCCAGATTTTCTCTGTGTTATTGTTATTAACATGCAGATGTGGCAGTCGATGACTCACTTTATAGGCAGTGATGTTTTTCATACGTGTGAGGAGCTCACATTGACATTTCCTGTAATTCGTTTTGACATATACTTGAGGTCAACTTGCCATGGACCAGACTTGACTTACTTCATTACTAACAATGTATAACGCATCTAATTTAAAAAGGTCATATTCTTATTTTCAGAGGTCATATTCAGTGTTTAAATTGGTCATTTTCAATATAGATGTGGAATTGTATCTTATCACACCTCCTGATATTAGAAATATTAAAGTGTATCAAAATCATCCCAACAAGTTCTCTTTAGATTAAGCATCCTATTTTAATAAAACTTAAGATATACATGTAGGTTATCCTGAAAACAGAATGTATTTTAGCCTTTATGGTTCGTTACATGTTTCTTGCAGCTGCCAGCGCAACTCCTGTAGCTCCACAACAAAGTGCCTCAAGTCAGGAAAGCCCACAGAATGGAGCACTTGCCCCTGGTGCAATCACTGTCACTCCTACACCTAGGTGAGAGAAGCATGTGCAATAGTGTTTTATTGTTAATGTGATTTTTAGGGTTTTACATAATTTAGAGAGAATTATTGTATGGGTGGGTGCATCATCTGTTCTTCAAAGGGTTTCATCATTTCAGAAAGATTACGTTTAAAGGCTAACATAAAAAGCATAATAATGATTCAGATAAACATGCATAATACTCTGCTCACTTTAAGGCACTAGGGCCTAGATTTCATGTAATAATTCTGTATAATATTTCAATATACATATCAATAGCCTTAGTGTTTTCAAATCCATCTCACAAACAACTGGCTCTCTTGACTTCACTATTTTCCTGTATTTTTAGTCCTCAAACAGCCCGAAAACAACTGTCTGTTTCCAAGGTGACACAGACCAACATCCCACCCAAGGAGACGGTGGCATACAGCAAAGAAACACAGACTACTCAAGCTACAGTAGATAGGGATGGTAAGTAGCAACACTATGGTGTTCAAGGCAGTGTAAACCATGGTTGAATCTAAGAGCAAACCATGTGGACATTTAGTGCAAATCATTGTAGAATCTTAGTGCAAACCATGGTGGAATCCTAGTGTAGACCCTTGAGTAATCTTAGTGAACCATGGTGGAATCTTAGTGCAAACCATGGTGGAATCTTAGTGCAGACCATGGTGGAATCTTAGTGCAACCCATGGTGGAATCTTAGTGCAGACCATGGTGAAATCATACTGAGCACATCATTTAAATGGTGGTGTTAATACATGGTATAAGTTGCACCTGTGTTGTAACTCTGCCACTAACAGCTTAAGCCTTTCTTTCAACAACTTCAAGATATCCATATTGGTTTGGAAGGTTTGTCTTAATACGATGACGTCCAAAAAGAAACATATGTTTATACAACTGATTATTAAGTTGGAATTCGGATATTTTTGGCAAGTAATAGACATTTCTTAGTCTTAATAGTTCAACTTAAAAAATCTATCAGTTAAGAAAATTCAATTAAGAGATTCAACCAAAGACAATATTCAAACTAATTGTGGGGTCTGTAGATTCATTAAAAGTCCATTCAATTTTGATCATTGTGTCTTATATTCTTGTACATATAGGTATGTAATTTTTTGTAATGAGGATTGGATGTTGGGGAATATGCATATCTTGGAGCGAATCTATGGTTTCTTTTGTCATTCTGCATGTGGATCTATTCATTTTAAGACATGCTTAGTTTGCAACTAATTTCTTAAGCTTAGACTTCAGTCTTGGAGAAATATTCAATAATGATATACAAGGGTCGATCAAAAAGTTTCTTACCGTTGGCTTTACATTTTTTACGAGGAGGAGTTGCTCTGCATTCTGTTTTGCTGACTTTGTAATATTTTTGATAGGTCCCACTGAAGGATCATATTTTGAAAACAACTCAAGATCTGTCACGTCACTTTAAAACCCATGGTTATACATTTGGCCTTTTTTGCATTTACATTTTAATTATGTTGAAGCAGTTTCAATCAGTGCACCACATTGTACATTGCATTTGAAAACAACCTTCTTGTCTATGCACATTAGGAACAAAATTAGATTTTGAGTATAACTGCGCACTTAATTAACTATTACATCTGTTTGCTATTCAAGTTCTACTCATAGCCTAAAAAGCATGTTGCATAACAGTTCAATTTTCATTTTGCAAGCACGTGGACCTTGGGATTATTACGGTAAGTGAAGCTCCTCATTTGCACATTCTACATTATGTTCCATCCATACTGTATTGAATTGAATGCTTTGAAAGTTTTGTGAACTCTATGTCACTCATCTTTTTTCTCATTGAATGCCAAAGACTTCCAATTTTCACCAGCAGACAGGTCATTTCATTTTATGTTAAACCAAATTTATTTTGCTTCTTAGCTGCAAAATCTTATCATTTGTCCCATGCTAAGAAAATATTCAGTCTCGGACAAAATATTTGAAAATTACTCACTTGGGTGAATATGTTTTAAAATGACAACTATTTTTCATACCAGATAAATTAAAGGCAGAGCAATAGAAACTTCCCCATTTTTCTCAAATAGCCATTTTTTAAACCATTTTATTGATGAACATGTAATAGTACAATAGCTGAGGTTGACGTAAACCAATAGTTATAATTTATTTAATTGTAGATATATTTGCAAAGGACCACATTGACTGGTCCCTACCCTCCTCAGCCATTGGTAGGTCAAATATGATCCTTCACTCACTGTAGATCCAAACAAGAAGGCCAATTATTGAAAATGTTGTGAATAACAATACTTGAAATTCACTTGTCTCATTTAGTATCACTACAACGATATTGTGGGAGACAGTTGAATTTCTGGGGACCATTGCTAAAAATATTAATATGATTTTAATCAAGGGTTATTTTGAGTAATGGTCCATTGTTGAATTTGAAATGTGTGGTTATAGAAAGTCCTAATGATACTTAAGTATCACATCTTTCTCATGTTTAGCATTTTTTGTTTCTGTCACTTTGTAGTTTTTAAATTTATCTCAGTTGTCCTAGTTACTCCAGTACAGTTACATCTTGGACATTTTAAAAAGTCAAATTTCAGTATTTCAACTGGTGAGCATCATACACACTTACAGTTTTCTTAATTTATTTCTGCATACTTACTTTTTTATTTATTTATTTCTGAGATTTTTTCCCTCTGATGATTCTTAAAAACTTGCAATTAAGTAAAATGATGTAGCACTGTTAGAGTTTTAGCTGTTTTGGGGTTTTAAATTCATGTGTTCTCAAAGGGATGTACTTCATGTGAGTGGCAAAACAAGCCTAAATCAAAGATTACCTTCCTCGAAATGTATAACCTTATGCTAACTGACTTATTCAGTCTAATGCAAAGTGCCAAATTTACTCAAATTGATGTAGTTCAGTAAACTGTCCAGTCATGCTTTTTTGGACTGTATTGATTTATTTTAATTTTTATCATATCATTTTTATCATAATTGTTGACTAAATAAATAAATACATTGTTGGTCGCTTTGATTAAACCCATGTGGTGTACTGGTGTTTGACTTTCCTATTTCATCTGAGGCAAATCTGCACTATGTGTTGTTTTCGTTGTATTGCAGTCACTTAATTTGTAGTACTGTATAGTTAGTGTAAAATGAAAATTATTAGTACTACTCAAAAACATAAACACCAAAAATATATTAAAATAATACGCCAATCAGAAATGTGTTCAGTTTGTAACAATTTTTTTTTAAATAAAACATTTATAAAGTATTTGATATCCTCAATATATTGTACCTGTTAATTCTTCAAGATGGAAAATGGTTATTCTTTACAAATTTAATGTTTGGGATCTGAGGTGTTTGTTTGTTCTTGTTACTGCCTACATTAGGGACCCCCCATACATTTGGCTCACCCAGTGTAAGTGTTGGGTCCCCGCGGTTTGTATTTTCTAACGAGTGGGACTGGGAGGATGAGTTTCTGCAAGGTAGGAATTAACGAGGACGTGTATGTGTATATGTGAGAGTTTTCAGTTGATGCAAACTTTTATATTATACACTAGTAGTTATTTGCAGTCTATTGGATTCACAAATGGCTGTGTGTATTAATGGGTTATAAACAGAAAATTCATTAACGATGAAAATTCCTAAAGTCTGTTGTTCTGAGATTATGACTTTATCTTTGGTAACAACAATTAATTGAGGAATTCCAAGTTTTTTGTTAATAATGCCCAGAATGTCAGTTTACATTTTCTGAAAACTCTGCTTTATCTTATCCATGATCAGATTGGTGAATTCTCTAATACAAAAACAGACATCGTTGACTTGATTTTTGTATCCTCCTATCCTGAGAGAATTTATTGAGTCAGACTAGATGAGATAAACTACTGTAATATGTTTAGTTGTATATTCGCATGGTACATCGTGTCGCTAGTTTAATGTTGTCTTCTCGCTTGCTGGCTTGCCTACCTACTTTTCATTTCTCGTTTTGACACTTGTTTTTTTTTTTATGTTTCATCATCAGCCATTCATATTTTTTTTGGAGAATATAGTTCAGTTAATAAGGTCATTAACTAGGTTCACCCATCCACAACTTAAAATGACTTGAATTCTGCATTTTTAATACTGGTATCTCGTTTATCAGCTATAGGAAAGAATCTTTGGCATTCAATGACAAACAAACAGTAAAATATGGTTTAAATGTAAAATAGAAATATATATAAAATATGGATATTATATAAAATGTATATTTTTTATACTGTATGAAAGCATGTACAGTGTACACAGCTCCAGGTATTATTTATGATTAGTAAATGCATGTGTTTTACACAATGTAGTGGATTCATTTAATTATCTGTTGTATATTTTATGCTATTAAAGTGTATTTCATTGCAGTTCCATTATCCAATGCAAAATATTGATTTCGAATTTACTTTTTGCTGAAGTGGAGGCCATTTCTTGAAAAATATTGCAATCTCAATTTCTGGTCTTCTGGCAATTTGTAAAAGACAATAGGCTAAAAGATCAAATTATTTTATCAAATGGACAATAGGTGGCGCATTCCCCCTATTATCGCCCAAGTTAAGAATTTCTCTTGGTAAATAAGATGTGGATATTATTTTCAACTATGTCCCCCATAGTTACGTTTGTCCGTTTGTGTTTATGCTTTAATGCGCTATATTAGGTTTTACAATATTGTTTCTTTTTTCCTCAGTTATCTCTTTGATTTTAATTGTTCAGTCGCTCCATATTTTCTGAGTATTATTTGTCAGTGTTTATGGCTAGCTTTGGCATCACAGTTGAATTGAGTTGTAATTATAATATCATGCATAACATTTGAATAACTAAAAAATCAAGCCAAATATGTATTACATAGCAACGTGCTGTATTGATAGATATATATTATGTAATATAATAGAGAACAACATTAGTAAACAATTATGTAGATTATTCTCTTCAGTGCAATAATACAGGATTGCTACATTCAGGGAAAAGTTAGGGAATTTCAGAATTTTGTTAAAAATTTATAATATAGTTGGGGAATTTTAAAATTAGGGAAATCTAAGAGTGAAGTTCAGTCTCTTTTTCTTAAACTTTTGGTCAATTTGGTCAAGAAATTTCACGTTTGAATCACGATCAGCATTTGCAAATGTTGTAGCAACCCTGTATAAACGTTTAGCTAGAATAACTTTAAAACTTATTGAAACATTTCCCTCTGTTGTATTGCCCCAGACGATGGATGCCACTGGAATTATTCAACATCTTCGGGAAATCGAAACAGTAGTAGCACAATGCACACCGGTATCACTTTTTGTTTCTCTATACGGTCACACAGAAAAATAATTCCCTTGCAAGATTATAAATCTATGAAGTTATTTAAATTAATAAACTTACTGTATTTTATACATTTGCAAAATTACTGTAAGTTCATTACTTTAACACAGTTAATATCATGTGATTGATTGCAGGGTTTGTTTTTCTGGTGCCTTGTTTTCAACTTTTCCCGTTGTTCCTATCTTCAAAATAGATTTTAGTGAATGAATGTCCGGCTTGCGGATCAATGTGCTTGGACGCTTCTTTTGCCATTAGTCATTATTTTACAGATTTGCTACTTTTTAAAGGGGCTAACTGTTAGAAATGATTTCTAATGTAAAGTGTAGTACAACATTATAAAAGTAAAATTCAGTATTTTCTGGAATGGGAAATGCATTGTCTTATTTTTCCATTGAGTGGACTTGAACTTGAGACTTTTCTGTCCATCATCTTTTTATTTACAATGATTTGGGTAGCTAGATGTTATGCAATATTAAGGTCACTTTTGAAACAAATATTATTCACAAATACATTTGGGTTAATTTTATGTTTCATATAATTGTGCTATCATAATGTTGATTTATGCATGGCATCACAAACAGGATCCTTTAAGGAAATCGTATGGCAGTGATGTTCTCTCAGCTAAACAGTTGTCTTATCTTATATGTCGTCAAAATGGTATTAAGTTTATGATTTGTATTTTTATTACTTCATGATAACACTTCATCTTGTTTTGATCTAAATGAGCTTATTTGTGCATATGTTGTATCATCAATATCTTGTGATTTGATTAAAATCATCAAAATCCATTTCAAAGATTGTTATATTGTTATCCTTTGAACTAAGTATGCATGGTTATATAGAGAAGCCACTAATAACTCATATACATGTACTGGTTATTATTGAACTTCATTAACTATAACTATAACTTGAATATTACTTGCCCAGTTTGGGTTAAATGTCACGTCATTGCTATTTTGACAAGAGAGACAACTATTTTTGCCTCCTTCTATCATGAAATGTTCAAAATTACAAGTGATTGATAGAATATGTTTTGTTCGGAATGATATGCAGCTTTCGAAAAATGCTGTTTGTTTCATAATTATTTGGTTACCTTCAGGTGCCAACAGACAATAAGATTCATAGAGCAATCTTCATAAATTGGCCATCTATACTTTCATGCTTAGTTGTCAATTAAAGCATTCTCTAGTGTGATTTTTCTAAAATCAATTTAGCTTCCACAAGTTTTGATTTTTATTGTCGTTTACAATGAACTACAAGGGCTGCATGCTGTATAATGTATTGGCCTATTTAATATGTGGAATGTCCTTAATAGACTATAAGTTATCAGGAACTGGAATGAAATATACTATAGTAACAACACTGTAGTAATATGAATGTGGTAATGAACTGCCTGTTTATAAGGAGCATGATGTCATGGTATGTATGTCAAGTGAAATCTGTATTTTTGACTCATTTATTCTTATCCTTAAATACAATGTATGCCACGATGTATTGCTAGCATGTGCATGCTCCACTCTTTCTTAGAACGGTAAGAAATAAACTTCTGGAAAACTAACATTTCCAATTATATAGGACGATGTTACCTAGATCTCTGTTAAAAGTAGAACTATTATTCCACTGTGTGCAGTGATCTCATCCCAGCATTGGAGAAGGGGGGTTGTATTCTTGATCAGATTCGAATATGTTTTCCGCCGAATAAATAAAAGTGAAATCTTTAAATGTTTCTTATCCAGAATAAGTAAAATAAAAGTTTCTATTGAGATAAAAGAATTTCCATGGAGATCTCTTAGGTGTAGATCATAGATATAAACTCAGTCCAATGCATACCTTAAGTTTAGCCAATTGTTTGGTATAAAATTGGTCATATTTTCTGGCTCTGTGCATTTGACTGCCATACTATTTCATGTACATATGTATGTAATCAACTTTTCAATGTACACAATCAACTATTCTATGTAGTCATCTATTCTATGTATATGTAGTCAGTTATTTAATGTATGGGTGATGGCTTGAGCAGCAGTAGGGAAATATTAACATATAGTTCTTGTTTATGATGATGACCATGCAGAAGATGACATGGAGTCTCTGGATGTTGATACGACACCTACCAGTACAAAGCCAGGCAAGATGCCCCAAGTCAGCCCAGTGAAACCTGCAGATATGGCACATAATGAGGCTGTTGTGAAGGAGGAAAAAATTGAAGGTAAGAACAAACAACTCTCATATGTGTTTCATGAAACAATTACTTGTACAGAACTACTCCTTTTAACACACAGATGTCATATTTTGATTAATTTCTATGCATTTATTTTCTTGAATTCATGCTGGGTGAATTATATGGCAGTCATTTTGCTCTTAAAAGTGTGATACTCTTCACTGTGAGTCTTGTTTCTTATTTATAGTTCGTGAAATCAGTGAAGAGGAGAAGCAACAAATAATGTTCACTGATGACTTCCAAAAGTTTATGATGAGATCATCAGCCATAATGGAAAGAGCACTAGCCGAGGAGGACACGGATATATTCACTGATTACAGTGGCCTCAATGCAGATGACAGTGAAGGGTCAGTTGAAATGATCACATTGCTTGTTAGGTCAACGCAAATTGAATTTCCTAAAAGCTGAGTTATCTTTACGAAAACAAGGCCAACCATTTCAATAACTCACCAAACTAAAAATATCAGAATCTTAAAGAAGAATGTTAACTTGTATCATAGAGGTTTTTGAATGGTCAGCTAGCTATGAAATTGGTTTGCCTTTAAGTCAATAATCCTGTAATCCTATATTTCAGAGATATCAGTGCTAGTGATAAACTTAAGCTAAACAGAACTTTCTTTGATGAAAGATGGTCAAAACATAGGACAGTTACATGTATGGATTGGTCAGTACAGGTGAGGATGAACACAATTCTCAAATTAATATGAGTTTGAATTCTCATTCTTGAAGATGCTATAAGAGTTATTTTTTATTGCTTATTCTTTAAGTGTTCATATTTTGATGATTTAATATACAGAGTTGTTCACAATTTCTTGTAAAAGAAGTATCTGGTTTATTAATTTTGATTTAAGGTAAATATAGTAATTGTATTTATATTTTACATTGTGAGGATGTGAGGTATTTACTTTATACATTGAATTTTCATTTCAAGTTTGATAGAATTGTACATGTGTTTATATTATGGAGATGTTTATTTAGGTGTTCATTTACACATTTACATGTATTTAGTACATCCCATTATGTATTTTTCCAGCACCCTGAGCTCCTGGTGGCTTCATACAACAACAATGAAGAATCACCACATGAGCCTGATGGAGTGGCCCTCGTATGGAACTTAAAGTTTAAGAAAACTACCCCGGAATATGTCTTCCATTGTCAGGTATGGTTCCACATATGGTGGGTGGAGGGCCATCGTTATGACTACAGATTTTTTTTTAGAAAAACTAGCCAATCAGAGTTCAGTATTCCTATCAGAATGATATACAATATGAGAAAAATTTTAAAACGCAATGGAAATATTTATATTTGCAGGGTAAGACACTTCTTTTATGTTGCATCTATTTTCTATAGTCTATACCCTACCAATGTTTTACTCTGCCAGTGTATTACCATACCAATGTATGTATCAGTGATCTCTCCAGCATTAAAGGAATATTCCTTGCCAAACCATCTCTCTCCTCATATGGTAGCTATAACCATATATATGCTTGCCATGTTTAGCAAAACACGCAAAAATGTTTTGATATGGTCAAATTTGATCACTTAGAAATGTGATGCTCAATTCCAGTAAGCTGCCATCTTTTAAAATTTCACACAGGAAGTGATGTCATCGACTCTCAACTTTGCATATAGCATTAGGTGAGGAGCTATTAAGAATTACAAAACCAGCTAAATATTCTTTTTCAACTTTGTATCTTATTTAATCCTTCTGAAAATCTCTTCTTTTATTCTAAGTTGACAAGCCCTGAAAATATTTTTGCACAGAAAGTAATGATCACTTGTCTAAAAGTGATTTTGTGCTACTTTCCTATACTGTTATGGGCAAGGTTATAGAAGTTGAGAGTTGATGACATCACTTCCTGCAAGAAATCTTAAAAGATGGCAGCTTACTGGAAATAAGCACTAGATTTTTAAATGATCAATATTGACCATATTATAACATTTTCCCATGTTTTGCTAAATATGGAAACTATATATGATTATAGCTACCATATCAAGAGAGAAAAGGTCTGGCAAGGAATATTCCTTTAAAGCAAGTGGTCGCAGCACCCAGATTTTAAAAATAGGCTCCACCCACCTGAAAATCCATTTGCACCTACTTGAAAATGAGAAAAATTATGAAAAATAATGTTTTGACCAATTTTGGTCTGAATTGTGAAATTGAGAATTGCACCCACTTGAGTAAAACTTCTATGGAGAATGAAGATCACTGTATATGCTCTATTTGTTCTGACATACCAATTGATTTCTGTACCAATATATTACTGCACCAATGTATTTCCATACCAATGTACATATGCTTGCAGTCTGCAGTAATGTCAACATGTTTTGCCAAGTTCCACCCTAACTTGGTGGTAGGGGGGACATATTCTGGTCAAATAGTCCTCTGGGACAACAGAAGTAACAAGAGAACCCCAGTTCAGAGGACACCTCTCTCTGCAGCTGCACACACTGTGAGTTTCAGTTACAGAAATCTTACACATGATTGGCAAATCTCAGATTCAGTTGTAATGAAACATATCTGTATCTTTATGGACTAATGATTGCTTCACATTAACCATTTCAGTGTCATTTCAGATATAATTTGCGATTTGACAGTTAACCGTTTTATAGAATCTTGCTGATAAAGTGTAATATTCTTACCAAATTGACATTAAGAATCTTTTATTATGCCATTAAGATTCCATTTTTCATTTAATAGTATACTTTTTGAATGAAATCACTTACAAGGAAAATGAAGCTTTTATCAGATTACATGGATCACATGTTCTACATTCCAGCACCCCGTGTACTGCGTCAATGTGGTTGGTACCCAGAATGCCCATAACCTGATCACTGTGTCAACAGATGGCAAGATGTGTTCATGGAGTCTGGATATGTTGTCCCAGCCACAAGATAGCATGGAACTTCAACATAAACAATCAAAGGCTGTTGCTGTCACCAGCTTCTCATTCCTCTCTGGTGATGTGAACAACTTTGTGGTCGGGAGTGAGGAAGGTGCAGTGTATACAGCAGTTAGGCATGGAAGGTATGTTAAAAGACCTATCTAATAAATCATGCCACTTATTGTTTCTGATGCTATTCTTACAGTTTCAGGGCAGAAAAGGGATTATGTTATCACCAAATTTGTTTGTACACATTGCTGCCTGCAAAATGTGACATTATAAATCTATTCCTATATTGTTATATCTGATTACATTTCAGCAAAGCTGGTATATCTGAGATGTTTGAGGGTCATCAGGGTCCAGTTACTGGCATTGATTGCAATGTTGTCCCAGGTGTGGTGGACTTCTCCCAATATTTCATCACATCGTCCATTGATTGGACTGTTAAACTATGGAATATCAAAGTAAGTGTTTTCTAGAAATGGGTAGTATATAGAGACTATGATTTAGGAGTGATATGATTTTTATCCACAATGTATATTGATATCTGCACGAGCAAGCATATGAGAGAATAAAGACCAAAAAGTATGAGTATGAGATAGGAATTTGAAAAGGGAGTGTTAAAAAGTACAACTGCTCATATCCTGTATACAAGGAAATAAATATTTTGAAGGTACAGGTTAAGATTGAATCTGCCCATAGAAAAATGTCTGACAATGTGTGGAATCAACCCAAAAAATTAATTGATCAATAAATGTGTAATTCTCAAATGCTAAGGGTGTTATTGAAGATTTATGATGCTGAAGTACAATTAAATGCAATTATCTCTAAAGATGTATATTCTATTATTTAGGAAAATAAGCCATTGTATTCATTTGAGGACAACAGTGACTATGTGTATGACACATGCTGGTCACCCATCCATCCTGCATTGTTTGCAAGTGTTGATGGGGTAGGCCGACTGGACTTGTGGAACTTAAATCATGATACTGAGGTAAGTACAGATGTAGAGGTGCATCAAAATGTAGACTGGGTTGGCTGAGGCAAAGATTGGGTTGGCTGAGGCAAAGACTGGGTTGGGTGAGGCAAAGATTGGGTTGGGTGAGCCAAGGACTGGGTTGGGTGATGCAAGGATTGGGTTGGGTGTGGCAAAGACTGGATTGGGTGAGGCAAAGATTGGGTTGGGTGAGGCAAAGATTGGGTTGAGTGTGGCAAGGACTGGGTTGGGTGAGGCAAGGACTGGGTTGGGTGAGGCAAGGACTTGGTTGGGTGAGGCAAGGACTGGGTTGGGTGAGGCAAAGATTGGGTTGGGTGAGGCAAGGATTGGGTTGGGTGAGGCAAGGACTGGGTTGAGTGTGGCAAGGATTGGGTTGGGTGAGGCAAAGACTGGGTTGGGTGAGGCAAGGACTGGGTTGGCTGAAGCATGGACTGGGTGAGCCAAGGACTGGGTTGGCTGAGGCAAAGATTGGGTTGGGTGTGGCAAGGACTGGGTTGAGTGTGGCAAGGATTGGGTTGGGTGAGGCAAAGATTGGGTTGAGTGAGGCAAGGATTGGGTTGGGTGAGGCAAGGATTGGGTTGGGTGAGGCAAGGACTGGGTTGAGTGTGGCAAGGATTAGGTTGGGTGAGGCAAAGACTGGGTTGGGTGAGGCAAAGACTGGGTTGAGTGAGGCAAGGATTGGGTTGGGTGAGGCAAAGACTTGGTTGGGTGAGGAAAGGACTGGGTTGAGTGTGGCAAGGATTGGGTTGGGTGAGGCAAAGACTGGGTTGGCTGAGGCAAGGACTGGGTTGGGTGAGGCAAAGCTTGGGTTGAGTGAGGCAAAGACTTGGTTGGGTGAGGCAAGGACTGGGTTGGGTGAGGCAAGGACTGGGTTGGGTGAGGCAAGGACTGGGTTGAGTGTGGCAAGGATTGGGTTGGGTGAGGCAAAGACTGAGTTGGCTTAGGCAAGGACTGGGTTGGGTGAGGCAAATACTGGGTTAGGTGAGGCAAGGACTGGGTTGGCTGAGGCAAAGATTGGGTTGGGTAAGGCAAAGACTGGGTTGAGTGTGGCAAGGATTGGGTTGGGTGAGGCAAGGACTGGGTTGGCTGAGGCAAAGATTGGGTTGGGTGAAGCAAGGACTGGGTTGGGTGAGGCAAGGATTGGGTTGGGTGAGGCAAGGATTGGGTTGGGTGAGGCAAGGATTGGGTTGGGTGAGGCAAGGACTGGGTTGGGTGAGGCAAGGATTGGGTTGGGTGAGACAAGGACTGGGTTGGGTGAGGCAAGGACTTGGTTGGGTGAGGCAAAGACTGGGTTGGGTGAGGCAAGGACTGGGTTGGGTGAGGCAAGGACTTGGTTGGGTGAGCTAAAGACTGGGTTGGGTGAGGCAAGGATTGGGTTGGGTGAGGCAAGGATTTGGTTGAGTGAGGCAAATATCCTTTGGATTGCAGGTCTGGTTAGGTGGATTAATGAGAGTTTGGAATTTGAATACTTACATAATACATGTATGCATCTTTTGCCTCATTTCACAATGAAGTAATTACATCCACACAGTCAGCTTTCAATTGTTTCATTCTTGGTAGAGTTCATATCTGTCATTTGGAAACAAATGCTTTAGTGTATTAAAATATTGAATCCAATATCAATCCTATGTGGGCTTTCAATACATTATTTAATGTCATTATTCAGGTGCCAACAGCTACTACATACATAGAGAACAATGTAGCATTAAACAGATGTAGGTGGCACCAGAGTGGGCATCAGATAGCAGCTGGGGATGACATAGGCAAGATACATGTCTACGATGTAGGCGAGGTAAGATGGAATGTCTATTTGCATGTTAAATGAATTTGTTGCCACTGTTAGAATCATTTAATATTTCCAATGAGTTTCTGTTATATTGTCTTTCATATTATTTCAACATTTTTTTCAATCTCATATCAGAGTGTTTTTGAATATTTTATCTGTTGTCAGTGAGCCAGCTCTTGGAAATGACAATAGAGTTATGATATGTATAGATATTTCAGGAAGTCCTATCCCAAACCAATTGTTCACTTCATGTGCTTTCTCTTTCCAGCATATAGCCCAGCCAAAGAATGATGAATGGAAGAGATTTGTACATACACTTCAAGAAATCCGTAATAATAAAGCGGATGCTGAAGAGGAACAGAACATATACTCTGGTTTGTCGGCTCCAATCCGATGAAATCTAGGACCTTAGTTTATACTCGATGCTTTAGGAACATGTAGGAATAAAGACAGAAACATGGTGGATAATTGTATCAACAACTTTTAGTATGGCTTGAATATATGATTATGCCCTAGGGATACTGATTGTCTGTTGTGTAAATGATCAATAGATGAACGAGTCCACCTATTTATTCAATGATTAATGTCTTAAAGGGATTTGGGGGATTCTCTCTTTTTAGAATCAACATTTTTGTAGCTTTTATGTCTATCATGGTAACATATCTGGAAAGTAAAATGGGATGGATATGGGGAATATCTTATTTATCCTATGTTCAACTTGTTTTTAACCTAAACCTTATCACATTAATCATTGGATAAACCAAGAAGTCACGATATCCACACATTAATTTAGTTGAATGAATAGACTATTGGTATTTTTGTGTTCATTTAGTTTATATGCCTAAAGACTTTGCAGAAACATAACACCTAGTTAAAATAAGGGTATGATCCATGGTCCCATTCCATTGTGATGTATTTCATATTGTCATGGAGATGTTCTTGCTTAATACTTATGTATCATGTACAACATATAGAAACTCTACTCATGTGTGAAATGCAAAAACAGTGAAACAAATCTTTCTGATTAATTTATTTTCTTGAACACTACACAGCATGTTAAATTCATGCATGTAATTTTCAAGAAATGTGATTTTCTTATAAAACAGGGTTAATGATAAATGAAATGTTTTAAACTGAATATTGTTCTTTGAAATCTATGGTAAAACCATTGTATTTCATAAATTAGAATAATTGATGGATTGAGGGTGTAATCTGTTCCCAAGAGTGAGATATCTTATACTTAATATTTTATGCAAGCCATGTGAAGTTCTTTGCTTTTCAGCATGTTTGACCATTTATTAATGTTCATTGCATCCATTGCAACCTTTAAGTCAGATATACCAGGGATCTAGGATCTAGGTTTTGCCAAATACAGATATTTTGGAGGCTGTAATACGTACTTGACTGACCATAGTGAAGAAACAATTGCCAAAATATGCGAGGTTGGCCATATGATGGTTTTCGTGAAGGTCACTTTTGACGCTTCTAATTTCGATCTTCAGATATCTACTCGATGAGAAACAAAGCTTTCAATGTAGCATTATACAATGTCTAGGTGATAAAACCAACACCAAACTGAATAAGACTTCAAAATAGAGTAAAGACATACTACATGGTTGTGAATTGGTGAACCATGGTATTCCTTGGTGCTTCAGTGAGAAAGCAGTTACAGAGATTATTACCTCAACAATGTACCCTTTACTCAGAGTATTTTCTGCAATACTCTTAAAAAGGCAAAGGTTCCATATCTTTCATATGAGATAGGGAGACATCTTTCTTGTCATCTTTAATGATAATAAACTAGCAATGAAATGCTGAATAGTTAATTATTAGTTTGGTTGTCAACTCAAAGTGACATTTCATTATTTACCTAGCTATATTGTAAGTCATTTTTTAAGAGTGATATGATAAAGTTAATTGAAGAAGAAGCACAGGTTTGATACAAAGCATACATAGCATCAGTAGTTACAAACGTCAGGATGTGGGTTTTTACTAATACACCAATGTGTCATAAATGCTCTACTAATACAGTCATACAGTACAGCGTATGTGTAATATTATATAGTCTGAATACGCAATCATATTATATATGTGCTTTGTAATGTTATGTTTACACTGTATACAAACAATATAATTGTAAATAAAATCAATGCTTTATTTAAAATAAAATGTACATGAGTTGTGTTATAACCCAATAGCCAATCAATCATTTAATCATTACCTTACTCTGAGGCTGAATTCTATACAAATGCATTTGCTATTATTTGCGTCATCTCTCCTTTTTACACATTTCATGTCACAACTTTGCCAATGGTATGGAGAGTAAAAGACAGTGATATATTCAGATATTTGACCATGAGTATTTTCTCACCCTGGTGAATATGACATTTCTCAACTGATTCACACTACCCTACCACGTGACCACGTTTAAAAGGGAAACAGGGTACAGCTAAGTTGCAAATGGAGGACGTGGGTTTAATTCCATATTTCTGAACGTAAAATACATTTTACATTTATTTCTAGTGTTCTACCATACATAGAATTGATTCATCAAGCAGTTTGTAGAATATTGTTGGCAAAAAACTACTATAGGCAAAGATAGATAATAGTGGGCGCAGTGAAGCAAAACTCAATGCAATACACGATACATTTCAGTAAATCTGTCAACGTACAGGGAGCATGTAAGTTTCTCTTCGAAAATGTTACATTGATATGTAACAAAACCCCAGTAAACTGTCATTTAAACTGCGTGTCATCGTGTTATATGTGGATACGTTTTCCAGTATGTTATTCAACTGTACTTTTGTGAATTAATTGTTTTTCTAAAATCTTAAGGTGCAAAAAAGTCGTCCCAGAAATGTATCTTTACTTAACATACATAAGATGTTGCGAAACATTTTTCCTCTTGTCACAAGGAGGATAATGTTTGTTTCGAGGTGTCTTGTGATGAGCGTTTCATGATTAAATGCAAAATCACTGGAGCAGATACCATCCAAAAACATCTGACATTCAACACGTCATATTAGACTACATCGATCTGGTATTAGGTTTTTACAATAATAGAGAAATACGACGTCATACCACCTCTACAGCAAATCGTGGCATGATGGTATTTTGAACAAACTATTTTAAATGATCGGTTTTTGAGGACGGTAGTGAATTAGACCATCCAAGGGGTTATATAGAAAGATTCTTTACATGTAGTTGACGCAATTTTAATTATTCTGAATAGCAGATAGTCATTAATCCTGATAGCCGATAGTCATTTATCACTTACGTGTTCATATTTAATTTCGTTATTTTATTTCAATTTGATACCCTAGTAACACGTATAATCTATCGTTCTTGTTAATTTAATGACTAAAATGCATATACGACCTGAAAGCCCGTGTCTAAATCTACTAAATAATGTTTACTTTATTTGGATTAAATAACAATTGATGACACCTCAAAGCATCAACAGGCGGCCTTTTTAGTATTATTTTCACTGTTTGCAACGTAAATATACATGAGATCGGGACATAGTATGTCTGTATAATCAGCTTACTTTCTCGCTCCCTGTACTATTGAACAATTTACACTCCTTGTACCCTGTATTGATCAACTTTTGCAGCTGTGTACCGTGTACTATGACATATCAAATATTTTAAAATTTAAAACGATATTATTTACATTCTTTCTTCAACTATCATATAACTTGGAACATGGACTTCACTATTGCACCACTGAAGTTCAGCGAATCGCAATATTGACTCACTCCGAGCACTAAACGTATTAACCTTTTGACTAAGCAGTCGATATACTCAAAAGCGACCTGATTGAAAGCCAAAAAATTTGCGCATGCGCTATCGAGGTAGGGTAGTGTGTGATTATGACTCAACCTAAAACACATTTTCTTGAGGAACTACACCTTAAACGTATGCAGAAAGTATAACAGTGTTGAGTCTTAATTTGAAAGATATCACATTTTGGTGACCAAAACTAGGCTGAGAACAATGGACAGCATCAATATTTCCTGATCAATTTTATTGGAAAGTAACGTGAAATAAATTATCTTCAACTTTATCGCATTCCACACAGTTCCACTTTTTGAAGGCCCCTTCAATATTTACTGACATAGTGCAAAGGGAACTTCTGTTTAGAAAATGAAGGTCATCTTCAATCATTTAGTATTTCATTCATCACAACAGTGTCTCAGATTCCTTCTCGGAGGAAGTAAGGGTTGGCAACGAACGAAACTGGCTTTTAGAGACTCAGACTTAAATGTGTGGGTCATCTATTAAGACAATAAGTCCGAAGTTTAAAAAATGTGCCAAGATGTATTTCCAAACAAGTGTTTGGAAAGTAGGATTGGTGTCACCACCTGCCATAAGTGCCATTTCTTAGACACCAACATTTTTTACAAACACCACCCAAAAAAAAAGGTGGAGAGACTACAACAATATGTCACTACTTCTGGTGGCGACATAACATTGAATAGACTACTTTGTTTTCCTAAAGCAACCATAATACTGAAAAATATACTTGAGGTACAGTTGACTAGAGGACGCTTTCTCCCCCCCCCACCTCTACTGTATAAAACAGCTGAACAATTGGAACTATGGCCCTCTCTCGAATTATTTCATAAGAATTTCTTTCAGTAAGTGTTAGATGGGGGGGGGGGGGAGATCAGGACTTCATTCGAAAAGTCAAAGAAACTGGAAGTAATTCTATAAGGTAAGATGCTAAATTGCATTGATCTAGTCTATCATGAAAACACCCTTCTGAATTAATGAGTATTTAACACTAGAAATCGGCAATTCCACGGAGTAGCAAATCCCAATGAACGGTATATCAAAATGTAGTATTTACCTTTTTTAGGAATCTCTAAAATAACCTTTAAACAAGGAACGAGTTGAATCCACTAAGAATTCACAGGACCTTATCATTTGATGTTACAAAGGGACCTAGTCAACTCGGAAGCAAAGCCTCCTTGGTATATGGACACAATTTTGATGTGGCAGTCAGTCACCAATACGACATTGTAAGACGCTTGAAATTATTAGCTATTTGGGACTTCATCAATCTTACAAACAATTAATACAATACACAGAATAAAGAGTTATAGTTTCATTTCTTTATTACATATCTTTTAAAAATTTATTACATGATTTTCAACAGATGAGACATACATTATGATTTGACTTAGTAGAATAGTCTTCTCAGAGAAATCTTTCGTTCAATAAAGCTGAAAATGGAATGATATTGGCAGGACAATTAAGTACTCAGAAACAAAAAAACTTGAAGCGTTGAATATGTGAATGGTCCCTGAACAATTATCAATTAGCCTAAGAACAGATGGCCTAAAATCTAAATATAACTTAACTAAAATCATGGATGTAAAAATTTGGTGATCTGATATTTAACCTAATTAACCTCATTATGACTTCACAAAAACACTGTTGTATTAGATACAATATGTACATGATGACACTATATACAACTACAAAGTAAACATAAGATGAGTAGTAGACCGAAGAAAGAACAACGTCCTGGAACAGTTTCTCTGTAGTAAGGCAGCATATAGATGTACATATGCAATCACATGACAGTTCAACTGTTTTATTTGTACATAAAACATATACCATTACATCTAAGTTCTGACAGCACTTGGCTCACTGTACAAAGGTAGTATTTATTGGTGGTGATATCTCATAGTTATTATCTAATATCCTCCTCCATATCCACCACCGCCATAACCACCTCCATTATTGTATCCACCGCCATATCCCTGATCATAACCGCTTCCCCAGTTTGATTGGTCATAGCCACCTCCCCAACTGCCACCGTCATAACCACCTCCATATCCTTGGTCATAGCCACCGCCATAACCGCCACCTCCATAGCCACCTGGAGAAGAAAATGATTACTTTAAGAACATGCTCTCTACATAGTAATTTTTACTTTGTGTTCTAGTGCAAATAGACTTCTTCAGTTGTAATTTGCAAATATTATAACTTATGGCTTGAAGTGTACACTGAGAGAATGATGTTGTTGATTTGATAAAATAATTCATGCTATAAATAGCAATTATGCATAAAATCTTAAATAGTCTTACCACCACCTCGTCCACGTCCACCTCTCATTCCACCTCCACGCATTCCACCTCCTCTCATTCCTCGACCACCGCGTCCTCCTCCGAAGCCTCCGCCTCGACCACCTCCGAAACCACCGCCTCTTCCTCCGCCAAAACCGCCACCGTATCCATCTTCTTTGGGTTTAGTTTGGACCTTCTTCATGTCGCACTAAAAACAAAGAACAAGTTAATTCCTGCATGGATGGGTATTTTAACTGGAAAATTATTCACGCTTTAAATATTGCTCAGGAACAGAGATCTCAAATATCATGCTCAACTCAAAGTTGATCTGCTTCTTCAATGTATAGCTCACTGATTCAAAGCACAAATACATCAACAATAAATATAGTATGTTAATAAGGATTCTCAATTCAACTGGAAATTCACTTCTCAACCTTTCTCTGGATTGTGAGCAAATTGCTTTGGCTAAAAACATGTCACTGAAATTGAAAATTGAAGTTGCAAATTATATTCTATCACAAACATATAAATCTGAATATATAACACTATACAATTTTGTGGATTGTTTTGTAAAACAAAAAGGGAATTGTACAAAACCTAATTGAAGTACCCAACAATATTTCTTTCTTAAAAATGAAATACAGTCTTAAGAGACAAATGTGTTCTAATATACTTCCACTACTACATGTGCAATTTACTTCTTAAATCTGGAAACGAAATACTATTGGGTACTGTTCGGATACAACGTTAGTAAAAATGTTATTTTACACTGAATCAGAAACGTTCAGTGTTCTAAACATAGCAAATTTCAACAACAGATTTTTGGGGAAAAGTATGAACATTTAAAACGATGAAGTGTGATATGATGTTGAAAATTGAAAGTGAGAAAAGTCATCTCTAGCTGTAAAGCTGCATCTTCAAGTCAAACTGATCCTTGGTCTCGATGGAAAACTCAACTCATGTGTCTCTGTGTAAAAAGTAGGAAAATAAGAAATATCAATTTAATTAAGTCGTAAACATTGCACTGTTTCATAAACATTTAAATTCAATAGATATTCCATTCAATTCAATCTCTAGCAACTTTGTCCTTGTTGTTGGGCATTGGGTGGTTGTTACCATTGGGACTTACCAATCGTCATGACAACCAACCTGTTGCTAGGTCAGCCATCTTAGGGTGTAGCACTTTGCTGTTGATGTCCATGGCTGACAAAATCATACAAACCAGTTAGTACATGATAAACATAATAGATGGGGTATTTGCATTCTGTGCTTCCCATTTTTCTTGATCATGTTTTCAATAGCTGGTCAAATGTATGCATGGATTTTTCAACATGGAATCTATTATCAGTAACTTCAACCTGCTTTGGGCTGTTGTAACTGGTTCACAATAATCATAAATGGACCCATATTTATAATTTCAACATTTCATGACATAACATAAACTTACTTCCCCATCATTTACTTTGATAGCTTAATTGGCATTTAATTGCATTGCCACATATAAATTGGGTAATTCTACAATATACAAACATCAAACCTGAATTTTCAAAAATATATTACTTCAACAATGATTAAAATTCTACTATACAGTTGAATGGTCACTGAATAAAATATAAAAGCAATGTACATTTTTTTGTAAAATATTCATCCTTAGATGTTCCAAAGGAACATTTATAAAATGTTATAATATAATAAAAATTTGAGGAAATATATTCCCTTTGCACAGGACAAATAACCCCGGTTATAAACAATACAATATACAAAAATAATATTAAAGCTTAGCACAGGTACAATCTCTAAATTATCATAATTTATTAATATCTAGTTGGACATAAAAGTTTCCAAGAGAAGAGAAAACAAAACTACTCAGAAATATGTTTTTATTCTATCTAATTCAGAATTTACAAAACATTACATAAGTGTATAGAGCTATTTCTTGAAGTGCTCATTCATGTTCATTCTATATTGTAAAGAATTGAACTAATATACTGCAATATCAATTGAAACATGACATCCATCAAGAAAACATATAGGACAAGATTAGGGGAGTTTTTATAATGGCATCAATTCAAGAGATACCTGCACTTTAAATCCATATTCCATGTTCCCAAACCAAAAACTGTTCAATCATAAGACTCAGTAGAAGGCAGCAAAACATCAAGTGCTTCCAAGGCTCAAAATATTTCTCTCATTGAAACTCCTCATCTTTGACTTCAATATTATAGTGATTTGCAAATGGTTTGACTCTAAATTCATCCAACTTGCTCCATATCATGTAGATTATTGTAATATATAGTAATGTGTTCATGTTTATTTTCATCTGCATTATCAAAAACTGCAGATCAGCATTGAATTTATTCACTTCTTTCAATATAGTGTTCTCCAATTCCTTGATGTAACTGAATATTTGATGCAATATAATAATAATGTCAAAAAATGAAAAAACAAATGTTGCATATTTTCAAACTCGAAAAAGCATACACTGGTTGAAAAAACTTGAGACAGAACTTTTGGAGTTGACTTGTATGACATAAGGTACAAAGATAACCTCAATTAACCTACCTCTTTTCCACAGATCACCCTTTTTGGTTCTTTCATGAGGTTTGTTGCACTTTCTTCCATCTCAAAGGTTACAAACCCAAAGTTTTTCCTTTCATTCTTTGTTCTGTCAAATGGGAGGTTCAGTTCCTCAATCTGAAGTAGAATGACAAAGATTAGAAATGCAATGGGAAGCAAATGTGCGCTAAGTATAGATACTCAATGAAGCAATGAAGCATTGAATATGTAATGGAAATAGACAAGGAAATATGCAATGGAGAATCTGATATGTGACAGAAAAACATGTGTTCACATCTTGTTAAATAAATCAAAGGTGAGCTCTGAAATCTATCTGTTTTGAATTCCAATCCGATAGTAAAATTGATCAAATAGCTTGAAAACAAATAGGTAAAATATTGTGTACTTATTACAATGTATACATTAAAACACAATGTAATGTATATGTTGTACACTATTATGAAGTGAAATAAATGAAGTAAAAAACACATACAGTTCTCCATATCGATACCACTCCTTTGCATTGGAGAATACAAGGAAAGATAACTGAATTAATAGGAACATGTCCAACGCTGTATATGTGGTTGATGTATCATTGTACTTTATTGGGCTGTAGCAATGTGCTCAAATTAGTTGTATTGGTGACATTCAAGAAATAAAAGAGCAAGAACTTACAACTCCAAATGTAGATAAGAAAGCTTTAACATCTTCTTCTGCAGCATCTGGAGGGAGTCCTCCCAAAAACACCTTTCTTTTCTGCTCTGGAGCTTTGGCTTTTTCAATATTAATATTTCTTCCTCCCAATGTATGTGGCTTGGCATCAATGGCCTAAAGATTCAGATGAACACAACAATTTTAACAATAAAACAAAATATCACATTCAGTGTGTCGGATAAGCGGTCGCCATTCCCCAAATGCCATCAGAAAATACACCTGGCGAACAGTTTTAATGGAGCACTTGCCATAGTGGCGATCTGGGATCAAATCAGACTTGAAAACCCGAAGATAATGGCATATTTCTGCCAAGGAACTCACCGAGATCGAAAATCCAGAACATCCGGATATTCCTTCTTGATCGATCCCGAAACGTTTTCTATCGTGAATTCTGATTGGCCGTGCTTTCGACTTATTTATTCGAGATTTCTGATTGGTCGAAGAGATCATATATATGCGCATAAAAACTGCGCAGAAGATATCGCCGAAAAAAATATTTTTAAACTCGGACATTTCCTTCTTCAATCATCAAAATATTGGTTTAGTATAATGTGGAAAGCACCAAATGATAGATATTTATCGTGATGATGCACTGAATTACAAAATGTGCCACTTTTTCCGCATTTTAGTGTAAGTAATGATGAAGTACTCTATAATCGCCCACTGATTTCTTTCGGAAAATATTTTTTCTGTGTGTTCGGTAATAATACTTGGTTATTCCTTGATTTTTCTTGAACTTTGTGAAGCGGGGTGAATGGTTATTAGGGGGTCGGCGCTAAAAACGGCAATTACTGTTACTAAGCAACGTGTATTTTTTGTTCTTCATTAATTTTTCTGTGTAGATCTATATATAGGGCCTAAAATTTGACTTTTATGAGGAATATCATGCTCAGTTTGCACAAAAGAGGTTCTAAATATCAATAATTTTCTAGAGGGGGAATGCTACCACCCCCCCCCCCCCCTCCCCCAGACCGTGGTACATTTTTAATCATCATCATATCATAGTGTTATTATTAGGGAATTAAATGATACTTTGATATAGTTGGATGCACAAGTTTGACAAATTGCAGATTCTATTTACTTTTTAGATAAAATAAATGATTTTCGTAAAAATTTGCGACGTAAGCGTAATTTTATACTGGCAAGTGAAAAATCTGTTTGGCCAGTGGTATCTGAAATCCAGTGGCCAAAATGGCTACCAGAAAAAAATCCTTATCTGACAAACAGACATTATAATACATTTACATATTTATGTTTCTCTTGGCTTAAAACTTAGTTTGTGATGGTGTCCATTTTCTTGCAAGGATTCTTCCTCATAACAATAAGGGTTTATCTTTTAAAAAACTAACATAGGCTAGCAGAACCAAATACTTATTTGGAGACTGTGTTGTAACTTACAGCATTCATTTCATCTGCAGTTGCGAATGTAACAAAACCAAAACCTCGGCTCTTATTTGTATCTTGGTTGATCTTGATATTTACATTCGTGACTTCTCCAAATTTCTCAAAATATGCTTTGACATCATCTACAATTATAAAATTTAGATCATGCAAAAAGTTCATATTTAGTTCATGCTGGAAAAATAATTAAATTTTAGCAAAGACCAAATTACATTTTCTTAAATAAACATGCCTATAATTTTACCTACACCAAAAACAAATTGATTTTATTTCGAAATCGGAAGTATAATTACTTCCAAAACTGAACTGACTTTCACTTACCTTCTGATGTATCAAAGGGAAGTCCTCCCACAAAGATTTTTCTAAAAAACAAAGAACATCTCTTAAAATATAATTTTTAACAATATAGAAATATTACAATCTGATTAACATACCCTTGCTTCATTGATCACATCTCTTCAATAAAAACTGATACCATGCTCAGCATTATTATTTTTATCTTAGTCTACTACTATTATTACTTTTAATCAGAGGTCGAGTTATCTGCTATTTTCAGATAAACATAACTCATTCCACACATCATCTGCATCTTTCATTCTTGCACAAAAGATGCATTAGTCTACCTAGACTATTAATTGAGGGTTGATATTTCGTCAGAATGTTTGAATAACTAGAATATTCAGTGGTTTACTTTTCAAAATTGCAAAAAAATTCACTCTGGCCTTAAAGTTGGGTATTTTTATGCCATTTTTATTCTGTACCAAGGTTATTTATTGAATATTCTAGATGTAAAAAAGGGTGACCTACATTTTCAATGATTTTGTACCTACTTTTTCTTTACTCGAGTCTCTAGCTTACAGCTAGACGTAACTTCATTGATTTCGTATGTACTCTAGAAAAGTAGTGTTGTCGCGATTAATCGATACATCGCGGTATACATCGCCAAAGCTGATTCTGGCGATGCATCGATGTCTGAAACAAAACATCGATGTTTTAAAAAAAAAGAAATTTGCTAAAAATCACCCTTTCTTATCTTATTTTGACGCAAATCGCTTACCTTTCTCATGTCTTATTTCATTTTCCAATGTTTTCTGATATTCTTTCGCTTTAAAACTGTTTTAGCCAGTCGAAATGAACCATTAATCTAGAAAAATTACTTTACTTTCATTTCACCGTTACTAGAAGTTCCCGGATGTACCAGATGTTCGGTATTTTAGTGGATTAGCATTCGGTATTTCAGTGCACTTTTCTCGGACTTTTTCTCGATGTACATCGCGATGTGCATCGATGTTTACTACTGAAAATTGCCGATGCATCGATGTACGATTATGGCACATCGCGACAACACTATAGAAAAGGTGCTACACGCACCTACACGCACCTTGAAATCATTTCTAATAAATTTTATAAATATTTTTAAGAATATTAATCATATTTAGGATGAAGCGTTGCTTGTCTGGATTTAGATATTTGAAAATTTCATTTCGGAGTTTGACACATGGTGAAATTTTCTCGCTGTAGCTAAAAATGGCTTCCGGTTCTGGACGTGAACAAAATTTGAAATTATTCTCGCTTTAAAGAAATCAAATATAACAATAGATTCAGACGGGGATGTGAGCTGATGTTCTTCAAACTATACATAAAGGTATATTTCATATTATTATGCCATATTTACTGTGCGTGTGACACAATGATTTACAATATTTATAATACTAAGGCAGCTCAATCTTCCTCCTCAAAGCCGGAATATAGAGAAGGCTTTGGACCGAAGTAACTTTTTCTCATTTCTGTATTTATTCTATTTTCTCATACATTTTAACTCCATGTTCATTGTTCAATTGGAAATAAAGAGATATAATAATAATGTACACTTTGAGAAAGACCGAAATATGTATATCAAGTATGGAATGAGTTTCGTGTTCGAGAAAATACCATGAGTTCAATGAGGAAGCCATTAAATTTCTGAGCATACAACCGAGAATGATTATCTTAGGAAGAATATCCTTTGAATTCAGATGTATGAGTTACATTCTGTATATCGGAAAGACGTTTAATCAAATCTCATTCATTTGCAAATATATTCTTATGAAAACTGATGGAAACAAACGAATATCTATAAGACAAAGAAATTTATCCAAAATGGCGTCGATCAAATCAAAAGGAAATCCAGAAAAGCTCATAAGTAAACCCACTTTTTAAGCCGTATCTAGGCTAAAATACCGATAAAATTAGTATTAACTGCTGCAAAAATACACCATAGAGACATTGTTTTACAAATAGTCTTGTTTTAAACAGTACATTACTTACGTATTTGCCAAGAGTACGTTTGCCATGTTCACGTTGTTCTTTGTTCCACCTGCTATGTTTGAAGTGCCCGGATGAACAGAGCTATTTCAGTTGAAATACGAACGTGAGTTAAAACCTTCAAAACGGCGAACGTAGGTGCGTTACAGCTAATAATTTAATTTCCATTATGAATGAAATCAGCAACAAACAAAATCATCCGATGAAAAGTAAAAAGATGTTTAAATGTTGTGCAGAGACGTATCCAATGATCACGGACCTAGTACCAAATCAAATATTTCGATCAACTAATATCTATTTTCATTAAACCATGGGCTCTACGACTAACTTACGTAAGGCTTCAAGCGGAAAAGAGTGCTGAGGTTAAAATCTGTCTATAAAATTGTCCTATCGCAGTTATAATGTGAAACTGAGAAGTTTAGACATCTATAACTCCACCAAGAGGTGTCGGTATCTATCTAGTGTGAAATACATTGTTTGTCATAAATATGTGAATCCACTAAAGTCATGAATTTTAAGAGTTTCTAAAACAGTTTTTGAGCATATTATGAAAAATGTTGACTTTGTAATTCAATTTCAACATCGAAAGATTAAAGATGAGGTATGTCCATTTCACTTTGTTCACGGCACAAGTTTCTCTATTCATTTCACACTAGAAATTCAAATCATATGATTTATTGTAATATAATAATTCCCAGTCACATGAAACAATTTGATTGGTTGAGATCAGAGGGGGAGAAACACCAGGGTTCAAAGATGACATACGCTTATAATGTAAATCTGTATTGAGATGACATCGTCGCTGATTGGTCAAAAGTCGACAAATAAATGACGTCATCAATGGCGGTTTCATAAGTTTCGAAATACGCTTCGAATGATATTATGTTCATTTCTGGCGTGTTAACAAATATCATAGCTTCTCATTTCACATCAAGATAAAGAAAGGTGTACGGAATATGTCTATATCAATTAAAAGATCCTATCTAAGTATAGTATTTGATAACTAGCTGGTGAAAATTCGAACGAACGAAGGTGGTAAGCAAGAGAGGTAATTATGTCTGTCATCTTTAAACTCTGGGGCTTTCCCTCCTCTTGGTTGAGATGGTGCATAGGACAAGGTTAAATATGTATTTTTGAAATTATTTTGGACAATTTGACACTGAAGAGCAGGCTTTTGAGAAGAGATGGAGGGTCAGTGGATGGAGGTAAAATATCACAGGAGATGATGATTTAAATAGGGGAAATCTGCAATCGTTAGTTTCAATTTATAATTGCAGAAATAGATAGGCAAAGTTTCTGAAAAAGATGTTTAGCGCAAACGTCGCCCTGATTGCCCTGATAGTGAAAAGTGAACTTGCATTTTTCAATTTTTCTCTCAATAGACCTTGTTGCCACTGCTCATTGGAGTCTCATTTAGTATATTAAACGTAACATGTATGTCATAACATTAGGCTACATTTCGACACCCTATCAAATTGCAGGAGACATAAGTCAGGAGGGGGGGGGGGTGCGATCGCCGAAAAATTCGGTTTTCAGTCAGGGGGGATTGTGGCATAAACAAGCCAAAACTGAGTTTTTTCTTGAATTTTATAAAAATTGATGCAGCTTCCTTCAAAATTGAGCCGTTGGACAAGCTGTACGTATGACCAATCGCCCATACAAATGCATCGCTTAAATAACTTCCGTACCCGTTTATGTTGTGAAAAACAGCGCAAGCTTAAACTCCCTAATGATATAATTATCGTCGTCAAGTACCGGGAAATCAAAGACAGAAAGGGGTAAAAAATAATAAGATCTGGGAAAGATGAAAAAGAAGAATTCGATTTTTACACAAGCCTCCACCAGGGATAGGAAACATGATGGTTAATGGTGACATAAGGAACCGTCGATCTGTTAAAAGCCCGGGGAATATCAGGAGTAGAAAACATTTGTTCGCTTAAGTGATCCAAACAAAGATGTTGATCAATCGCTTGCTTCTTCGGACATGTTGGAGGCAGGGGCGAATCCAGGAACCACTACCCTTTGCATTTGTTTGACTTCACTTCTTAAAAGAGAGCTTCGTCTTGTAGTTCAACTAGACTCTGCACGCAGGGTAAGGAACCACGGGAGGGGGCATATTTCAAGTCAGAAAAACTCTGCGCTTGAGCGGAAACATTTTTGGGCCACTAAAACCAAAGAGAAGTGGGCCCAAATTTTGATAATTTAAGGCCCATTTTCCCTTTGGCCAAAAATTAAAAAGATCCGCCAGTGGACCCGCCCCCCAGATCCGCAAGTGGGAGGGGAGATGATGCATGTGGTGTCTTCAAGGTGCGATGGTAGTTAACAGGAAATGACAAAACAAAAAATGACAAAACCATGCTGGATTTTCAGAATCATTTGAACCAAGTTCCTCATATCATTTACATTACAGGGGACACGATGAAAATGTGATTGAAAAATAGCTAAAAGTAGGTGCTCAGGAAAGGTCACTGAACAGATTATTTTGATTTTTTCGGAAATTGTGCGCAATATATTGCTCTAAATGATACAATTTTAGAAAATTTGATATCACTATTAGAAAAAGAAAAAAAGAAAAAAACTGAATTGAAAATCGATCTATTTTCCTTTTTAGTACAGCCATTATTGTTCCAGACAGGAAGATTGTATCATTTAGAGCAATATATTGGATACATTTTATTGGATATATTTTCAGTCACATTTTCAGAGGGCTGAAAGGTTATTTCATCATGTTTAGGGTCATTCTGACCATTTCCATTGTGTTACCGGTCATAAATGATATGTGTAACTAGTTAAACTGACTGGACGTCAAATCAGAACTCTGTAATCTTGGTTCAAAAAATTTTGAAAATCCAGCATGGTTTTGTCACTTTTTGTTTTGTCATTTCCTGTTAACTACCACCGCACCTTAAGGTGCCATGATACTTAACAGGAAATGACGAAACAGGAAGTGACAAAAATGTTAGCGTTTTTAGACATTTTTTGAACAAAGAATCAGAGTTCTGTTTTGACCTCTATGGCGGATCCGGGGAGGGGGGCCATGGGGTTGGCCCAGAAAAAAAGGTTGGGTCCAAACAAAATTGTAGGCCAAAAAAGGCCTTAAGGCCCCAAAAAGTGGGCCTTTTGGTCATTATTGGGCCTTCTAAGGCCTTATTTTATTAATTTTAGGCCAAATTTTGAAGAAAATGGGCCTCAAATTTTCAAAATTTGGGCCCACTTTCGGTTTTAATTTTTTTCCGCGCAAGCGCGGCGGTTTTTTCTCTGACCTCAAATTTGGGCCCCCCCCTGTTGGTTCCTGGATCCGCCACTGGACCTCCAGTCAATTCAACCAGTTCCACATACTATTTCCAGGTCCAGGATCACAATGTTTATGTTCTGACCCTAAACATGATGCAATAACCTTTTCAGCCCTTTGAAAATCAAATCCAGAAATTACCAGTCACTTTCTTTATCAGGAGAGCTGTCAACACATCTGATAAGAAGTGTTCTAAGCAGCTCTTGTGAAACTTGATGCTATATTTTGGTCTAATACAAGATGCAGCCTACTTGTAAAAAAAATACAGTTATCCATGTACGTAATTTATGGTTCAACAAAAAACAACAACTTAATATGAGAAACTTATGTGGTATATGCCATGTTTATGTGTCTGATCATATAATCTTGAAATTATCCATCAATTTCTTAAGAAATTGGCAAAATTAAGGAAACCAGAAAACACATTTGATGAAAGGCCTGTTTTTATAGGTTGTATGAAATGCCCCTGCATTAACGCTCACATATATGAGTTTTAAACATTAATTTAGTAGACTAAAGTGTTGATACGAAATCTCAGTAATAGTACCAGTTAGGAGATAAGGTGATGTCCGATTTAACTTACATTACGATTGCTGGATATGGTGACTGAAAAATAGCTAAAAGTAGGAGCTTGGGAAGGTCACTGAACAGAATCTTTTGAATTTTTCAGAAAATGTGCCCAATATAAAGCTCTAACTGATACAATCTTTGAAATTTTAGAAAATTGTCTGAAACAAAAATGGCGGTCATAAAAAGGAAAATAGATCCCTTTTCAAATCAGTTTTTTCATTTTTTCTTTTTCTATTAATGATATCAAATTTTCAAAGATTGTATCATTTAGAGCAATATATTGGGTACATTCTCTGAAAAAAAATCAAAAGAATCTGTGACCTTCAGTGACCTTTCCTACCTCCTACTTTTAGCTATCTTTCAGTCACATTTTCAGAGGGCTGAAAAGGTTATTTCATCATGTTTAGGGTCATTCTGACCATGAACATTGTGATCCTGGACCTGTAAATGGTATGTGGTACTAGTTGAAACAGAACTCTGTTATCTTTGTTCAAAAAATGTCTAAAAATGCCAAAAAATTTGTCACTTCCTGCTTTGTCATTTCCTGTTAAGTATCATGGCACCTTAAAATATTACGTATACCGTTCCTGTATAGATACAATATGGCAATATTTTATATATACAATACTCCAGACGAGTCTACTAGATTAGGGGAGTTTGGTATATTCCAATATATTCAAATTGTCTTCATCAAGATAAAACAATCCTTTGAAAAGGTTACAATCTGTAAGTATTGAGAGTTTGAGAGGGTGAATTATCCGAATGGTGCATGAACAAATATAAATATAGGGAATTATTTGAATTCTTATTAAAATCTTATTAAAATCTGCGTGCTAGATACAATGCACATAACAGGCCTTTAATCAGCTTCTGCCGCTGGGGGTTTATTTTTTCAAAGGATTCCAGGTGGGGAGGATGGGGGTTCACATCTGACAACTTTGGCCCTAAATCACTTGCAAAGTGCATGGTGAAAAACGGTATGATTTTGACTTTAAGATAATTTCAAGCTAAAGGGTGGGAGGATGGGGCTGCCCCGCTCCAACCCTCCAAACCTGGCAACGGGCCTGCACAGGTGCATTTCTAGGTACCCGGTACCCTTATAACCTTTTTACAAAATATTCATGTGTACTTTAATGAAACCGTTCAATGAAAAATGTTTGTAAGTTAAAAATGATCCATGAACTTAGGAAATAAAGTTATAATAAATGATCGCGTCGAAATCTTTCCCAAAGTCAGT